AGACTGAGAAATCATGAAAATAATCCAAACCAAAACCTTCAGATTTTTATGACCTGAATTTATTTTAACTTTTGCAAGATGGAGTTAAACTTGTTACACTAAGTTTGGGTTTTTTCCAAGTATAAATCGTTTGTTCAGAGCAGCTCTGCAAGAAAAGAGTTGAACGGAACTGGAAAGTTTGTCAAACTTCAGTTTCTTATCAGATGGCAGGCTGCAATAGAAACATATGGAGAGTTTTGATTTCATGTCCTGATTAAAACTTAAAAGTTTCCTCAAAAGGCGAGTGGTTGCCATCAATGGAAAAGGAGATAAGCGATGGCGTCTTTAAATGGACATTGTGGGCGGAATGACAAACAAACGAGAATTTGTTCAAGACAGACACATGAGTGATCAGAGCCATTCTAGAGCTATCAGAAGGCTGGGCACGAGAGCCCAACAATTTGTTTTATCAATTTGTTCCTCATCAGAGAGGGGATTCTAACAAGCGATGCCCTCTTTGAACTACAGCCGAAGCCGCAACGACTTCTAAACGACTTGTATATTTCAGATTTTCTATACCCCAAAGCACTCTTCTGAGCACATGTGGAGAAAATTGAAACAAGAACCCAACATTCCAGAGTTAACCATCACAGGTGATTTTCAATATGATGACGGCAGAGAAAATTGCGGATCGTTTTACCATCTCATCAGAAAAGAAGAAAGAGCTCTCTCCCTTCAGAAATCCGACGCGATTGATGACATCTTTAAACCGAAATTGTAGCCGAAATGACTTACAAATGACGTTTCTTTTAAGGTTGAACGCTAATGAGCGACAAGACGTAATGGAATTGTCGTGAAGTCCGGTGGAATTTCTCTCACATGAGTCAGTCATCAAGAAATGATTCCTTTTGATGTTGCCCAGTGACTAACTCCGCACTGAGAACCTACAAGTGCAAGGGAGTGGGCTTTTTTGAATTTGCCATCTTTGGCTCAAAGAAAAGCTCGCTACCTTGGGGAAAACGAAACTTAACAGGAAATGAAACCAAACCATCCAGCAAGTTTTGGTTAGGGTACCGAGTTGTGTCAACAAAAATGCAGGGGAGCTTGGGAATTCATTTCCAGCACGGCAAATTAAACCCTAAGATGAGCTCATCAAGAAAGCAATAAGGGTAGCTATCCTTTTTCTTTTTTTTTGTAAAGACTTCGGTGGTTTGTAACTGTCAGAGTGAGGTTTCTTGAATGACGGGATTTACGAAAATAACCCGGACAAAAAAAACCCCGAAAACCAAGACAAAACCAACAATAGCTTTTCTTCTCATTTTGATTTGGAAGGAACAAACCTGGTTTGGTAACCTCATCTGAAAAGTCAACAGTGACTCTCTTGGTGACGTAAACGAATGCTCCCTGAGCGTAGAACTCCCTTCTCAAAAAAGAACAAAACGCCCTCGCGTGGATACGGGCTCCTGGCTAATCCCAAGATCTGTATTCATAGCTTACCCTACAGTTTGCTCTTCAGATTGTGTGGATTTTGTGGATTTTTTTTTTTCAAAGAGAGAGACAAAACAGAAGAGAGTAGGCATTTCATACAGGATACTGACCCAATCTCAGTGGAAATCTTTGTAACTCGGACAACTCTGGAGTTCTCGGCCATTCTTCGATGATGAGTCTACTGATTTATTCAAACAGTTTCACAGAAAAGTAAAAGAAGAAAGAAAAGGAATCGTAGAATTGTGAAGGAAGAGATAACGAAGACTGCTTATAATTTTTTTTTTGGGTGGGGGGTGGTTGGGGGGTGTTGAAGAAGAAGATTTAAATGGGGGATACTAAAATGAAAATGTGATAATAAGTGAAGAAATTGACAAGAGAGGAAAATGATTTTTTGGACAATTAACATTTTTACTTTTTTCGAAAATTGAAAAAAAATGCAGAAAACAATTTATGGCAAAGTTTGTTTGTTCTGTTAGTCACATAAACAAATGATGTCAGCTTCAAAAGTATTACAAAGAAAAAAAAATGTGAGATGAATCTATGTTAATTTTTTTACCAACCTGAATGCAGACACGCTTATCAAATTCAAATACCCGCAGATGATAGTTATTATCCCTTCCAAAAAAAGCAATTATTGGCCTATCCCCTGCCAGATGGTTTTGAGACTTCAACCAGACCGGAATACTCGTGATGGTTTTATTACTACGTTTATTAATTCAGAAAAGAAAAAAAAAACCGGGTTGTGAGTTCAATTCCAATTCCATTAAGATTTTGTTGCTTGACGAACATGCATTCCTTTCCCTGGGATTGGCATCTATTCTTGGGATTACCGAAAGGATCAGTTGGAACGACGTGCAGTCTACGGGGTAGCGTAGGTTAAAAATATGCAGGTATTCCATTAGTTTCGTGCATGAGCGTAAAGTGCCTGCTTTCATAACATGTCACACCGTCAACTGTCATGTGCGCATCACTGACTGTTCATGGAAAGGCAAACATTTGGGAACCACATTCTAATCCCCCCCCCCCCCCACCTTCACTTTGAGTTCTTGCCCGATCTTATCAGATCAAGGGAGGTGACTGAACGAGCGACGAACGACACTCAAGTTGTCCGGCCAACGGTTACCGCACTTCCCTCCTGCCGAAAACATGCAAACGATTACCCAAATTCAACCGAGCGATGCTGGACAAATAAAGCGTGCTATTTTCTCTCTTTGCTGTTTCTCTGCATATAAAATTTGCCTTTTTCTTGTCTATCATCTTCCAAGAACATCCGATATTCTAAAATTCCTTCAACTCCGAATTGATCATGTTCCTATGGAAATTTTTCCCCTCTATATCGAATTAGGTTTGATTTTATTCTCGCCTTGCATTAACCTTATCTGGAAGGAGAAATATTATAAAGATGCGTCATTAGAGCCAAAGCGTGCCCTTGTCATTTTTTAAATATTTCATTGTCTGCAGCTCAAGCGTGCAGCTCAAGCATGCATTGTATGTTGAAAGTTGAAATTACAAGAGAGTAATTAAACAGACATTGTGTTGGTGAAATTTATAAAGAACACGGAAACATATCCGCCCATCAAATAACACGTAGAATTATGTTTTTAGGAGAAGTATAATCCGTTTTGCTGTAAAAGCTTAGTGTTTTTTTAGGGTAGGCTGGCCAGTCAGGAAAAAAAGGGGGGGGGAAAGACCTTGATATTTTTTCAGCATTACTGGTTGCCATGGCATTGTGATCATAATGGACACAATAGTACAAGTCACCTGTATTTGGGAATTCCAATGCGGTTTTACGTTTACAATGGAAGGGTGAAAATGTTATTGCTGTACATGTACAAAATTTAGTGGGAGAAATGATCATATTTAAACAGTGTGCAATGCAACTTTGTTTTGGAAGGTATAGCTCTTGTGTTTCGCCACACAAATATGAATGTAGATTAAATTCACAAGAGCTTTGGTTTCTTTTTTCACATTCAAAAAGAATCAATGATCAATGTAAGACTATTCTGTGAGTTTTTATAACGGGACAAAATTGAAAATGTCTGTTTTGAAAGGTATAATATATCAACGTGGCTGTCTAAACTTGCGAATGCACATTTTAAATATGCTCGACTCATTAAGGTGTATTTGGGTTAATTTATATTATTAGTACAGTTGTAGCATTACTGGTACATGTATACAGGAGACTATATTTTTAATGGGTTCTGTGGCATTATGATTACCATATTTTACAGACACAGAAGTTCAAGGAGAGTGCAGGACATGTAGTTTAGTCATCACAATTGCCTTGTTTTTCTGTAATTGTCATTAGACCATGTGGCGTTGTGTGACTAGCGTTGCGGAACTTCTTTTTTTTTTTTCATGAGCTTTCCTTATGAGCAGAGGTTTGCGTGCAGTTTATGCAGTACTGCAGAGAGTGATAAACGTAGGCCGTCATTTCGTTGAAGTTTTAGTTGGGTCTCTTTTGTAGAAGCCTGTGTGGAACAATTAAAGGGAATATACATCATTTGCTTTTGCTGTAATTTTGAGAAATGGATGGAATTGGGGGGTTGGAAATATATAGCAAATATAGTTACACTGACTTTTTTGAGGTTTTGGGTTCGAAAATGCTATAAAAACCAAGAAAAACAATCATTTTCCTGTAGTCTGGTTCCCTGACTCCATTTAAGAAGAAACAGAGCAGTTTACATACATTGGGGAATTGTAAGGTCAGGGAACCAGTCTAGCTGGCTTGTACCCGTTCATACATGTAGGTGTGTAATCGATTGCAAACAAGTGCGATGGTCAACTGGGGCCAGTATTTGAAAAAAAAGCCAGTTTTTTCCAACGCTGGTCGGCCGGTCAGCGTTGGAAATTGATACAAAAATACCACTTTTCTTGAAAATGACAGTATACCAGGTGCCATGATTTTACAGGATGCTTTACACTGTCATTCACTAACAGTAACAGTCCAGCAAGGTATTTCAAAATGATTTGGTAGTTTTATTTTTTGATGTTTGCAAATGTTGTATTTTCCCTTTAAGGGATGTGAATTGATACAAGATGGACGGGTGCCACCCTTGATGAACATGATATCATGGAGATAACCATTGCAAGGATTTGATTAAAAAGCACTTGTCAAAATACCTACCAACCAAAGTGTACAAATAGGGATTGCAGCAAAATTAAGTGAATGAGAGACACCTGAAATTTCTGTTAATTAATTGTTCTTTATGAAGAACCTTTTTAGCCATTCCCCCTGTTATTTTTGAATATTGTGAGCAGTAACGTTTCCTTTTCTCTTACCAACATCTGTGCATGCATTGGTGCATTCAGTGTGTGGAAAAATAAATGGTTGGACAAAAGGTGACAACAGAGGGCGCTATTCACAATTAATGTGGAGTATAAAGCTCCAGAAAGCTGAGAAATGTGATGAGATTTTTTTCACCTGAACATTCATGTAATTCAGGTATTCCGACAAAATTCTAAATTTGTGTTTTTTCTTTTTGTTTTGTTTCTTACAGCATGCATTGTGGGGACTTACAAAGCCGGCGTCGGACCCGATCGTTGCAGTCCGTGCCCAGCCAAGAGCCATGCGGACCACAATTCCACCCGGCAGTGCACCTGCATACCAAACTTTTTCCGTTTGGCCGAGGAAGGACCCGAAGTCGCTTGCACCGGTAGGTATCCCCACTCACAAGAGGGGCGGGGCTAGAGATGAAGTGTGGGGGGTTCAATTCAGAATCTTAGGCATCAAGTATAATACTTTGTTACAGAAAAAATGTTCGTTATGGATTTATTGCGGCAAGACAATGTAGTGAACGACCGAGATAAATACACTGTGTGTGTTTCAGTTTCATTAGGAAACATTTTTGCCTTAAAATTTTGTTATGCAAAATGTCACTATGCTGAGGCAAGTTTTGCACAGTGTATTGTGTGTACAACTCTGATTGGGTTGAAACTTGGTATGTACATAGATAGGGACGTGGTATAGGCAAAGTGTGTTCATTGTAAGAGATTTTCTTTTTTTCCTCTGTGTATGGCTGTTTTTATGCATTCTTAAAAACGGATCTCTATAAGCTTACACTCGGATGCAGAGTAGAGATTTTGAGTAATTTGTTGTCTTGTTCACTTCTCTCATTCTCTCTCATGGCATGTGTTCTAGAAGTCACAATTAAGAGCTTTTGAACTTGGGGCCAGTAAATTAGGGCAAAGTTGTATCATCTAAGAATACTGAGGAGGGTGGATGGAGTGCGTGCAGAGTGGTGTCTTACTTTCCAGCCAACAAATATGCCAACATGCCAACTGAAAAATGTTCCTGTTTTCCCCCCGAATTTTCATGAGCTTACACACACCACTGGATCATCCCACAGGATCCACAGTGATAAACGGTGTGAGGATATTTAAAAGACTAGTTGTCTCTTCCAAGTTTTGACGACATTTCAAATATAGATGGTCTGCAAGTTGAATGTGCATTGTGTCTACATGTACACACACATACACAATGAATCATGCCAAAAAATTCTCCACCCCAAAAATGCACTCTTGGGATACCCCTTAATAGCCCCGCTGACAGACAAGACAAGCAGGTGTGCTGGCGAACCAGATTGACCTCTCGTGACCCGGGTTGACCCGGGGTCAGGGGTCAATCCCTACAAAGCACCCTCCCCGAGTGGTGTCACAAAGGCTCGGAAATGCAGTCATGTCGGAAGCAATTATTGGGATTTCAAAACCCAAGAGCAAAGGTTGGAGGGTGGAGCTTTCTTAAAGACGTTCAGAACGTTTTTTTGCAAAGTTTTTGTAAAATCCTTTGTGACAATCGTTTGTGCCAATTTAACAAATTCAGACACTTGCTTAACACAGAAATTAATTCAGTTTTGCAGAAACTTCTGACAGCAATCAGAAAAAGTAAATATTTTCAACTTTTTGTTTTAACACAAAAAAAAGAAGAAAAGTTGAACGGGTTTCAAAGCCTGAAACAAAAACACAGGAACAGAGTTTTCAAAACCTGTTTCATGTCATTTTGTATGTTATTTCCACCAGAATGGATTGAAAATACACCAAATCCAAGTCACATTAAACATTAATTTACTTTTCCCATTTGGAAATTAGACTGAGAAATTAACACAAAAACACCAAATGTTAAACCCCAAAAAAGACATTTCCTTTTTATAGGGAAACAGGATCAGAATTAATTTCTGGAAACTGAAAGAATGGCATCTCCGAGTCCACCTGTTTCAACAACAGATGCAGGGAAAGAAAAATAACCCTGCTTTGGTCCATCGCTATCGCAGATCTCTTGGCAAACATTTATTCTCCTCTTGGGTAGCAGACTTAGAGTGGACTCCCCTAATGGCGCGATGACGTGCCTCGCGTACTGACACTACGTTAAAGGGAGAAGGGGGGGGGGGAGAATTCAAGTTGGTGAAAAGTTCAGGTGGGTGGAATATTATAGGACGGGCAGATCATCCCTTATACACTTTTGAAAATATCGTCGTGTCAGTGCAAGAAGGTCGTAACTCCATTCTGCAACAAAGTCGTATGATCTCGCACGAATACGCTCCGTGCAACAAGGTCGTTGTGTGTACATCCGGGTTATTTTAAGTGAGATACGACCTTTTGCCATTCTGAAACTTGTGTTTTACATATGGCATATTTTAGGAGATACGACCTTGTTGCACGGACAGGATGATATTGTCCATTTGCCACAGTTTTGTGAGAGAAAAATATTCGGCAGAGAAAACCTTTTAATTCTTGGAGATCGATAGTTAAACTGTAGGGGATGATGTAAGAAAACTGTACCATATTAAGAAATAGTGGGTACCAGCCAGTCAACAATTGACATTGTTTTCAGCAGGCTTCTTTATTATGCTTAGCTAGACCTTTCTGTGTATGTTTTAGACCCATGTACATAACTTAAAATTCACAGAAGGAACATCATTGCTTAGTTTTTTAGAACAACCAAAAAGTTGACCAATTTCTAGTGTTGTTTTCACACAAAAGTATCTGGGTTATTGGCATCATACTGTTGATGTTCTGGGAAAAAAAACCTCCTGTTTTCAAGCAACTTAGAATTGTACAATAAAATGTTGATGAAATTTTAACAAAGAAGGGTGTCCAAATAGAAGCATCTCAAATCAAATACATGTCAACTCAAATTGTCCGACAACCCCATCCCCCCTCAAAAACACCCCCCCCCCAAAAAAAAAAACACCACCAAAAAAGAACCTTTAAAAATCACAAGAGATTTCAAAAATCGCGTGACTTTTATTAGGTGCAGATTGAATACCATCTGTTATGAGAAGTCTTTGTTTAAATATCATCAACATTTATTGTATGATTTTTACTTGCTTGGGGTGGAGCTATATTTCTTGTCCTCACAACACCGAGGTATCTGTTTAGTGCAATTTTTGACAGACTTATTAGCCAACTTCTCTGTCCGCAAATAGTTCAGCTCGGGACAACGATTTAATAAAAATCCTGGACTCGGAAAATTTACAGCCACACAGCTGGTGTGTATTAGTCAGAGGCAGAAAATATAAAAACAACCAAAAAATAACTGGTAATCAAAAGAAATTGCCAGACAGTTACCTACATTCAGTTGGGAAAGGGTACCGGTGGATTCTAAATCATCGGGACCGAGGTGTGAGTTTTTGTTCCGCCCCAGGGAATAATAACGGCGAGGTAGACCCCTTCATCTTCGGCCCTGTTTATGAGAAGAGCCCCAAGTTCAATGTCTTATGGTTTTGTTTTCAGTCCTTGATTCAGGAGAAATTTGGTCAGGCTGTTCTTGATGTTGTACAGGCCCTACTTTTTTTTAAGGCACCGACTTGGGAGCCTTTGGGAGTATATCTCCACAGGTCTGCCCAAAAAAAAAACCTGTCCAAAATTGAATTACAACAAAACTAGCGAGCGGCAAGCAATTGAAAATTGAGATGCGAGAGAAATGTGTTGACGCTACATAATCATTTTTTGTTTTATTGTTTGGGGCGTTAATTTAATTTTGATTTAATTTATATATCTGGAGAAGCTCGTAAAAACTGGACAATTTTGATAAACCGTGACACGATCAGGTGGCACGGTCGTAAATAATGAACTTGACTCGCCGCATTGTTCAAATGCTAAAATATGGCTTAATTTACAATGAGTCGGATCAATAAAACCCAAAGAACAGAACGAATCGAATAAAGTCGGCCGACAATCCTAAAATTCTTTCATGCTAGTTGTAAAAAAGACTCGCACATTCCTAGCCATTAGTGCATTCTGAGTATGTCAAGTTCAGTTGGATTTTATGTTCTCACAGTTTCCTGATTGAAAAAGTTGAATGTCTTGTCCGAATCTTTTCTCATCCAGTTTATAATTCTCCTTGCAGTTTGGACCAAGTTTGCTCTGGATTAAAAGAAAAAGGAGCTACAGATATTTTGGGAATAACGTTACAAAACAATTACAAACCAGGAAGACTTAATACAAAACATAGCCTTAATATCTGTACTTTCTTTGGAAGTAGATTTAAACTAGAAGCAATGAGACTAATGGCAGTTTAAAAACAGGCGTGCACCTTTTCCTGTGATCAGCTGATTTCCTCGTTTTTAACGTCACACTTATGCCATTAAAGGACAAACATTGTAAAAAGTCTTTTAAAGCTTGAAATTTCCTCTTTCTTTGGTCACTTCCCAGTTGCATGCCTGTTGGAAGAGTTTGTGAGGTTATACTCTACTTGAGACATGGTTTTTTGTTTTCCTGAAAGCCTTTTTCCCCCAATTCTTACTGAGAATGTTGGATAATGCTGACTGAGAATTTCTGAAGTGCAGCACCCAGTTTTTCTATTTCAACCCTAACCCCTAGTCCATTTTTGCTAGGAACCATCCTCAATCCTCCAAAATTGTGCACTTTTGTTCAAAAATGAAGGATACCCAGCGCCTCAATCCATCAAAATCGTCAGACAGTCCTGCCTCAGAAAATGCATTCATCCTCAATCCTCCAAAATCATCCTTCTCTTCAAACACCATTCATCCTCAATCCTCTAAACTCCTCGTGCTTTAACACCATTATTATCCTCAATCCTCCAAAATCCTCCAAAATCCTCATGTTTCTCAAACACCATTCATCCTCAGTCCTCCTTTTGAGGTGGGCTAGGGTTTTTATGCCAGTCATTTCTGGTTTGGGAGTATTGTGGGTGGATAAAGGGGGAGGAAGTTGGTAAAAACTACATGTGGGCATCCGGGTTGAAGTTATCCAGATCTGACTGTTCAATTTCAGGGTTTTTTTGGGGGGGGGGGAGGGGCATGAGTACTTATTGCTTTTGTGGTTATGATTAGTGAATTATGACAACTAACAGATGCTTATGAAATGGACAAAAGGGATTCAAAAATGCTGACAGGGGAAAGATCTGAGAGCTGGTTTATTTCAAGTTGGGGAGCTTTTTGAAGTTCTCAAATATGGATTTTTTCCTGTCCATTATTCCCTTTATCTTTTCCCATTTACATACGTTTGCAGCGCTGTGCATTTTTGGTCTGGCCTTTCAGAGTAATATTCATAAAAACTTATTCCTCTTGCCTTTTGTGGTTATGCTGTTTTCTTTGAGATGAGAGTTATAGGATTTAGAGTGATCTATGAGTAGATTCATACTTAGCCTGATAGGTTCATTTGACTTTCAGAACATCAGAAACAAGGCTACTAAACTCCACTAACATTATGGTTCCATGTGAAATTCATGAGTAGAGATTTGGTTTTGTCTAGATCATAGTGTAGATAGATATTAAAGCTATGAACACAGAATTGTTGTTTTTTAGCACCGTTAGCCAAATGTCCGCCTGTGTTAATAAAGCCTACAACAATTTTTTTTAATGAGTTTTCTTTTTCAAAAATTGGTTTACATAAATTTGATAGGATTGGCACATCTACCAATCTATCTCTTCCCCTCCCCCAATCAGGAAAAAAAAACCCTTAAAGTCTTGTCATATTTGCACTAACTGGAAACACGAATATTTGTTCACCGGAACACTTGCTACGCAACCTACCTTTCTAGTGAATCTAACAGTGAATCCCTCCTCCTCCCCAAAAAGTGCTGCTATTTTTGGGAGCTCTTCAACTTCGTTGCAATCACATTACTTTACCTACTGCACTACTCAAGCTCTTACTGTGTTTGCCTCCACTGAATTCTTCACTGCATTACAGGGGAAACAGGAGGCGATTTTTTTTTGGGGGGGGGGGATGCCGCACACACAGAGATGGACTAAGGATATCGATAATGGATCTATATATGGCGGTCAGCTGCCAGTCAAATGTTGGAACTGGATTTGTTTCTTCATTCAGTTAAAAAAAATAGAATATTATCTGAAATAACCCATTTGCTTGAAGATGGGCCTCTTTGATATATATGCTTTTAGGAAGATCAATATCTACAAGGCACAGATACGAGTGCAATAGTTTTAGTGTTGCTGTTTTAAAGTGGACAGTTTGAGAGTGTTTAAATGTATGTATTTTGTTCATTTGCTACCTTGAATTATGTCGTCAAAGAAAATTATTGTACCTTTGTTAGTAAGGGTCAGGGTTATATATTAAGAATACAATACACATTTTCGCTCATTTTTTAAACACAGAAATGTTGAAATACAACAGTGTCATGATATACAAATTAATAAAGAGAAAATAATTTCATGAAATGATAACTTCAAAGATAAAAACAGAACTGCTCTGAAAAGATAGCCCCAGCATTTAATCTATTCCCTGGATGAGGGGATAATTTTTTGAAGATGTAGAATTTTCTTGTCTTAAGTGGCCAGTTTACTACAAAACTATCCTGATCACAAATCTTAGTATGGAACTGCATTTGGCACATTTTAAGGAATGGCAAAACACCCCGAGGCCACACATTTATTTCAAGGAAACTCACTCTCAAATTGAACCCTGTCATGGGCCAACAAGAAACTATTTTCATCACTCTCAGGTCCCAGTCCCCCCCCCCTCCAAACACCAAATACGCCTCAAGTTTCTACCCCAACACCACTCTCTGTAACTGAAGCCGATAGTGCACAAATTCCGGCTACATTAGAGCGAGGGTAAACACACCTAAATTGGGTATACACCTCGGTTCAGTGAAGATTGTGGCGTGGGAACTTTCTTCTACTTCAAGAAAAAAGACTCACACATCTGGAAGATTTGTTAGTATTTCGCTTTGGAAACTTCAATTTCTTTTTTTTGGAGAAAGTTTTGTTTTTTTGTGTTGCCAAGTGTAATATAAAATTGTTAGTGTTCTCCTGAAAGTTTGGTTTTCTAAATACCCAAGTTCAACTAGAATTTATTAATAACAAACAAGTTAATCTTCTGATTAGCTAATCTGTACCTTGGTCTTTTCTTATTCAGCAAACCACCCATGCAACATCTCATCACATTGTTGTCTGCTCAACTTATTGTTTATTCGTTCATCTGAATGCTGTTCATTTTGATAAGTGAGAGTTTACCCAACCTTCCCAAATCCTCCAAAACCATCTTTGCAAAATGGAGGATTTTGTAGGATTGAGGCTATTAAGGCAAAAATGTGTGGCTGATTTTGGAGGATGTACTGTGTCAAGGATTTGGGCAAGACCTTGTGTTGTTTATGCTCAGCCATGCATGAATTTAGGCCTGGTTTATACTTGAAATCCTCCGTACTGCTCCATGATGTCACTGGCTCTGCCTCAACATATTGACAGTGATTGCTGGAGGATTTTGCAGGATTGAGGCAGTGGTCGCCCTTCCAAGGACCACATTCAAGAAATAACGGAACATTTTCGAGGATTGAGGCTGTATGCAATTTTGACATGGAGGCAGTTGGAGGATTTTGCAGGATTGAGGATGCATCCTAGCAAAGATCCTTAGGGAGTTAGGGTTAATCCAGTTTATCAGCTTAGTCCCAATCTTACATCTTTCTTGGGCCTCCACCATATAAGTACCCAAGTCTTACAAATCCCAACACACAACCCTCTCTAATCTTCTGTTAATCCCGACATCTTAAATCTCATTAATCCAAGACCTAACAGCTGCCAAAGATGCCCGGGCTACAATGGACAAATTCGTTCCTTAATATCAACTTTCTTCTGTTTTCCTCTCTTATGCTTGCATGTTTGAACCGTTTTAATCCAAGTCCATTACCCCCGATCTTCTGAATCCCATGTTAATCCTGATCTTCTTTTAATCGCTTTAATCCAGGTCCCCCTTCGGCCGCAAGAGACGCCCAGGCCATGGTGGACAACAAGTCCTCGGTGGTCACGCTGACATGGAAGCCGCCGGCCAAAAACGGCGGCCGGAATGACCTGAAGTACTGGGTGGACTGCCCGCTCTGTCCGCCGGACACGGAATACTCGCCCCGCCAGCGCGACCTGCCCGGCCTGGAGGTCAACGTCAGTCGCCTGGCCTCGCACACGACCTACGAGTTTTTCATCTACGCCGAGAACGGCGTGTCCGAGCAGAGCATCGCAGCCGGCACAAAACAGGAGAGCGTTTTGGTCAACGCCACCACCTTTTCATCAGGTAACTGGTCATTTTACTTTTGGTCTTGGATCCAAAGGGGAGTAAGGCTGGGGAAGTTGTGTATATCTCACCTTTCGCCTCTGTGCACCTGGTTCGAATCCCATTCAGTGAGTTCTCAGTCCCTCAGTGCTTCTGTAGATTTTGTCTGGAATAAACTAATATTCAACAGCTTTAACCCCACCTCAGAAACTGGACACACTTGTGTCATTTTGGAGAAACCTTAGCTTTACATTGCTAGGAATAATCCTGCCCTTCCCTTTCAGTACTAAATCCACTCCTGCTGGGAATGTTGCTGAAACAAGGTTTGAACCAAAGTCCTTTGAACAAGTGGTTCAGCTGCTCTACCTTCCATCCCTGGCAAACATTGTCTCACTCACAAGTCTGCTTGTTAAAATTAGTCACGGGTGTTTAGAGAAACAGTATAAAAAATCTTTTAATTTCATTTGCAAACCTTTAATTCAGATGTAGTGTCAAAAAGTATTTGGTTCGGCAATAGATCTTCACCAATTCACTATTCAGGCAAAGTATCGTACACCTAAAACTGGCTTTTTCGAGTGTTTCCTTTCTCCCATCGATTCCTTCTAGGAAAAAAAAATTGAATCCAAGTTCTTTACTTGATATTTGTAGCCTAAGTAAAAACACCCAACCCACCAAATATTTCTCCAAAAAAAGTTAACTTTTGGGTAAAAAAAATGCAATCCATCAGTCGTACGATTAAGATCTTGTCCAAAACTGCCAGTTGCAGACCTCAAAACCCAGATTTTTTCCATCTTTTTAAATTTGTGTGACCTGGTTTTTCACTGCCCGACAGGCAGCAGAAAACCGTCTCGGTAAAAGTTCAGCACGCTCCCCTGGTGTTTACCCTAAACGACGCGCCAAAGATCGAGTCGCATGCTGATAGTCATCGGCCGCAAATACCTTGTAAATCTCGGGCCAAGTTAAAAAGCCAAAGTAGCCTGGGGTACCTCGTGGAATATTTCATGTTGCGTTGTCAAAAAATAGAAAAAACAAAATAAAGCATAGGACTGCATATCAGGATTGTATTGTTTATAACAGGGAATAAAGGTCAAAATGGGTATTAAGATGTGGGTGAAAGATAAACAGATAAAAAGTCATATCAACTTTCTTTTTTTAATTATGTCATTGATCTCTAATCTGAACCACATGGATCTATCATAAGTCCTTGAACTCACTATAAGTGGCTTTTGCCAAGTTTTGTAGTTACCACAAATATTCTACATTGGTATAAGATTATTAAATTTCTTGAGATACTCGCAGCTCCGCTGTCAGTAAGGTTTAAGATTCATCTCGGAGAAATAGAGCTTCTCAAAACGCCAACTCACAACTAGTGAAGGTGCTGCAAGGAGTATGAAGTGCCATCTGTGTCAAATTAAACATTTCGCAAAAAGGCTTGAGAATAAAGCATTACTCCCTGCACCACCCAAACACTGCCTTTTACTCCCTGTATACTGCTCAAAATCTTCCCAGCACTTTATCTGATAAAGGTGGAAATGCAAATTATACAAGTACTAAAGCGTTAAGCAAAAAGTCTTTTTTCATTAGCAAAGCATCGTCTAAAAATCCAACTGTGTTACCTAAAAAGTAGAAGTTATGAGCTCATGTTTTATTGGAAAATGTTTCTCTGCCCAATAGCCAACTAAGTTGCCCCTCGAAATATGTAAAGCTTGTGGCCGACACCGACTACAAATCAAGAGCAACTCGTAGAAAACAAATATGCTCTGAAGTGATGGTCATAAATCCTGCAAGAAAAAACCTAGGGTCTTGTGGCCTAGCTGGGCCAGTAAACTCTGATTCCTGAGCCCCAAATAACAAGCGAATGAATAACTACATGAACACCTGGTTCCTCTATTCACAGCATGTACCTCACGACCCGATTGAAAACCTAGACTCCTCGGGTATTCAAGTTTAATTGAATGATGATCTGTCGGCTTGATCTTACGAAAGAAAAAAAATTAGGAGAGGACCCTTGAGAAAATCGCAAAAGCAGAAGTCCGAAGATTCCAACCCTGGCATCGGAAAAAAAAAAAAAGCTGGGAAGACCAGACGAAAAAGTTTGTACGGTTTGGCGGGATCGAGAGGACAGACAAATTGGATATGATTGGTGATAAGTATGTGGATAATAGCTGTCACTACGGGTTTGTTGGTCTGTAACTTGCTGCTGCCAACTCAAATAATAATCGCAGTTCAACCTTTCTGTAAACCCTCAGCATCTGTACTACATGCACAAGTATTGATAAAACCATGAGTGCTTTGGCAGTTCGGGCGCTACAGGGAGTAACAGGCAGGGTCAGTTTGGGGCGGTATAGGGACTAGAAAGGTTGAAGCACACCTGACTGTCTGATTGTTATGTACATCATTTTGGATATGAACCCAAGACCTTTTAAGTGAGGACTCCCATGAAATGGCAAGCCCATGCAAGCCCCACTCAAACATCCCTCCTCAGAATCGTGAAATCTGTTCAGTGCCCCCCCAACCAAAAGCATTTAGCCCCACCCCTTTAAGGGGAACGTTGGTTTGTGTGCAAAGTTTCTGACATCTTCAACATCTGCAACAAATAAACCACAAAGTTCTTTACGACTATAGATAGCTCTTCATTGCATTATTCAATGGTTGTTATCAAAGTCTCACCATTTTTTTCTGGGATTGGACTCGCATGTTTTTGAGAGAAGCCTGTCAAAGCCTTTGCTAGCCAGAGCAAATGCATACATGTTTTATTAAATAAAAAAGAAAAACATTTATAAAACCTTGGAACTTAACTCACCCTGAACTCGGCACACACCGGCCACAAATCACCTTGCCAACAATTCTAGTCTCTCTGTCTACTTTTTCTCTTCATAAGGAAAAGAAAAAGCAACTCAAAACCTGTGTCTGGATTTTAGATTTACTGCAGCAATCCTTTCATGATGGTAGTAATAATAGAAGCGAAAAATCTCAAGGGAAATGCGTTTGTTATACATTTCTGGTTTCAGTAAAAACAGTCCAATGTTGTTATGAGACTCAAATCCACAGATTTCTCGGCCCGACACTAATGTGCAATTTGAAATTTATAACTCTTGCAACTTTCTGTACCAACCGGAAAAACAACTGAGCCTGGTTAGGTCACAGATATTTGTTTTGAAACAAACCCGATTAAGGGATTTTGACCCTGTCTGATCTTCTGAAAGATGTCTGCCAAGTGAACTTTTTTTGTTTTTGTTTTTTTATTTTTGGTCCAAATATTTGGTCAGAGAGGAAATGAAAGGGTAATATTGGGGTTGGTGCAGTGTGCCGCCTTTGTGTCCAGAAGTGTTGTGGCTTCGAAATTTCCCTGGGAGTCTGATGCAATATCAAAACAGTTCAGCCTTGTTTTGTTCCAAGCAGGAAACTGCAAGATCAAATGTTGAGATTATGCTGACTTGTTGTGAAACGGGGATGACACGTTCACTTTCAAACAAGAGATTCCTTAACAAAAATAATCATCAGGAATATAGAAAAAAGAGACTATCTTGATATAAGCTTTACCTTTATGGTCTGCTTTTGTAAGAAAAAAAACCCAAACAAACAAACACATCCATGTTCTTCAGCATCTTGCATCCATATTGTCTCCTTTCCCCAATTTTTACACTGTAATCCCTTACCTCAATTGACTTGATTAGTTCGCGCCAGGATTTTTGGGGCTGAACATTTCAATTTTCGTATATGGGAAAATATAGCTGCCAACTTTTGATAAACAGTCAAACGCCACAAATACTGATTCGCAAGAGTTATTTCAACAGTATTTGTACGATATTTCTTACCGCAACCTCAACTTTTTTGCGGTTGCCCACGGAGCATCAATTGTACCACAACAGGCCATGCATAGCGGCCTTGCTCAAGTTCAACACACGGTCTGCCTCCACAGACTTCTCGGACTTTGTGCGTGTGTACAAAACAAATAGGGGATTAGTTTGTTAAGACGTCATCCGGAGGCGAGTCGAGGCACGCCTGACGTTTTAATCCAACAGCCTTGCCTGCGTATAAAAACAGCCAGATCGTGTTAACACGTTATTCGACGTGGATTGGTGAAAAGCTATGAGGGTGTTATCATCGCAGCATTTACTTACACTTTTGCTCTGAGTATGAACCAGATTTTTGAAAGGGTTCCAGAAAAAAACAACCAAAAAGTCTATAATGGTTCATAAACAATAGTCAATACTAAAGAGATTTGTTTCTGTCCCAAAGTTTGGATAAATGTATGAAACACAGAGATACTCCAAAATCTTTTGCATAATCATCATGATTTCCAATCCAAGCTTTGAGCTCATCTCTATTTTTGTAAACCAGGAATAAGTGTATTCATTTCAGTGAGGGACAATCAAGTGAGCCTCTCATGACAAGGCTAAACAAAAAACGTGATTTCTCTTTTCTTTCAGGCATTCTTTTTTGGCATAAATTGTTTCATGAAGTATCATAGCCTATGGTGCTTGCACTGCCACTCACAGAATGATACTTTCTGAGAATTATTCAAAGCACCCAGCATCCGAAATCACTTTTTTTTCTTTATTTAGAAACTTTGTGAAATAGTGAAGAAGTGACCTGACACGCAGAGTAAAGACTTCCCTCTCTCCGACTCGTTCAACTCGTCAAATTCCAAGCATGAATCTGCCGGCAATCTCAAGTATCGCCGTGGATACGGCAGACTAGTCCCCCGATTTCTGTCTTGGCGCCATTCCTGGCATCTTCGAGGACGCCAGATCTCCCCAAAACAAACATTCCGGCCACTGGACAAATTTCCTTCTCACCAAATTCGCCTTCTTTTCCTTTCTTTTCACCCTTTTTTGTATTTTGTCATACCTGAATTGCTTTCACTGCGGCGTTCAGGTACGGTGCAGGGTTTTCAGACACTGACGATGAGCGTAATGTTTTCTTTTTACTCCTCCACTAATCGCTGTCGCGACGTTGTCTTGGCTTGAGAGCATTCTTAGATGGTTATGCCTCCAAATCGACTCCGAATAGCTTCGTTTTTATTTTTTTTAACAGGAAGGTGCCAAGGTGGTAAGGTTTTCACAAATTTTGGGACTTCAGAAAGGAGTGAAAAGTTATACAGTTTCATGATGTGAGGATATTTAGTTTTATTTTTGGCTTATGAATTTTTCTTTTTTGCACATGTAATTTGAAAAACCTCTCATTCCTTAAAATGTGATCGTTTTTTTTGGGGGGGGGGGTTGAGTTTTCTTCCAACAGCGCCTTGAGCGTAAATTTTGACAGATTTGGCACTGTTCAAGAATTAGTTATTATCATTATTATTACAGTAAAAAAAACCCACATTTTATAGGAATATTCTACAAATGATGTACCACCATGACTAAAGTTTTGAGTACTATCTACGGTACATGCAGGAATCTTTCCCACTTAAATCATACAATATTTGCCGCAGTGTGTGAATATTTCAGTTTGCGTCCAAACAAAGCCACTCAGAAAATTGCATGTCACAAAGTCTTCCGACTTGCAAATATTATACATACAGTCCTAACTGCTAATATTGGAACAATTTAAATTTGCCCTCTGGGATGCAAAAGTCTATGCAGAGCAACAAAACCCTAAAGCTGCAAAAATAAATTTTTCCCCAAAATCAGATTCCTTGGTTCTACACGATCAAGCGCCTCCGCGAAGGTTGCAACGCATCCGCTAAATGTTATCACAGCCTCGGAGACAGAAAACGCAGGACAATTTTTGCCTCTTAACTCCCACCCCATGTACTCCGTGAAACACGGAGACACGTGCAACACTTGGCTTGCCGCAGCAGCACAATTTGACCCACAGTAGGCCGAGGCGAAAAAAGAAGTCGTAATCTTGTTAGCCCACTGAATGCTGACGGCCTCGCAAGCCGAAATTGAAGTCTAATTCTGTTTTTCGGAGGTGTTGGAGTCCTTTTTAATATCAAATAAATTGCTGTGTTTGCGGCGAAGGTTTCCCCCTTCTTCCCTTGTCCAGGCGAGGGGGAACAGTTGTTTGCGTTGGAACGCTGTCCTGGCTACATCTGATTAAATCGCCGGGCACTCGCAGTTCGTAGATGTTAATGCCACTTGTTTTAGTCAAGCGGGGGCAAACGTGGGCCTTGACATGAATAGATAAAGGCGTTTGGGATGGATACAGGCAAAATGTTAAAGGTGGATTTGTGCAATGGGTAGACGGTTGATGGATTTGTTGTTTTTTTCAGTAAGAATTTGGAATGGAACAGGACAGAAAGAACCGTCGAATAATTGTAGTGCCTCAGCGAAAAGCAGGCAATTCCCAAATTTAGGGATTCAATTTCGGAACCACAATAAAATATGAAGATCTCAACCACAGGGTCAAAATGCTGTGAGATTTCTACCTTATTCAAAGTTTAATGATTTCTTTTTCTGTAACTTTAAGACAAATATATAAAAATAAAAAAAAAACCCAGATATCAGCCAAGATGTGCTGTCACAAGATTCCAAAATTTTTGGATAACTAAATGTTGGCAATTCAATTGTCCTCTAAATTTCTTCCCAAAAATACAATAGGCAATGAATTTGTACGATCTTTGTTCAAGTATTTTGAATATTCTTAAGAAAAAAAGTTTGTTTTCGAGAATTGTTTTCATTTCATTTTTGTTTGGGCTCAGTAGCACAACAAGTGCACGGACTGTCATAGCTTTAATTTCAGAATTTAAACATTTGGCAACATGACTTCATAAAAAGGCCAAGTAGAACTCTCGTAAATTCCCGAGGGTCCACGTATCACCAAAACAATCAAATTGTAATGGAGAAGGAAAAAAATCTGCCTCCCACCTTAAACATGAAAAATAAAAGAAAGGGAGAAATTTTCATTTCACATATTGTGGATTTCACGACTGATAATAACCCACAATTATTTATTTGTCCATGCCAAGTCGACCATCCATCCCGTCTCAAAAGGCTGGTTCCCGCTCATTAAACCGGTCCCAATAGCCGGCCATAATGGTTCTCCTTGGGTGAATGTAAACAGATTGAGCCTTGAAAAAGTCACATTAAAAAAACAACTCACTATCAACATGTAGACCCCACATTTGCAAACCTCATAATTTGCTGCAGTGTGGCAGTGGTAGGATTTCAAATAGTGTCAGTAAAACGTTGGTACTGTGAATTAGGTTTGTGCGACAGGCTTTATCATTTCCATCCCACAATCTGTGTATTTAGTAGTATCATCATCATTCTCACTTGCACAGGAGACTCATACTCATTATTGTCAAGTTTTAAATGAATTGTGTTTGGCAAGTAAAAAGTACAGACTATGTGTAATTTTGCTTGGTGAGCAGACAGAATTTTATGAGTTGCCGAAAACAACAAAAAAAGAGGGGGGGGAATGGCTAACCAATTCTAAAATGCTTTTACATGCCTTGTCCTTCACATGCACATTTCCTTAAACATTTTGCCATAAAAACAAAGTAATTTCATCCAGGAAACATAAAAATCCCTTCTCAAATCCCCCGACTTGCCGCAAACTCACTGGCCCTCAATTTTTGATGGGAAAGTCACACTCGGCCTCGAGGCTTTAACACACACACAGCCACACACCACCGAAGTCGATTAGGTTCACATGTGCTTTTGATCGATTCATAAAACGCTGCAAAGCACCATCAACATTCTCATCATAAAAACTGTATGCTCCTGAGGACAGCTGCTGTATCACAGAATGTTGTCTGTAAAAAAAATTAACATTGAATGAATGAAAATGTCTTTAGCTGAAGTAATGAAAACATGGCTATACTTTAATTTTTGAAAAGCAAGTGATACAAAAATTGATTTGATATCAAATTTAAAGGTTGTATGATCCTTTTTACAGAAAAAAAATCAGTCATTTTGAAATGAAGTTATGGATTTTAAGGCAGATTAGTTTCAGTTATTTTCTCCTGTAGATCCTCTAATAAATGCAGAGAAACTTAAGTTTGAAAAAACATTTTTGGAAGAAAAATGAGACCTCGGTTTAAACTGTTGAAATATCAGGACCTGATCATTGCCTTATGAAATGTTTGGAGAATTTGGTTGTCAAAGAGTAAAGTTGGGTGAAGTTGAAGTTTTTCTCTGTCCTCAAGATCTGAGATGTTGCCAAGTCAATCACAACTTATTTAGTCTTCAGTAATGTCGAGTTACATGTACTCAAGTGCACTGAGACAAAGGCATTCCTTTGTCATTGTTCATTTCCTCGTACTTGTGACCTTACGTGTGATGGACTTGTGATTTGACTTCCGGTTCACTTGTGAACTTGAAATTTGTTTTGACTACAACTTTGCTCAAGCCTCAGTCTGCCTTAAAGACAACAGTATAAACCCTTCAAAACTAACTTCCGTTCTCCTTCCCTGAATTTTCTCTCGTTCGCTCCAGTTCCCTCGGCCGTCCGTGCAGTCATCGTGGATGATGAAACCTCGACAGAAACCTCCATCAGCCTGATCTGGAAGCCCCCCATGTTCCCCAACGGACAGATCATCACCTACCAGATCCGCTACCGGACCACGGTGGAGATGGTTGACGAGAGTAAATATCACTACCAGAAGGCCGTACCCGGGGAAACCCAGAGCACCACCATCACGGGATTGGAAACTGGCATGGACTATGTCTTCGCTGTAAGTCTGACTCCTTTAACCAATCATCTTTTTTACTACATTGTGCTTATTCACTGAGTGTACACTATAAAGTGCTTGGGCAGGTTTTGGGCGCTACAGGGAGCAATAGGCAGGGCTGTTTTGGGCAGTACACTGATTAAAGGGTTAACCAGCTTCTCCATTCACAGGAGGAGGGTGGAGTGGGAGCTAGAAGGCCGTGGCAGGGTGGGTGGATATCCTGTGATGCTTGGGACCCTTCTCTCTCCCCCCCCCCCTCCCACCCTTCGTCTTTTATAAATATTTCATGAATCTGTGGCGAAAAAGGGGATGAGTACTCAGACTGCAATATCAATATAAAAACAGTTGTCTTCACTCCTCTATAGTTTAAAGATAACAATCACAAAAACCAAAATCACCTTTTGTAGGGATGGATGCACCTACATGTATGTATTCAATTGAATGAATCATTAAGTTGCATGTTAATTTTGAACTTGAGCATGACAAGCTCGAACCGTCAGTTGGTTGGCCCACTGAAACTTGTCAGACGTGAATAGTTTGTAGTAACTTTTCAATTTGTGTTCTTTTGTTTTTGGTGGTCCTTCAGAGTAGCTGATATACCTTGAAGAAGAAAAGTAACAGAAATTGCAAGTTTTAGGCAGGAGAGGAACATTTGGGTATTAAATGGAATATTTTGTCATGAACTTCTTTTTCGAATAGATTGCAGCTACTACTAAAGATGGAGTGGGAGAGTATAGCACACCACTGATGACAAGCACTGACGGTAAGTTGCTTGATAAGAAGTCAAAATGCAAAACTTGCAGGTGACTGTGGTTTTTTTTTTTGCTTGCGTAGAAATACAGCAGTTATTTCCTCCTTTTTTCCCCTGTGCTATGGTCCTCGATTTCTCCAAATCATTGTGTCAGTGCAACAAGGTTGTAACTCCATTCTGCAACCAGGGCCAAGTTCGCACAAGGACTATAGTTAACCATAGTTCGACTAACGCTTGGCCGAACTCTGTCTAGTCGACGGTGGTTGACTACGCTAGTCGACTATTTGGAACCAGCCTACTGGGGTTGGTTGCTTCGCTGGTAACCAATAGCCGCGCGCATTCATAACGCTAGCAGAGAGCCAGGATCCAGAAGTTTTGCGATGACATTTTGACCAGCGTTTGACTAGAGACGTTCGCACGTTGCTATAAGGTACATGTACGTCACAAATCAACCACTAGTCGACTAATGGTCCTTGCCCGAACTTGGCCCCTGTCGTATCTCGCACGAATACGCTCCGTGCAACAACGTCGTATCTTGACGTCCAATGACTTTGTGTGTACATCCGGGTTATTTTAAGTGAGATACAACCTTTTGACATTCTGAAACTCATGTTTCACGTACGGCCCATTTTAGAAAATACGACCTCGTTGCACGTGCACGACAAAATAAACTTCCTCTGATTTTCAATGCTGGAAAAGCTCTTTTCACGAAGTAAGAGGAATATTTTGAAGAGGATTGTTTTGAATAAAAATCAAACGATTTGCCTGGATTTGTTTCTGGATGACATTTTGGAAAAACTTTAATTCCGCACACATCTGGGCTTTTAATTTTAATATCTCTGTTTTTTTTTTTTATATATATTCGTAGGTGGTCGTAAGAGTCAGATCTACAACACTGCCATTATTGCCGGCGCAGTAGCTGCGTTCTTCATTATAATGGTTCTAGTGGCCATCGTTATATTCCTGCTGATCTGCTGGAGAAGGTACAGTAATGCGTTTGGGTTTGGCTTGTTAGTTCTAATCATTATTGCATGACTGTGATAAATGTTTCTGTGAAATGTGTGAGTACGAAAATGAATGGTATGCCTATAACTTTGTTTTGGACATCAATTAGTTAAAGAGTGCTTTTTCTTTGATCGTACTTCGGCAGTCAACAATGTGTCTCTACTGGTTTATGATATTTCTACTTGTGATCCAAGATATATTGTGGGAAGTCATCCGTCATCAATTTGGTTTTCCCTGAAGCCTGGAGTTACATGGTGATAGTGGCTTGCAAACGTGCAATAAAGGTTGGAGGAAAAACTCCTGATATTTGGGAAAGTTTTTCACTTTCATTTGAGAGAATTTTGGGGGGAAATGTTACAAAGCACATGTTCAGGTGATTTTGCACACTTGAATGTCTTGTGTCAACATCTGTGGAAACTCAGAAACCATTATCCTTGTTTCAAATTTTTTTTTTTGTTATACCGGAAAAGTCAAATTGTGTATATCAGAAACCATTATCCTTGTTTCAAAATTTTTTTTTTGTTATACCGGAAAAGTCAAATTGTGTGTGATACATGTTATTTACAAATGGGACACCAACCATTAATGTCAAGAAAAAAATAATTGACAAAATTAAACTCAGATTTTTTTTTTGAATTCTTGTCATTTTTGTGATAAGTAGATTTGCTCAGTTGAAATTTGTGACATTAGTTTTTATTGATATGGAACCAGTTCACAGTTTCTTCTTGATGTTGTTTTCTCTGTCACTGTGTCATTGTAGTGACACCAAGTGACAAGTGACAAAGCTTCGTTCTGATTGACAATTTGTCACCAACTTTGTGTGTACAGAGTCTGTTATTTCTTGTGGTTGTTTCAAGAATTGACATTTGTACTTTTAAGAATGTTAGTTTTACTACATTTTATTATAAAAAGGTGGCCATATACTTCTTGTGACAGGCTTTAGAAAGAGTTTTTGTCCAAAAAAAATTCGGAACGCATCAGAAACAGGCTGGGGGAAGGGAAGCATTAAAGTTTTCTGGTTTGACAAAAAGGAATATTTTTCTTCATTTCTTGGGAGTGTAAATAAGCTTCATTGTTTCAGATAAAGTCAATCTGATTTTGGACACAGTTCTTGTTTCAAGAGTGACATCAATTTTGAAAAAAAAAATATGGCGGCCTTTTTGTGTCGAGTTTTGATTCCTAACAAAATAACCCCACCCATATCCACACCCTTTCCTGCCTTTGTTTCGACCAGGGCATGATCCTTGTTATCTTGTCGGTATGCCATGCCCACGTCAGACGAAGTGGGCGTGGCCAACTATAGAGGGCGCTGTTATTTCAGTGTTTTGTGATACAGTTTTAAAAAAAACGTGACTTCCGTTCGCACTCAAAGACAGTTTTGAGTGCGAAGTTTTGTGAACTTCAGACCTGCTTCAGGCATTCCAACAAAATTGAAACAGCGCCCTCTGTGGTCCAACCTGAGAAATTCCAGTTCTTCTATCCCACCCTACCCCACATCACATTGACTGACACATTTTCCTCTTACTAATAAACAACCCCTCCCCCACCCTGAGATCCCCCTCCCCCAGCATTCCTATAGAATCATGAAGGAGCTGTTTTGTTGTCCCTTATATTAGTTCCCTCCATATTTGGTGTTATTATTTAATAGAGATTCCCCTATCAGCCTTTGCCTCGATTTCAAATTGATTTATAAAAAAAAGCTGCGTCCATTTCTTTGAACCATCTAAATTAGTCCCCCCCCCCCCTAAAAAACATGTTGTTCTTCTGTCAGTGTAGATTTGTAAAATCCTAGAGTAACTCAAAAAGTCTCGCAGGAGATTTTGTGGTTCTGATATTATTTTCCCCTATCGCCAACGTGCCTCTTTTATGTTTGAACTATTGTGATTCTTGATTTCTTGTTTTCCTTCTTGCATGTATGTATTCCTTTTTTCCGTTGCTCAGGCGTTTCATATACAACCTCCGGCGAGATATGGCGGACATTAAGTACAGTTCCATTAGGTAATCTTTATAAAAAAAACACCGTAAAGATAACAAAAGTTGCTAATGAAATAAAGCTTGCCATTATAAAGGTTATCCCACTTTTCAGAGTAACAAAAATGGACCTCTTCCACATCATGAAAACTGAAACAAAATCTCTGCTATTTGACAAATTAAACTCTACATGTAGACTGATACTAGATTTTAAAAAAACCTGTTAACACCCTCTTGTAGAATAGACTAGTCCATTTTGACACAGTGTTTTGAGCATTGTTGGAAGAGTCCATTAAGAGTATTAGGGTTTGCTTGCAGCTGCAGAGGGCATTCGGGAGGACTTACACATTTCATTTGGGTTGGTTTGCATCATCATTCAGCATCGAGTAATTCTCTGAGGTTGCGACTTCAAAAAAATCTTGACATTAAAGTTAGGGAGAAACATCAATATACGCAGACAAGAAAGTAGGGTAACAGGAAAGAAATTCAATCTTTGGGACAAAGAGGGTCATTCAATGCCGAAATTTCTTTGAAAAAGGGAGGCCAAATTTCAAAAAGGAAGAAAACAAGTCATGTTAAAAAACATTTGCAAAAAGTTTGTAATTGGAGAAAGGTAACAAAAATTGTTTTTCATAAAATAATGGGGTTTTATTTGTTCTCTTCTCATTTGTTGACACAAAAATGAAACGACTAAAGAAAAAAGTACAAAAATATTCAGGAACAAATATAGAAAAGGAAAGCAAACCGATCGAAAATCAGATTCAAATTAATGCGCCTCAAAGAATTACTAAGATTTGGTGACCAGACAACAAACTTCAAACAAACTTTTTCATTTGGTCATTAGAACAATCTCAGCTCTATCATTTTCAAAGCTCCGGGTAAATCACATTTTCTGCTAAATTTTGGTTGACTATTTCCTTTCCATGTGCTCAGTAATCGACCGCCAAAACTGAAATAAAATAAAATCTGCTTTATTTACTTATCTATTTATTTGTTTGAGTTTGCCTTGCAAATGGTACTAGCTCATATTGTCATGGTGGTGTTCATTTTTGTCGTGATATACTTTTCTGGCTGGGACCGTGTTCAACATGTTTGCTGCCCCCTATCCTGCCTGTATGTCCAGTTTGTAACCCTTGAACTCTGACCTTTTGACCTCTCCCAAGGATCGGGTGATTTTGCTTGAAGTGTGTTCGCGTCTTATCCTTATTTTTCCAAAACACCATTTTTGTTGACAACTGGAAAATGTTTTCAACGAGAGTTCTCCAAGAAGCTGAGCGACCAGGGGTCTATTTTTTTTGAGAATGTAGATGCGACACACCTCACGCTTATTTATCCTTCCCTTTTTTGCTTCCCGTCATTTCATCATACTCATCTCACCCCAACTCCCCCACCCTCCCTTCCTTCACCTAACTCATTTGCTCGTTACTCACTCACTTCTCACTCACTCTGGTTTGCTCCCCCCTTTCTTCTTTATACTGACTCACTACCGACTCGTTTAACGATACATTATGGGCGTCGTCATTGGCTGTCATCTTCTCCACCATCGTCATGGTTAACAGGCGCAAGGCTAACCAGCTTTATCTAAAGATTGCGTCCTGTCCTAACAACGGGTAAAACTGATTTCTTTCACTAACAAAACATGTTTGTTTTGTGGTCGAGTTGTCCAGGTCTTTTTTGCGTTTTCTGATTTCTTCCCGTACCCATCATTTTCCATTTGAAAAAAAAATGTCTTTTGGGTGATACCATTTTGCCATTTTATAGTATACATCATTTTTTGGGTTGTTTTAGAAGTTGTTTTATTTTACCATCCTTTGATCTGTGCAATTGTAGACCAATGGTGTTGAGTATCAAACTAACAAAACTGGCAACTCTAAAGAAGATAAAAAATGATTTAAAAAAGCAAGACGAATCTTTGAGAAAAAAATTGATAGAATTTCTCTTGTTAAATACGTCAATTTTATTTTGGTTTGTAAAAGGGACCCAACACAATTCTAATGGTGATATGCACTTGCACCTTTTCACATTTGTTTTTTTTTTTGGTGGGCAATTGTCACGGAAATTATTGCCATGGCAATGTCCAGCATCAGCTTTTCATTGGTCATTGTGCAGGGACAACTATGACATCAGGGGGCATTTTTTTTTTTTGGTGAGGCTTTCTCATTGCTTTTATGTTGCATTTGTAAAGCCTGTCGTCTCATGGAGATTTATGCATACAATTTGCATATGTGCATATTCATTTGGTGATGTCATTCAACTCCACCCATTTTTTGCTTTATGCCACTTGATTTGAATTTTTTTGTTTCTGCAGCTGTTTCCTGTGTATTGTGTTTTAAAAAATTATAGTGGGCTTTTCATGAGGAACACACAGATTACTCCATAATGGCAAATTTTGCTTCATTTTAAAAAAAATACACATAGCAGCAAGTTAATAAAATAATGCAATAAGTACATTTTACACAATGTGTGTTCTCCATGAAAATTAAACTGATCTTGCATTACTGTTAATTTCATACATTTTTGTAATCACCATGGATTTGGTTCATCCATTTCTTCTAATTTGATCTTCCATTGAAGTACTTAATGTAATGGATTAATCCTTCTTTCAAATAATTGCAGTAATATCTGTTTAAATGCGTATATGTTACAGGCTCCTTAAGAAAGTTCAAAAGCCAAAGAGAAAGCATTTGCAGTTTAAAATTTACTGTAAATCTTTGGTCCTTTCGTCCTCTCCACCCAATTAAGAAAGCAGGGCAAACCGCAATGGAACTGTTTCGGGGGTTGTTTTGAGGGCTTTCTTAAAAAACAAGAGTGTCTTTGCAGCCTGTGTTTTTTCCCCACTGTTGCGAGTCGGCCTGCTGCGTTGTATCAAAGAATAACGCACTCAACACTTTACTTGACCTTTGTTTACATCTTCCGTGACTTGAATGTCTGATGATGTTATGGAAGTAGAACAAGCAGTGCAAGTGCTTTTTGTTTAATTCTGAAAGTGGTTTTTTTTTTCAGGCACAAATATATCAATTTGAATGTACATCCAAAAGCTGTATTTTTTTATATTGATACACAATTTGAAAGCACTGAGCATTGTGTATTGATAAAGGATAAATTTGGCAAAGGAAATTTTCATTGAATTTACGAAATTCCAAGTATCAAAGTTTGAAGATTTAATGTACTGAATGGCAGCCTCTGATTGGTCAAAATTGTTTGCCTGCACCCGGCGTGGAGTTTGTTGATTCTTGGTGGTGAAGACTTTTCGCGTATTTCAAATTGTATGCTTTGCTTTCCTAAAAGCCTCATACATGTAGCTTAAATAGTGGGGCAGAATTACAAAATGCGTCGTGCAGTTCGGTCGACAGCATTTGTGTGGATATTTCTGAAAAGCTGTACAGTTATTGTTAATTGTTCGTAATATCAGCTTGCTATTTTACCCAATCATTTCTTTGAAAAATATAACCCATCTGACTGCTTTTTTGTCAAATATTACTCCTAAGTCTAATGATCTTTTAAAAAATAACCAAAATTCTCCTTGCGTTGGAACAAAACTCTGTATTATAAGTACAAACATCTAACAAGTGCCAAAAAATATGAAACAGTTTTAACCAAATAACTTAATCTTTGCCAAATGCAGATAACGCAAGTAATACACACCTTGCTTGTGCTTAGTGTGGCAACAGTACGCTTAGCAGTTTTTGTGTGAAAATTATTTTGTGAAATGAACCCCTAATGAAAAAATATCCATGTTCCTTTCTTCCTAAGGGTTGATACAGCAATTCGCTTTATAGCAAGCATGTGTTACGGAATAAAAACTGAATTTGGAAAATTTGTTTTCTTCAAACAGGAAAAAGGAGGTGCCGCCCATAGCAAACGGAATGATTTATTCCAATGGCCCTAACGGAGAAGGTAAATTTTCTAATAATGTAAAATTTCTTGATGGAATTGAACTTTATGTCTGATTTGTTTGTTTGTGAAAATGGTGCGTCTCCCTTAGGCCGTTAGTATTAACAAGTGAACCACAAATTGAGGAACAAGACAAATATTTTGTGTCGTTTTTGGTACTTGCACAGCGGAGAAAATTGGTGAAGTCAGTGCAACAGCAGGCAGTGGCATCCATCTAAATTTATTCCTGCATTTGGCGAGGAAGATCAGTTGCCACAGGCATTAGAAAACAAACAGAGAAAAAAAGGAAAAAGGTTTCTTTTTCTTTGTGTTCAGCTGTCAAGGAGGTTATTCCGTCGGACAAAAGACTCACCACCTGCAATCCGTTTCCCCCATTGTCCGATTGGAAATGCCCGTCAATAGAATCCGTGTCGTTCGCTCCGGGGATAAGAAGAGAGAAGGGAAAAGATATACGATCAAAGTTGATTGTTGCTTGACATCTCTCTCGGAATTTCAACCCCCGTCTGCATTATTCCCCCAATTTTTGCTGTCGGATATGCGTTTTTTCTTTTCCCTTTTACTTGCGAAGAAGAGCGATCTTTCCTCTATCACTCTTTAGTGTTTTCCGCGGAAGCAGCGATCTATAGGCCGCGCAGTCACCCGGGGGCGCCAAACCCTAGGAAATGTATTTCGCTTTCGAAACAAGCCTTTGAAGTCTTTCGAGGGACCCCATCAGGGACTTCTTGTGCTATTGTGCCATCCAGTATTTTGTATTCAGCGGTTCGGCAAATTCTGACAAACAAATACGATGTTTCCTGACATATCGTTGACTCTGTTCTCTGGTGACAAGCACTGTTATGATATGTTTGTGCACTTTTTGACAATTTCAGAGAGGCAGATGTTTCTTTTCAGATTTTTTAATAAGTGGTTAAGCAGCTGCATGGGTACAGTAAGACCAGATCAGTGTTGAGTCTTCAGCAGTGATGAGAAGACATCTTAAATAACTTTCTTTTCAAATGACAAACTTGCTGAGCTGCTTAACAGCAAAAACTTTGTAAGCACGAAAAAGCCCACAAAATTGTTGTCTGTAATTTCATGGCACTGTACTCAGCTGGTTCTAAGCTGAATTTGTGCTCGGCAGATAAACTGCTAACCACGGTAGAATGCCAAGATGACCAACACATTCAGGTTCACAAACGTTTGTTCTGTTTTGTTCATAAAACTTTCGGAGCCAAAGAGGATATGTGTGTTATAATAATGGAATGTTCATTGTTGTTCCGTTCAATTAGAGACCTTCTATACTGTACCATTTCCTTTCTCAAGCTACGTAAAGTTCCATTTTATTTATTTTTCTCAATATTATGATCTCAGCACAAGAATTTCCCACAGGCCTACCTAATTTTTTTTGACAGAGAACTCCAGTCTCCATCAATCAGCATGACGAGGACTCTTCATGTAATAACTTGAGTTTTCTTAAAGGTACTAAAAAGAGCAACTTGTCTAATTCTCAAAATTCCTCTACTTTGTCTTCTTTATCTGTAGCCGTGATCCTGCCCCACATCGGCAAAGCCCGTACCTACATTGACCCTTTCACTTACGAGGATCCAGTCCAGGCCGTCAGAGAGTTTGCCACGGAGATTGACGCCAGCTGTATCCGCATTCTGGACGTCATTGGTGGAGGTAAGACACAATGTCACCATTACTGGACTCCATCGCCAAGTGTCTCATCACTCGGTCACATTCAAAGAGTTGGGTTGGGGGTGGGGACTTCAAACACACTGCCACCATAGGCCTGGTGCTCTCACAAAGCAGGATACAGATTTGCGTGCACTCAGAATTGAATTAATCGCACATACTTCACGTGTTACCTGTGCTTAGCTGTGCGTTTGTTTATGGTGTAAATCGAGGACACATACGTGCAACATCATCGGTGAATCGAAGACACGAACCAAATCGAGGATGACCTCGATTAGAAAACGTTTACAAAACCAGTGAGAGCTGTTGTGAAAAAGTTAAAAACAAAGAAAAGGGAAGAGGAACTAAAGAAAATCCTTGATTTACACCATGAACAAACGTGCTATCACCCGTAATGTGTTTTACATAACCCCCGAGGACCGACACACAAAGGGAGAACAACAGATCCTTTCAGTCCTCGGGCGTTGGGTCTTTTGTTGGAAACGCTCCTCTGTAGTAAGTTTGTGTGCTTAGTCTGTGGGAGAGTGCTATATTACAGGGACAAAGGGAAACACAAAGCATTGTCCTCGAGAGCATAGTAAAACTTGACTGTCAGCACAATATGTGTCTACAGTGGGGTTTTGTCACAAAAGCATTATCTAATGTTCTTGTACATTGTACATTGCATAAGCATAGGGTTTTTACCAAGAGGTCATTATTGGAAAAAGTTGATGCCTACGTGGGAAAAAAATCCAAGCAGAATTAATATTTGTTTAAAAAACAAATTATTACCAGCCAAAATATCATGGTATGAATACCCTCTCGTGACCGGTTCTCCGCTGACGGTTGCCAAGCACAAAAATCTGACAAGCGATATTTGTTTCTGCTTATCAGGCCCATTAAAATATGCCGTGACGGTAAGGTATGCTTGTCAGTTTGTCTGGCTACATCTTTCCGTCAACACTTGGAGATCTAAAAACAAATCTTCCCTTGATACTTAAAAATAATACTTTATCAATCATGGGTCGTCCTCTTGAGTGACTGACTCTAGAAGTACATCCACGAGGAGTGTCAATAAGGTCATATCTGAATCAGCTCTGTTCAAATACACAAGCTATATTATATTACCATAATCATTGACAAAAAAACAAAATTCTCCTTTTAGACCCAGCCTAGAGGCCCATTCATACTTCACACGAATTTCAGTGCGAAGCGAATTCGTTAAGGTGATGGCAAACGTCATATTGGCACTTTGATTGTTGACGTCATGAAATTGTTGTCAAGTTCAAGTGGAGTATGAACTGGTTTTAAAAAAAGGCTGGCTTTTTCACTCAAAAATTTGTTAAAATGTTACCCCGAGCTTGGTTGTATTCCCCCCCCCCCCCCAGGCGAGTTTGGCGACGTCTGCTCGGGCCTGATGCTCATGCCGGACAAGTCCACCCGCAAAGTGGCCGTCAAGACCCTCAAGACCGGCGCCTCGGACAAAGACCGCGCCGACTTCCTGTCGGAGGCCTCCATCATGGGTCAGTTTGACGACCCCAACGTCATCGAGCTGCTGGGGGTCGTGACCCGCACCAGACCGGCCATGATCGTGACTGAGTACATGGAGAACCGATCTCTGGACACTTTCCTGAAGGTTGGTCAGACCGGAGTGCACCTTTAAAGGCGTCTTTTGGGATTCTGAAGGAAGCAACTTGAAATGCATATTTGTACATGGGTCATTCTTTAAATTTGAGGTCCAGTCTTTTCCCTGTCCCTGTTACATCTGACATCTATGATTGTATTATTCTGATGCACTCCTTAATGCAGTCATCCTCCAAGAGTGATTATGAATAGCAAACTACCTACCCAACAAATAAAACACCATTTGAAGTCATTCTTAATGATACTTGGATGGCAAATTACAAAGTTCAGAGTTAAACGGGGACAGGAAAATTGTCACACTTTGGACCCTGAATTTATAGAATGCCCCAAAAGGAAAGTAGTCTGCAGAGTTTGAAATGCTTCACACCACTTCTGTGTTTGTTGGTTTTTGTTGTTTCTCTTTTTGGGGCTAAGTGACTAAGAGAATCTCCTTCAAAGATGCAAAGGTTTCGTAGGCTGCCCCTAATGTTTTTGTCTTTTTATATTTTTTTCTGATAATAAAACCAGAAATTCCTCAAAAGTGAACATTGACTGTATTTGCTGGCAAACTAAAGAAACGTAGAAACAAGAACATATTCATAAGAAAGTGAATGCCAAACAACTTTAAGGCTTAAAATATTTGCAGCAAAATTTGCCAGACTTGAAACATTTTGTGGTGTTTACTCTTCTTCGTGTCATGGGTTCGTTCTTGCATTAGCTTCCTCGCCAAAACAATCTTGTAAAATTGAACTTGCTTAAAATAAACTGAATTTGGCATTTTCCAATCATTTTTTTCCCTTCTTCCATTTTAGGAGAATGACGGCAAATTCTCAGTTCCCCAGCTGATCTGCATGATGCGTGGCATCGCCTCGGGCATGCGTTACCTCTCTGAGATGAACTTTGTGCACCGTGACCTGGCCGCGCGTAACATCCTCGTCAGCAGCACTCTGGTCTGCAAAGTGGCCGACTTCGGACTGTCGCGACGAAAACACGAAGGAGCCTACGAAACCAAGGTACGTCACACATGCAATGTGATTAAACAGCTAAAACAAAATCACAGTGAAAAAATCGTCTTAAAAAATCATTGGATGGCAGAACGCGAAATAAGACACAGAAAACCACCCAAACACAATGGACGAGATTGGTCTAGTTTGAGGCATCACTGTACACTCGTAGTGTAACATGTAGGCTTTGTTTGGACTGTTAATGGTCGGAAATGATCGGATGTCCAAGCTGAATTTTATCCTGTGTAGGCCAAGCTATGACTCTGATTTCAAGATACCAATATCGATTCTGGTGTAGTTTTGTGAAAGCCAATTGAACGCAGTGAAAAATGCTTTCCACTCTATAATTTTAGCAGGTGAATAATATAAAAATGGCACAGCCATAATTTGAGTTAAAACCAATCCTTGATCTGGTTTAAAAGGTGTTTTTCTTGCGTCATTGTCAGGGAGGTAAGATCCCCATCCGATGGACAGCCCCTGAGGCCATCGCTTTCAAGAAGTTCACCTCGGCTAGCGACGTCTGGAGTTATGGCATTGTCATGTGGGAGATCATGTCCTACGGAGAGAGACCCTACTGGAACTGGCCCAACCAAGATGTAAGTTACAGGGTCTGTCTCGGCAAAGTGAGATTTGTACTTTGCATGGTAGAAAGTACAACTTGGGAGGTTTGTGGATAAACTATTTGAAGGGACCATACCATGTGCCATGGTATGTGGGTTTGAATCTTGACAGGGATCATGGTGCTTGTGTTCTTGGGCAAGACACTTTACTACAATTGCCTCTCTCCACCCTGGAGCATAAATTGGTGCCAGGGAAGAGACCAGATTACACTGGCTCAAAAGTTCCTGCTGTAGTTACTCCTTTTTTTTCTTCAAGTAATTATTCTTTTTTTTTTAAATTGGTAAGGTGATCCGTGCCGTGGACAAGGGTTACCGCCTGCCGCCCCCTATGGACTGCCCCGAGGCCCTCCATCAGCTCATGCTGGATTGCTGGCAGAAGGACCGCAACCATCGTCCGACCTTCTCCACCATTGTCTCCACGCTGGAGCGCCTGACTAGGAACCCACACGCCCTCCGGCCCCTAGCCAAGGCTGGGTAAGTGCAAGACCCGTAAAAAAAAAGTGGCAGGCAAAAAATGGAATTGGGTTTGTGGGAGTCAAACCAGCAAGTTATAGGAAGTAGAATATTTCATCATGAAATAGCAGGCAAATATGTAGGGGGATGTAAGGAATGGGAGTGTAAAACGGACGACGAAAACATACAGGACTTTTTTTAAGCAAAGGCAAAAATGTAAACAGCGAAAGACCTTGATGGCAAACTTGTTCTAAAATTGACCAAAGCGAAGAACAAAACATTTCTCGCAACATTTTATGTTGAAGCAGCTGAAATGCAGAAGCTTTTGTCTGAGGTGGCATCATTGTTTGTACATGAAAAATGAAATTTGTGTTTGCATGAAAAATGTTTAAAGCTACAGTCCATCATTTGCAGCTATCCAAAAATAACTGATGAAATTATTGTTGCAAAACATACTTGGTTGAAAGATAGTAAGGGAACTAAACTCCCTGTGAAATTATTCTTTCTGGCATGCTGTCATTCATGTCATTGTGAAGAAATCAACGAAAGAAGGCCTATCCAAAAAGTAACTGACATTGGAAATTTCCGTTAGTAGTTTTTTTTCTTTTCAGCGAAGCGCGCGCAAGGGTTGAAACGACGCATACACACACGTGGTTGCTATAATTCGTTGGATCAGTGCGTAGCTTAGTCGGCTCGGTGATAATGTGTCTCTGACGCTGAATTCTGGCCTAACTCAAAACATGATTCAGCAACATTTGATTTGAAATTGAGATCCTAGAATGTTGTTTTTCTCAAAATATACAACTGAAGCTGAGCTGAAACTTCATCGGGTTAGTTGTTCAGCACCCTTCTTTAGATTTTGAGCACTTTTGTTGCTTCAAACGAACAAAATGCACAAATGACAAATGATGGACTGTACCTTTAAAGGCCATGATACATCATCATAAGTGGCAGTACGAAGACTAAAAAATGATGTCCTGTGGGACACAAAGGCCAAGTTCGCGCAAGGACTATAGTTAACCATAGTCCGACTAATGTTTGCCCGAACTCTGTCTAGTCGACGGTGGTTGACTATGTTAGTCGACTACTTGGAACCAACCAACTGGGGCTGGTTGAATCGCTGGTAACCAATAGCCGCGCGCATTCATAACACTAGCAGAGAGCCAGGATCCAGAAGTTTTGCAATGACATTTTGACCAGCGTTTGACTAGAGACGTTCGCACGTTGATATTAGTGCGCAGGCGTAAGGTACATCACAAATCAACCACTAGTCGACTAATAGTCCTTGCCCGAACTTGGCCCAAGCTGACTTCTGAGGATTCCTATTAGTATTACCTAGTTTTATTTAAATGGCCCTCAATTTTTTTCTTTGCATGTGCAGGGTCAACCAGATGAACAACAGCTTCACCGACCTGAGCCAGATCCGCTCGGTCCCGGACTGGCTGGAGAGCATCAAGATGGGCCGGTACAAGGACACCTTCTCCCAAGCCGGCTACGTCCGCCTGGAAGACATCGCTCGCCTGTCCCAGGGCGACCTGCCCAGACTGGGCGTCAATCTGGTGGGTCACCAGAAGAAGATCATGAAGGGCATCCAGTCCATCCGCTCCCACCTGGAGCAGTCCGAGGAGACGCTAGTATAAGAACGGCTGGAGGAGCAACTAGCTGCCTGTAGATAGCTATATTGGAATTTCTGCCGGGTGTGGAGACTAGTATCATCTGCAGCCGTTTACAATTTTTTTTTGGCTGTCAAAAGAAGTTGAGGCTTTTTTTTTGTAATCTACAAAAGTTACAGGACTGTTGTGTATAAATGCATTGAGTTTACCGGACTCTGAGTTTACCGGACTCTGGGTGTTTAAACAGAGACACGTGTGGATGTGAGTTCTCATTCACATGTAATGTGATGTACTCTCTGCAAGACGTCGCTACATCTGCCTGTACACCTGCAACAACACAGGATGTCATAAATATTAGGGCGATGTAACAAACTCTGTGAGAGTTGTTATAGTTGGCAGCCAAGGCCAGATTACAAGCCAGTTTTGGTGGCCGGTGGCCTGTGACCCGTAACCAGGATATGAAGCAGATCTACTGCCGTGCAACTGCCCAACCAACAAGCCGAATCCAAGATAGTTTTTGGACTTGTGGTCGTTCCATTTTATAGTTTGTGGACCGTATGAATTTCAGCTGTCCGGCTGGTAAACTTGCAAGCCAGTGTGGCTTGTGCAATTCGTCCAACTGTCCGCCAAGTTGATTGGAATACATCAAACCTATGAGGCAACGGGCCATCTTACCAGCCAACTAGCAGGTAGAAAATGGCCTGTAAATTATCACTGACTTCACATGACATAGTGTTGCCTGCTTACTGGAAAAGTTTAGGAATGATACGAATCAAAGATTCCCTACAAGCAACTGCAGCTTTCCTAAACCCATACCCCGGCACTTGCAACTTGGAGACGTAGAGAAAGCCAAGCCAAGCCAAGCCAAAGGCCAAGGAGGTGGTGGCCGATTTTACCAGCCGCTTTACCGGCCAGTTTACCAGCCCTTTTGCTGGCCATCCATATACCCAAACAGCCTCGGCCATACCGCCCACGAAACCCGAGAAGTAACCAATCTTTACAAGTTTGCACCAGACTCCAGAACACTGACTGTAGTGATTAGGTCCAGTTGGCCGCCAAGTTATAAACTGAAGGTGGCCAGTTTAATGGCCGCAACGCTGGCCGGCAAATGGAGAAAAAAAAATACTGGTGCTTACCTGTCTAAAACAGCACTTGTATAATGTTAGCTGATATACATATGTATAATGCGTGAGTAGTGTAGTCAAAATTGCACCCCTGTTCAAGATATCTGCCTTTCTTTGACAAACCTGGTTCTGTGATTGGTGGATTTGATCCACTCGGGACATTGTCAAAGGGTTTGGCAGTTTTGTTAGTCGCACCGATATTTGGTCGAGATTGTTTCTCGGCCGTCGAAAAAGTTATCAAGTAGCAGAATGATTTTTTGGCTGTATATCTGTAAAATAAAAGCTGAAATGGGGGAAAAAAGTTGTTTTCTTCCATGTCAAAGAGTTGATCACAAAAGCCTAATTTAAATAAGTTTTTTTGTTTTTGTTTTGAAACAAAACATTTCAAAAAGTGTCACATGTTTTTGGAGTCATTTTTCAAGAAAGCAAAAGGTTCACTGTTTTACTTTGTAATTGAGATGAATATTTTTTTGAACTGTTTAACTTATAACAGAAAACTCAGTTGAACAATTAAGTGTATAATTTGGTTTTCCAGTTGGTTCAAGTAGGTTTTTTCCTTCTTTTTTTTTTTTTTTTTTTTTTAAATAGTACAGAGTTGTGTACATATGATGTAAATTTGAAGCATTATGTTCAGGGTACATATACAGTTTATATGTACTTTGTAAAATTATAGCCAGATGTGGAAAAAAAATTTGCTGCCATTTTTGAGAAGAAAAAAAAAGAAGAAGCAAATTGAGGTGATAAATTGGATGTACAAAAATATGGCTCAGTACTGCCCCTGTATCTAGCGATTGTAGCTATAAAATGTGTCAAAAACCACATTTTTTTTTTTACAAACACTTGCGCGTTTGTGTATTAGGAAAGTTACTCACTCCATATTTTCTCCTGGACTTTATCAGCCCAATGCTATTTTGTAAAAAAAAAAAAAAAATGGAAAGAAAATAAAAAGTGTGAAAAAAATTTAAAAAAATTAAATAAAAAACTTACTAGCTGACAATCAATCATTATGTAAAATAGACAATCAGATTATATTATTTGTTTTGGGGAAATTGTTAAAGGCCTACTTTGCATTATGTAGAAAATCGTTAAACTTTTAAGATTGTTTTCTGTAGTGATTGGTCCCATTTTTGATAATCGGTACGTTCTGTAATATCGTACATGTTCCTGTCTTATAACAGTTATGTCTTCAGAACGTGTGTGATTGAGACAATCCTGTTTTGTACTTAAAATCATGGAATCTTTTAAAGCATCTTGATGTCTGCAAATCTCTATTTTGATCCCTCATTTCACTTTTTCACATTGTTCCAAACAGGGAAAGGGATAACATATTGTCTTTCCAAAATTTCTAACGAACTACAAAAGCCCAGCTTCACCAATTGTTTATGTCTTTCTTTTTTATGATTTCAAATAAGGAATACTACGTAGCTTTTTAAGTTTTATCCATTCAAGTTTGTGTCTAGGAAAATCAAGTTGTAGATACACGTTTATATTTTAGCTCCAGAAAAGAAAGAGGCCACCTTTTTTATGCATCAATTTCCTTGCATTGCTCTGAGCAGTACTTTATTTTCCAGGTAATGTGATCACAACTTTTTTTTGGCATTTTTTTAATATTTGTGTTGAGAATTTTGAAGTATGCCATGTCTTCTTTAAATTTTGAAATAAAAAAAAGTTGAAATAATTTTTTTTTTACAGCTAGATTTTTAGATCATGATAATTTTTTTTACCCTTTTTGTGTAAATCGCTGGATTACCTAATCAATTTTTTATTTGCACTTAATATTATTTTTTAGTTCGGAGGCCCACAAATCATTCACTCTGAAAACTGGATGATATTTGTACATATAACATGATGACCATTACTTTGTAACAATTGGTTGCTTTAACCTTGATAATCATAATCCTAGTTTTCAGGCATTTTAAACCGTTTCAACTAGTTGACTCAGTTTTAACAACAGCTTTCCTGCTAGCTTTGCTACTTTATTAGAATCGTGGAAGACTTTGAATCGGTTCCTTCTTTGTAATTGATTTCTTTTGCAGATATCTAATGTCCCTTGTGAAGTTTGTTCTCATTTAGGTGTATTTTTGGTGCTTTTTGCATGGAAATGGTGCAGGCGGCTATTGGTAACTAGTGATGGAACAGTGCCCCAGGTTCGGGTTCCAAATAGTTCCAAAACCATCCTGTATGGTTAACCATGGTCCTCACTCAAACTAGCTCCTGGCCATCCAACCAACCGTGCAAAGAGCAAAGCCATACATTTTGCTTCAAAATATGTATGTACATGTATGACCATTATGTAGCGCCTTGACTTGAACATGTGTTTGAGTATCAGTCCGTGTTTAAATCTCGCCGTGTCTTGCGTTTTCAAAAAAACTTCTGGGGATAATGTGTTTATTTCTCCGTACTGTATTTAATTACATGTAGTTAAATATCAACTGTGATTTTTTTTAATGTAGGGTTTACTAAGGCAGATTTTTTTTAAAGACAGGTGTAAGGGTTGACGTTTGTATGAATTAACTTGTTACTCAGTTGCTGAAGATTAACTGTAAAATGGTTTCTGTAAAGAATTAAGATTTGTATATAATATATTAATCATTTGTGTTTTTCACTAAAAAAAAAAAACTTTGAACGCTCTGTAATTACATATGAAATCTGCTGATCTGAGGTATTTGTTAAAAGCTGTTGGATTATCTGGTCATTTTAATAAGGGATTAACATTATTCACTGATCGGATTAACATTGGTGTGTTGGAGATTAACCTATGTTGACATATTTATTACGTGCCTAAATATTTGTTGGCAAAAAAAAAAGTTATTAAGAGCGTGATTTGTGATTGTAAATATCGGCAAAAGTGCATTCCATACAGAAAAAGGGAGAAGTCAATAATGAGTCTTGCTGCTTGTGATTTGATGCGGAAAAAAAAAGCTGTACATTTTGCCCACCAGCATTAACAAGAAGTTCAATAGCATTGTGTATGTTCTTATTTCAGTTCTATGTTACGTGTTTTTGAAGGGCGCCCTCTATGGGTCTTGATGGCTAATTTGGTTCAGTCTGTTTTTGTTTAAGTTGAAGTAAAGACATTTTTTTTTTATAAATCCCTGACTAATTTTGTACGATAGGGTGGAGTTTTCACATCAAATCCTTGCTTATTTTGTGAAAGTCAAATTGAAATTAAACAGTGTGATTCAACCATTTTATTAAGTCAGTTCATCATTGTCCAAGCCAACAGTAAATGCATGTACATGTAACAGAAAAAAGAAATTGCTGAAGTTTCACCAAAATAAAGTACTGTTTCTGCTCAGTAAAATACGTACAAGAAAAAAGGAAACTAATCTTGAAACACCTGATCTGTTTTGGATGAAGTCAAATCGACTACGAAAATGTTAATTCGTAAGTAATTGAACATTGCAAGTACTCAATGTTAACTGTGAACTATTTGTGATATTTAAATACAATGGGTATTATCTGAACAGTACTGTTGTAACCTGCTGTTTAAAATGCCAACAAAACAAACCATCTTAGTAAAATTGTACTATTAATATCGGAGTTTTTAAATTATTTCTCTCAGAATTTCAAGAATTTCACTTTAACCACATATGTCCCGAACTGGCCATTATGTAGGTCAAAGGTCAAGAAAATTGAGTATGATTATTACTTGAATATGTTACACCAACACGTGAATCCTTACCGTTTATGAGTTTCACAATTTCAAAAAACTCTTCAAATGTGTTTTCTTTGCCTGGTCAAAATGAATTCACGTTTCCAACACATTTTCCCGAATATATGTGTCGGTAATAATACATGTACATGTATTTGAATGTCTTTTGAAAATGAAAGAATTTGAGGTTTATAAGTTCTTTTTCAATTCATATTTGGCCAGAGCACAACACCGTTATTCTGGGAATGTGTACGTAGGGCAATTTTAAATGTAATTTGCCTCTTGAAGCTAGATACTCGTTTTTCTGTAGATTTTTTTTTCCTCCTGAGCTAACTGCAATTGGCAAATGGATGCAAATAAAATTTTCGTAATGAAAATGAAAAATGGCCATTCTGACTGTTGTCATTATTTCTGTCTTAAAGGGCTACAGGAGCATCAATCAAGCTTCGAACACCCAATATTTTGAAGATTTGGGCAATAATCATCGATATTTAGAGGAAAAAAAATCATAATTTTGACTGATTTTACCCCAAATTTTCCGTCAACATTTCATTTTGAGGAGCCCATCTGTCCAGAAATCGAATTGAAATGTGTCCAAGGGGCGATGAGGCAACTTTCCAGCAAGTTTGAAGCAATTTGATTTTTTTGGCCAAAATTGGGAAAAAAACACAAGGGGTAACACCCAATATTTTGAAGATGTGGGCAAAAATCCTCGATATTTAGAGAAGAAAAATCATCATTTTTGACTGATTTTACCCCAAATTTTCGTCGAAATTTCATTTTGAGAAGCCCATCTGTCCAGAAATCGAATTGAAATGTGTCAAAGGGGCGTTGAGGCATCTTTCCAGCAAGTTTGGCCAAAATTGGAAAAAAAAAAAGGGGTATTAGCCTTTACTTTTTTAAAATGGAACAAAAATAAAGCACTCGTTGTGGAGACGAAGCTCAATAACAACACAGTACACTGAATTGAAATTTCGTTCAATAATTGTTTGGGATATAGAATATGGATGGTTTGAAAATTGACGGGAACCATTGAAGAATAAATTTAATATGATTTAAGGAAATACAGTGTACTAACCGCGAAAAATTCAATTCGAGATTCCCGGAGTCACTTCTAATGGAACAAAAATAAAGCACTCTTTGTGGAGACGATAACTCAAGAACAACTCAGTGCACTGAATTGAAATTTCGTTCAAAAATTGTTTGGGATATAGGACAGAAATGGCTTGAAAATCTACGGGAACCATTGAAGAATAAATTTGATATTATTTAAGGAAATACTGTGTACATACCGCGAAAAATTCAATTCGAATTCGGGTTACTTTAAATGGAACAAAAAATAAAGCACTCTTTGTGGAGACGATAACTCAAGAACAACACATTACACTGAATTGGGATATAGGACAGAAATGGTTTGAAAATCTACGGGAACCATTGAAGAATAAATTTAATATCATTTAAGGAAATACTGTGTACATACCGCGAAAAATTCAATTCGAATTCAAGTTACTTTAAATAAAGCATTCTTTGTGGAGACGATAACTCACGAACAACAAAGTACACTGAATTGAAATTTCGTTCAATAATTGTTTGGGATATAGAATATGGATGGTTTGAAAATCTAGGGGAACCATTGAAGAATAAATTTAATATGATTTAAGGAAATACAGTGTACTAACCGTGAAAAATTCAATTCGAGATTCCCGGAGTCACTTCTAATGGAACAAAAATAAAGCACTCTTTGTGGAGAGGATAACTCAAGAACAACTCAGTGCACTGAATTGAAATTTCGTTCAAAAATTGTTTGGGATATAGGACAGAAATGGTTTGAAAATCTACGGGAACCATTGAAGAATAGATTTAATATTATTTAAACAAAAACGACTTGTAGAAGAATTCGGTGTTTTTAAAAGCCATGCGGGCAAGTATATTTCGAGCACTTCAAGCTTCCTAATTAGTGAACATCTCGTAAAATGGTAAGGGACACAATGTCCATTAAACTACAAAATCTTTCTACAATTCTTATTTTTTTTTCTCCAAACAGAAAAGGTTTAAAACATCTCAAAGATTATGTTAATTTCCCTTAACCAGTACAGTACACAGTATTTACAAAATTACGTTGGTTAAGGGTAAAACCAATGTCAAAAATTTAAATTTAAAAATTCATAAAAAATATTCCTTCGAATTAAAATTTTGGTTCTAGTACTACTCTTCATTTAAAATTCTTACCACACTAACAAATTTGGTATATACACACTGTATTAAAATATTCACACCGCAAACAAATAAAATATTTCAAAAGATAAGCATAAACCAAATCTTAGAAAAATGTTAGAGATATACAAGGCATTTTAACCACATGGACGCTGTGCCTGAGCATACCTTTATCAACAAGGTTATCCAGTACTGGGTTTTCACCCTTCAAAGCACCATTGTATTTCATAAGCTGTTCGAGGGCTTGTTTACTTTAACAAGCCTACTCAGGTGGGACTGGAACCCGCGACCTGCTGCTAAGAGCGGACGTTATTCACACTAGCCAGCTGACCACAAGATCATGATTGAGTGATAATAATCAATAACGGACCTATATCATGCTTCCACCATTTTAGTCATGTTCCCTGTATCCAATCAGTACTGTTTCCTGTAACAGTACTGAATGATGATGTTTTTGTGCAAACAAGGAACCAGACTATTTTTCCCTCCAGCCTCGCTTTGGTTACATTGATTTGAATGGGAAAAATCAAATGGCTGCAACATGATAATGGTCTATAATCGTAGTGCTTATATAGCGCTTTCCATCGTATCAACAATCTCAAAGCGCTCTACAATTATTACCCCATTCATCAGGCCATGGGACCACGCGGCAGCCGATATCAGCACTCAATCGGTCCTCGACCCTCACAGGTACCCATTTATACTGCTGGCTGGAGAGAGGCAATTGTAGTTAAGTGTCTTGCCCAAGGGCACAAACACCATGTTCCTGGCGGGATTCGAACCCACGCACCATCGTGAGTCAAACACCGTAACCACTGGACCATAGCATTCTAAGTGATGAAATGTCTGCACTAGCAAGCAGGAGTTAGTTGGTTCGAGTCCCACCATAATAAGTGAATTTTTCTTGGACGCTTTTTGGCGGCACTGAGTGTATAGTGCTTATGAAATTATGTCGTTAAAGGGCAAAAAAAGTTTTTAGGAACGAGTAAAGTCTGTAACAAGCCAATAAGCATGGCCCATCAGGCCAGCATTTATCTCCAGTTTCCTTGGCTTGAAACAACTGACAATACAAATGTATTTCTATTCCCCCTGGATGGGATGCTAGTCCATCGCAGGTTACTCCCAGCTAATGCAGGTATCCATTTATACTCCTGGGTGGAGAGAGGCAAGTGGGGGTGAAGTGGCTTGCCCAAGGACACAACATATGGTCAGCAGATGGATTCGAACCCCTGACCCTCTGGTCATGAGTCACATACCCTGACACAACTCCCCGACACAAAAATTATGTCCAAAATGTATCTTACCAGGTACGTGTAAGTGGTGTATATTCAGGATTGTGTCAAAGCACCGGGTAGGAGGTTGAATGTGGCCTGGGTGGGAGTCGAGCCACGGACATCCCGACACGCTCCAGTTTCTGCAGGTCCAACTGTAGCGCATGGGAGCGATTCAACAACTCTTGCGTGTGCTTGGAGATTCTTGCTGCATTCTCGCAGCGAAAGGAGGGCTCTTGGGATGGGTAAGACTGTGAAAGTCAAAACAAAATTTGAGAATAATCCACAAAGTTAAAGTTACTAGATTATCTATTTTTGGGGCTGAACAAAGAAACTGACTCGGGCAGGATTGGAACCTGCCGCCTCACAATATGGGATCCCTCGTGGTCTCGTGGCCTGATGAATTGGAGAATAATTGTAAAGTGCTATATAAGTATATAAGCATTGGAATGTTTTGTTTTTTTTACTTTAATGTGGGGCACGGGAGGTCTAGCAGTAGAGTACAGGATTCACGATCGTGAGATTGTGGGTTTAAGCCCCGCCGTGGCCATGCGTGTTGTGCCCTTGAGTAAGGCGCTTTACCTCAATTACTCCTCTCAACCCAGGTGTAAATGGGTACCGGCATTATTCAATGCTGGGAAGGTAACAGACTCGCTGTGGAGGAGGTGTGCGATCCCCCCACAGCAGCATGAGTCTGGCCCAATCGCTTCGAAAGAGGGATGGGCACTCCGTTGCTGTGAACACAGGTTCGTCCCCTTTACCTTTATTAATGCATACTTACAAGTATTGTATTGGGGTATTTATCACTTCTAAAACCTTTACATGTATACGAATAAACTTTACAACAAAAATTAAAAATTAGAATGCAACTGCCGAAACTGTGCACACCCAAAACTGAATGGTCGCAACGTCGGATCAACCATACATAACTGAAAATCAACGTTATTTTCGTCTGCCGAACGTTGCTTTAGTGTCGACAATTTAACGTCAGAATTGTACATAACAACAACATCGAAATGTAGTGGGAATTTGGTCGGGAATATTACCAAATAGTACAACAGCCTGAAAAACAATGTTGTATTATTGTTATTTTTGTGTTTCCCTTCGCGACGTCGCAATTATGTCATGTTTTCAAGCAAGATATGACGTTTGCTTTCTAAAGTCGTTTCAACAACTCAAAAAAAGACGTTGAATTGTGGTTGGCCGTTGGTTATTATATCCGACGTCGTACTTATGTCATGCTTTTAACTAAAATGCAACATCCGTTTTTGACGTTTTTTCAACGACTCAAAAAGTGACGTTGAATTATGGTCGGCTGCTGGTTATAATATATGACGTCGTTATTAAGTCATGTTTTCAACCATGATATTACGTCTGTTTTCTTACGTCTTTTCAACGATTCAATTAACGACGTTGATTTCTGGTCGGTGAATGGTTAAAATATTTAACGTCATTATTAAGTCACGGTTTTACCCAAAATATAACGTCCGTTCTCTGACGTCATTTCAGTGACTCAAAAAAGACGTTGAATTGTGGTCGGCTGCTGGTTATTTTACATGACGTCGTTAAATGGGTACCGGCATTATTCAATTGGGATTTGTGATGAGCTTGACAGATAAAAGGACCAATGCAGTCCTTCTGATTTGAGGCGTGCGATCACACCCCCACGCCATCGCACACCTAAAAGCCTCCTGAGAAGTGTGAATAATTGCACGCCTGAATTTCCCTGGACCACAGATCACACACCTAGAAAACCACACACCTAGAAAAAACACACCTAGAAAAATCCAGGTGTGCCTTTTTCCACACGCCTGTGATTTTCAAATCAGAAGGACTGCAATGAAGAGGAATGAAGATCTGAGTCATGTTACCATCAGGTTGAGTGCACTGGAAGCCATCTTGTCCACACAGCCCTTCAGGTCAATGTTGGAAGCGGTGGGTAGCATGGATGGCTTGGAGCTCTGCCAACCAGCAAGGCAGTGCTGCAATGAAACCAAAACAAAAAAGAAAGACGCACGGCAAATTAAATTTGATAAGTCACAGACAGTAAAAAAATGTCTTCCACTTCCTCTGCCATGCATTTGAATACAGGCTAGTAAAAAGCCAGTCACTTGATTGATTTTGACTGCTGTGATGGCCTAGCTGAATTTTTCACACAGAGATGCAGGGTTTAAATAAAAGGTTTACTTTCTGTCAAGGTGGTTAGGAACTGCGGGCAGGAACAGTATTAATAGTAGATGGCATTATTAAGGCCTAATCATGAGAGTTCCTGTGTGTTAGGATAATGGATGTATATGTACCACCTGCACGCACACTGTCATACTTGACCATTACATTCAAGGACAAGGCATTATTTGTTTTCATTTGTTCCTAAAATTCATAACACTCTCTTATAGATTAAAATTTAAAAACACAAATGTGCATGTGAGGAGTTTTATCAACAAAAGATGTCTGTTCCAGGACAACAATTAATCTGTTATCATTTTGTCTTGCTGTCAACAGATTATATTATTTATGTACAAGGGTTTGGTTTGCATGGTTGTGACATGAAGTATACGCACAACTTATTTTCATCCTTAACATCCTCCCCTGGCTTCCCGGCGTGTGGCGGCAATGGCTTTCAAGTGTCTATTATATGTTTGTCGCAATTGGAGGTGTACATGGAGTCGGTACTTTAAAAGCTGTAAAAGTATTCAGACCTTGTTACATAATCTGTGTGAATAACTGTGAGCTTCCATCCAAATTCCAAGCACACGTATGTTTGTGTGACACTGAACATAACCAATTGACAGGTGATAAACTTCATGGTATTATCCAGAGAGTCAACCGTGACGTTCCAAAGTGACCTTGTAGCGGCAAACGGTGGGCGGCATAGTGTATTGTGCATCAGTGTACGTGTAGATTTACATGTAGGTCATACCTGTGACAGCCCAACCGAGTCTGTAGGATCGTAGCTTTTCCTCCGATGGGGGCGGAGCCGGTAGGGGGAGGCCAGGGTGGATCTCGGAATGCTCACTCTTCAAAATCACATGAGGAAAAGTAGAGAAAACGCAAATGAGTGAACTTAGTCAGTGTCCATTTGTGGTTCATTTAATAATGTGTGATTCAAATATGTATTATGTTTGCGTGATTCCCGTTTGCAATTTCGCCAAGAAACAGCATTGCTAATGTTGGTAGCATTGTGACTGTGGCAGTGATCCCTGGCTACATGGCATCTATGGTTTTACGGTTCTGACAAGTTCCCCGTGAACAATGACATTGACAAATTTGGAGACCACCAACATAAGGCTGGATAGCACAGTTCAAGGTAGACTGACAGTATGGTGTTCCAGAGGGGCAGGTTCAAATCCTGCTTCAGTCAATTTCTTTTTTCAACCTTGTAAATGAAACTGAGAAATTGACAGAGAAGGTCTGAGAAACCAACCAGCAGCAGCGGGGCTGGGAATTTGTCTGAAAGTGGGAGGCACAATCATATGTTTCAATTAATGAAGCTGAGGGGTGATGGCAAATTTAAGACTTAAAAGGAGGGATGGATTGTCACTTACAGTATTATAAAGAATGATGTAATAAAAGCCTTTGCATTTGTCATTCATGATGACAAATCTAAAAATTTAATGCGGCCTGACGTTGTGAACTTCAAGGGAATATACCCAAGTACAACATTTGCTTTTGCTGATATTTTCAATATCAAATATTGTTACACTGACATGTTTGAAGTTTTGTGTTTGTAGATGCTGGAAAAACCAAGAAAAACAATCATGTGCCTGTAGTCTGGTTCCCTGACCCCACTTAAGATTTATAGACGTCGGAAAATTGTAAGATCAGGGAATCAGTCTAGCTGGCTTGTACCCGTTCATAGGTGTGTAATCGATTGCAAACAAATGTGGACTCACTAAATATGGTAAATTGGGGCAGTATTTTTTTAAAAAAGCCAGTTTTTTTGGTCGGCCAACCAGTGTGGAAATTGATACAAAAATGCCACTTTTCTTGAAAATGACAGCACACCAGGTGCCATGATTTCATAGGATGATTTAGACTGGCATTCACTAACAGTCCAGTAAGGTATTTCATAAAAAGTTGGTAGTTTTTTTATGTTTGCAAATGTGGTATATTCCCTTTAACAAGTTCTTCTTCAGAGGAAGATGAACTTGTTAAGTTCCCAACGTCAGATTTGTATATTTCAGGTCAATCCACTCAGTAAGCAGTTTGCAGCAGGCCTATTAATTTTCATTCATCGGAACAGGTGATTTATAGTAATATTATGGTGGTTTACAGTATTCTTATGTTTTAGAAAAGTCCGAAAATTTGGGTCTCTCAATACTGTGTGTGAGAGTCCCAAAACTTAAGGTACTGAAAACATGCAAAACAAGAAAATAGACTGGCACATGAAACAACCAGTCCAACAACTCTTCAGTACTGCATCAATCAACTGTCAGCTGACTGTGCCAAAAGAAATATCTAGGATGTCGGGTACTAGGTCACTTTTTCTACACATTTCTCCATAGTCAGGCACCAGACTAATGACAATGAATGAAGAAGCCAGTCTTGTCAAACAGTTGGACCATGGATGGACATGTACAAGTCTAGTCTTTATCCTCATTTTGAAATCACTTGACTTCCCGCTCATGTGCAAGCCACTGCCAAACATTGAAGAAAAGTCTCCTTTAAAAATTGAATTGAGTCTTCAAACTTGGTTGGTGAAATACCGAGGACCTTTTCACAAACCCAATGAAAGTTTTGGAGAAATTTGCTGGCTAAAGAATGAGTAAAGTTGGCCTGATCTTCTTTTGCATCGTTTTGAGCACTTAAGGTCTCAGTCTGGTTTTAGAGGTAGGTGTAGAGGAGATGCTGAGCGGAATCATGACATCAAGATGGAACGGGAATTGATTCCAAAACCTTTGAAGTTGCCGCAGCTAAGAGCAAACCACTGACCGGTACATTACCTGATATAGGATGGGGAACTGGCTCCAGGCTGTTTGGGTTTCCGTCGATCATTACAGATGGCACACAGGCTCTGACCGTTCTGGGTACCGTGTAAGGGAACGGCAAACAGACGAGGGTTCAAGGTGTAGTTGTGAATACCTGGCAAGGAAAGCATAAAATATCAACGAGGACATTTAGTCTGAGATCCGAATGGTTCATAATTTTTCAAATATATTAGTCATCAGTAAGAATTTTCTAAGTTTGTTTCATCTTGCTGACGCTGTAGCTATTCAGACAAGTAAATCAAAACTAGTCAATCATCAGTCAGTGATCGAAAGTCAAGTCATAAGTTATTCAAATTAACTACGGCAAAGACATTCCTTATTGATCATTGCTTGTTAAGGCCCGTTCTAGACCCTTTGCTACTTCCCCGCTAAACTTAATTGAAATGAGAGCGGTAATAGCTACTCTGCATCACTGCAGTTACTCTAAACGCAGAATGTAATAGTCAACGGTCAAACCTGAATGCATCTACAGTAATGGGCCAGGTTAAAGCAGTTCAGTGAACTTTCAGTGCGATCAAACTGTTCGTGCCAATTTCACTTCCCATGATGCGGATACCAGAGAGGGTATTGTTAGCATGAGCATTCCTATAATGTTTGCCCCAACTTTGAATTCAATTGAGTTTGGCACAGTGCTCAGCGCAGTGCCTTGCCACTGCTTTTCGGAACAACAATAAGGTAGCAGCGCTGTCGCCCTAAAGGATGGTGCCATGCCGAACTCAATTCGCCGAGCTAAATGGTTTTAAAAGCCGTCCTTATGCCTTGCCATCGTCGTGCCGGATTGAAAACTTCAAATCAATCGAGTTCGGCACGGCAGTAGATCAGCGTCTAGAACAGGTGACCTGACTTGTGAATTTTAATGGCGATGTTACTCAAATACATCTCCACTATGAGGTAGAGGCAGACTTACATGTATGCCTGTCTGGTTTCATATCTTCCTGTAGATCATCGGTAACACTTGCAGTCAGGGCTGATACATCAAGCCTAATGACAGAGCAATAATGTAATTAGTTAATCGGTAAATATTTGTACAGTCATGTGTTTTTACAACTCATGTGATCATTATACACTCAAGGAGACCCCTTTGATGACGAAAACATTGTGTGAGCTATTGCACGGAGCAAACATTCATCGATAGTTATCCTGAACACTCAAAAACTCTCACTGATCAACGTGACCAAGTCTACATCTGGGTACCAGAAAGTCAAGGTCACCATTATAGTAGGCAAAGATCATATAGCACTGCATGCAGCTGGTATTGTAGGCAAGCTTTCATAGCTGTGAGAAAACCACAGAGCTAATGCCCAGTGCTATATCAAAGATTACAAATACCAATAAATCTGAAAATCAGAAAAAGTTCATGACTTATGAAAGGGAAGATACAACATTTGCAAACATCAAAAAAACGAAATGATCAAATTATCACAAAATACCTTACTGGATTGTTAGGGAATGACAGTCTAAAGCATCATGTAAAGTTGTGGCTCCTGGTGTGCTGACATTTTCAAGAAAAACTGTAATTTTCCAACGCTGGTCGGCCGACCAGCGTTGGAGAAAACTGGCTTTTTTTCAAAAAGGGCTCCTAATTTTCATCTGTAGTTTGTCTGCATTTTCTTTGCAATTGATTACACACCTGTGAAGACTACAAGCCTGCTAGACTGATTCTCTGAACTCACAATTCCCCAAAGTCTATAAATTGCTCCGTTTCACCTTAAGTGGGGTCAGGGAACCAGACTACAAGAATATGATTGGTTTTCTTGTTGTTTTTTCCAGCATCTACGAACCCAAAACGTGAAACAAGTCAGTGTAACAATATTTACTATAACATACTAATCTTATCCATTTATTTCTGAAAACTGCAGCAAAAGCAAATGTTGTTCATGCCCTTTAATTTTTTTTTCCATTTGTCTCCACTATGGTCGGTGCCCAGTTCCATCTCATTTTGCCAGAACCATTCACATATAACATTTATTACAAAACCAATTTGTCCTCACTTCTCAGTTGTTGCCTTGTGTATGCACTCTTCCCTGTTGGCTTGTCGGAACTGTCGCAACTCGTCAAAGAAAGCCTCGGAGTGCTCGCTGACTGGCGCGTCCGAGTCCAGCAGCCCCGCGATCCAATCGTATCCCAGGAGAGGCTGGCTCCGGTTAGCCAAGCTGTCATCAGGGTCAAAGGTCGCTGACGCGCTCGGTGAACGGCGGAAGCTGACCCTGTTTCTTGACTAAGCAAAAAGTAGGCAATAAAAAATTTAATGAGTGCACAATTCTGTAAAAAATGCCCATTTACGCATTAGGCCAAAAAAATAAAGTCTCCGGTTTCTGGCATGCGCGCGCGTCGCCGTAGCCATGCGCGTCGGCAAAATGAAAAAGTTTTTTTTTCAATGAAAGATGATGTCTCAAAACCGCCAAACTCACTGGTTTGACTGGAATTCCGCTGCTGCACAATTTTAACGTGTTTTTAGATTGGGTTATGGTCGAGAATAAGCTTTATGTGGCCTCTCTGGACTCCCATACATTTGCACTAAGTTTAGTCGGGCACCATTTGCAGTCATCAGCCAACATTTGAAGCAAAAAAATCAGGTAAAAAAAAAAAAAGAAGCCGCGTCGCCGCCAGTGTTGTAGGTCTCGAGACCGGTCTCGGTCTCGAGACCGGTCTCGAGACCACTTTTTGCTGGTCTCGGTCTCGGTCTCGGTCTCGGTACCCTGTGGTCTCGGTCTCGGTCTCGGTCTCGGACTACGGCGGTCTCGATATTTTGCTGGTCTCGACATCGAGATCAGCAAATATTTCCCATTGTGTACAATATATACATTGCACAAATTTATTCGATTAACCGTATTCGTTTGAGATCATTTATCACGATAAACAGATAGCAAATAGTTTTAGAAAACTTGCAGTACGTGGAGACAACCTCGCTTTTGGTTGTGTGAGCTTGCACGCAGCGATCTTGTGTGTGCTTGTGCCATCGGTTTCATGCGCGCATCATGAGTTCAATAAAAATTGGGAGCGAGTTCCTAGCTACGACCAAAACACGAACTACTCGTTGGGAATGGTAAACAGGTGCATGGCGCATGGTGCAAACAGGAGCATTCACTACAGTACGAGTTCGCTAGAGTAGCAGTAGCACGATAAAATAAAGTTTTCGCTGTTTTTTTTTTACAATTTACAAGATGTCCAGTAATTCTGCTGTGATAAGATTTGGTTTTAAGGACCATAAAGAGATCATGGACGCCAAAGCAGGTAACAAGAAACATTCTGTAGTTTGCATTTTCTGCTCAACCACAAATCAAATCACGGAGAGATCGGGGACAAGTTCAGCATTCACTAGGCTTTAAGTCGTGCCCATAAAGCCAAGTAAGTAACACAAATTAACATTATTTAAATTTTCCTTATTATGATTAAGAACACCCCCAATATCAATGCATGACCATGACCAGTGGGTAGACATTGATGTCGTCATTGACACAGATGCATATTCCCTCAGACACACCAGGGAGGAGTTGAAAGAAATGTTGCAAGGTAATTTAAAGTTAAACTAATTTTAACTTGTATGGATTTTGTATTGGCTGTTGAAAATTTAAGTTTGCAATTTCGAGGTTGCTGCACAAAAGAGGTAGTTTCCTGTCTTGTGGCTTTAAAATGCTTCTACAAATGCGTCAGTCTGTCTGCACCATGGGAAACCAAAACTAATATAACTATTACCCTGAAGGAATCTTTTAAATTTTAATGTTTTGTATTAGATTTGGTCATCACTGAGGCTGATGCTAACTCTCTTTCTGAAGATGTCACCCCCCATACCCATGGTATTTCAACATCAAGTGAAGAGGAAGAGGAAGTTCCTGCGAAAGTTCCACGCCTCCTCGCCAAATATAGCCGACACAGACACAGAAGTGGGGGGCCTTCACAAGAGGACACAACTAGGCGGCAACTTGTGAAGTATCTTCAGGTGGTCAGCGAATCTCAATCTATCCTGAGTGCCCTACAGTTTTGGCAGGACATGGCCAAAAAGCTTCCAACCCTGTACAAGCTGGCATGTAAAGTTCTCTCAGTGCCAGCATCATCTGCCCCTGTGGAGAGAATCTTCAGCAGGGGAGGGATCATCATGCGCCCACATCGCGCACGTTTGTCAGCAGAGATGCTGTCCATGTTGATGTTTCTGAAGTGCAATGAAGATATTCTGTGAAAGGGACCTGTACCTATACAAAAAAAAAACTTTTCTGGCACATTCCAGAATCCGACAGAACAAATGTTTGTTAATAACTATTGTATTATCAAGTACAGTATTATTGTAAAAAAAGTACACAAAGGATTTAACAGTAATTATCTAACAGCACAAGACATACTCAGTTTGTTTTACATCAATAAAAGACTTTCATTTCAATTACTTTGTGTCTAATTTTATTACATGTATGTAATTTACACATGTGGTCTCGATGTCTCGGTCTCGGACCTTCAGGTCTCGGTCTTGGTCTCGGACCTCAAGGTCTTGGTCTCGGTCTCGGTCTCGGTCTCGGTCTCGGACCTCCAGGTCTCGGTCTCGGTCTCGGACTTCCAGGTCTCGACTACAACACTGGTCGCCGCACCACTTTTTGGGCAAGCTCCATACCAGAAACCGGAGACTTTTTTTTTTTGGCCTTAGTCACTGTATCGCCCGAAACTGCCCGAGCACTCTATGGTTTTATTGATTCTTCAGTGAATAAACACAATGTAATACAATGTAATACAATGTAATACAATGTAATACAATGTAATACAATGTAATACAATGTAATACAATGTAGTACAAGTGCTTATGGGTTTTAAACAAACTAATCTATGGCTATTTTATAAAATAAAGAGAAGAAAGTCTCCAGTTTTACATACAAAGTGAAACCTGGATCTTCAAAGTGTATTTCAAATTTTCAGCTGATGAATAACAGAATTTTCAAACATTCCTGCTTAAAAAAAAAAAAAACACCTCCAAACTAGTCAAGTTGAGATTGGCAACTTTTTGAAGAAGCTTTCAATACAAAATGGCCCATGAATCAGGTATATCACTCTAGCCATTGTTTACAAATGGCATTGATAAACAAAATTCTGTTGAAGGTTAACTTTATAGATCATTCCGAGCACGTTATCGTTGTACACTCACGTTGGCCCCCTTAAATGGCGATAGCATTGTGCTATCTATTGTTTAGACCAGAGATGAAACTGGCATGTGGCAAAAAAATCGGAAAAAAGGCCGAACAAAAATACGTGTCCGAAATCTGGGCCGCGCTGCCATTACACACATAATACATGCATGTACAATACACTTCATGCCCAATTTCCGGACACCAACTCCTGCTTTATTTTCGGTTCAAACAAAAGTTTACGATGAAAAAAAAAACGGTCAGTGTTGTCATTGCATAAAATGCCTAAATTACGGTTAGAGTAATGGAGTCATCAATAAAGAAGTTCACTTCTTACTTGAGAAAGTCGAGGGAAAAGTCCGAAAGACAAGGGCACCGTTCATGGTGCTTCAAAAGTTCAATCATGTTCATGATTCAACCACTTGCATTCGGTGCTTGCATTCATACATGGGAAAAAATCAGGCATTACCGTCTTTCTCTTCCAACAAATGCCAGTGAAATGTTTCGCTAATGCTCTCTTCGCTATCCTCGAGATAATCATCATGATTTTTAAAGCATTGCATTTTGTACAACTGAATCTGAAACCTCCGAAAATCGCACAACATAATGATTTTATCCACAGGATCCTTCACAAGGCTACCCGTCCCGGCCGGCCATGTGCTAGCGGACGGTACGGTGGTGCGGCACGTACGCACGCTGGTACCATTGCATATCCGCACGCACGTGCGACACAGTGATTTTTCCATGTCGCCTGTCAATGTTTAACCTTTTGTCCATCCGGAGAAGGCTCCGATCAGTGTTATGCCCTGTGTTTCTACCGTTGAAACTCTCCAATAACGACTGGTGAAAGAGATTAAAACTACGTTCGCGATGATTTTAGCACGCCATTTCCATCGACTTTTCTTCGAAATTATGATTGAAATAAAATGACATTTTGTGAAAAAAATCATCAGAAAATCAAATTTTGTGGGACACACTGTAAAAAAATCGGAAATTTCGTTGGAAAATTCAAAAAGTTGTTTTTCCGATTAAAAATCGGAAAAGTTTCATCTCTGTTTAGACATTCCATCATGGCTGGCACAATGCTTTCATAATTCGGGCGTTTCACAACACAGTGCGCCACCATGAGTTTGCCACGGAGAGTTCATTTGTTCACAGTGCATTGTGGGAGATGGTCGACAACTTGCAGCACGGACTTATTGACATTGTTAGTTTGTCCGGTCAGTAGTTTCGTAAGCGTATGATTCGAGTATATGTTTGCCCTTTTCTTTTCTTTTTATCAATATGGTGTTTTTTTGCAAGGCAGCAGAACATTTCTTATCAAATTAGCTCAAGTTGTCTACTGATACTCGTTCACAAGGGCCATGTTTCGTCGACCGTAAACTTGAAAAATGGAGTCTCCGTGGCAAACTCTTGGTGGCGCACTGCATTGTGAAACGCTCGAATTGAAAGGGCCTCCGTGAATTTAAATTTGATGCTGTGCTTGGAATATGGTATATCGGGACTTTAGTTCTCTGGCTGTCCCCATTGGACATAATTTTGTGATTTTACAGAAAGGTCGAGGTAGTTTTACACGAAAAAGTCTGAGAACATGGCTTTCGTCACCCTTGAGAGAGTGCATACCTTGTTCAGTCTTGTTCCCGGTGTCAACAAAATGGACTTGGGTTGTGTCGTGACCTCCTGGCTTCTTTTCCTTTGTCGCCTGTCATTGCCGTCAGCCAAGAGCTGTCCTGCAAAACTTCTCTCAAGTTGACCCATCTGCGGTCCAGTCCTGAGCGGACTGTCCCTGTTCAGCTGGTAATACGACTCCTCATGCGCTAAGTCAAGGGGTCGCCGGTACCCATACCGTGACCCCTGACCCCGGAGGTTTTCTTTCTCAGATAACGGAGGAGGGAGCAGGCTTGAAGTCTCAAGTCGTACTGAGTAAGGAATTTTGGGTCCTTTCTTGTTTGGACTCGGGGTGAAGGTAGTGACACTTGCTCCCGTTCGATATTTGGGTGATTTTCTTGGGGTTCGACTTTTCCGTTTGATACTTCCGGTTGTTCCTTTTGTACTGCTACCCGGAGTTTTTCGTCTCGTCTGCTTTACAGTCTTTGCCTTGTCACGTTTGCCTGAACTTCGCCCGAATGTGGAATGACTCTCGCTGAGAAAACTTTCGTACAGACGGGTTGGGGTGGCGGTCGGCACGGGATCAACGACTGGTGGATTTGGGAAGGGTTCATCTTGCGGATGTGAACCACCCCTGGGTTTGGTGGCTGAGTTTGTATGCTTGGGTGTGCTCGTCAGGCGCGAGTGTGGAGCATCTCTTGTTGGCTTGTGTCGAACAGAAGACATTGTTGAGACATCCAGCAAATCCCTGGGTTAAAAAACAAGGTACATACATGTAGCGAGCACGTGTTTAATTAGCCCAGGTTAGACTCCTCCATTGTGTACACGTGACGGAGTCCAGGGTATGAACGTCTGCTGCCATAGCGAAACAAATTTATACCAAATTTTTTTCATATTTTAACTTGATGGAGGAAGCTGAAATTTCGTTTACATATTTCTTGTGTCAAGAATTACGCCTACCCTGGGTTTAGAGAAGGTAAATATGTCCATGGGCAACGTGTTTACAAAAATAAACCGCAGATCCACCTTTTCGTCGAAAACATCCTCAGTACGAACATGTTGTGTGAAGACTTACGCGCGCACACCCCGCACGCGACCGCATACATGGCGTAGTAACTGTGTTGCACGCGCACGTAAGTCTTCACACGGGGAGTTCGTACTGAAAATGTCTCGACGAAAGTGTGGATCTGCAATTTATTTTCGGTAAACACGTCGCCCATGGACATATTTACCTGTCTTAACCCAGCGTAGGCATAAAATCTGGACACAAGGACTATGTAAACAAAATTTCAGCTTCCTCCGTCAGGTAAAAATATGAAAAAAGTGTAATAATTTTTTTCGCTGTGGTAGTAGAAAGAATACCCTGGACGTCAGTCGTAATGCAATGAAGACGTCGTCCAACCTGGGCTAAGCGATTAGTGGAAAATCTAAAAAAAATCAGTTTCCATTCGAAGGTGTCTTTGGAAAAGAGCAGTGTTGTAACCAAGTCAAATTTTCACAAGTGAAGTCAAGCCAAGCCACAAGTCAAATTTTTTCGGAGACAAGTCAACTTTGTCCAGATGATGTCGCTTCCTCCATGCTTCTATACACTGATCAATAATGTGCAGCACGGCAATGCAGTGCCTTGTAACACAAGCCAACGGCACTGCTGATCTTCATGGCATAAACCGGCTTGCACTGCACAAATACCACCTCGACAATCAATACAATACAATACAATAAAACTTTATTATCCCATTGCAGGAAATTCCATGGCCTTTTTACACAATCACCGCATATATGTACATGCAGGATGCCTAGCTCACTACATGTACATCAGGTCCTTGGCTTTCTCTTTGACCAAATTTTGCGTACGCCCAAAATATGTGTTTATTTTAAAGGAAACATGCAGTCCAAAATTTTCATAACGTATTTTATTTTATATATACATTCATTTATGTGTATTAAATGTGAATTAAAAGCAGAAATGGTTCTGGTGTACGTTTAGTGTGGTAATTTGCCGTCCAAAATTGAACCCCCCCCTTTTGATTTTCGCGGCAACTCCAAATGAGGGCGCTGTTCATGACATAAACAAAGGCAGAGAAATCCAGGGCCCGTAAATGACGTCTGGGTAAGAGACGGATTAGCGAAGCTACTGTGCTGTGTGTATGTGCAGCCGCCGCGTACCCGTACGTGGCATTATATGCACACGTACGAATGTGTCTACATGTACATGGGATATTATGTACAGTACACGTGGACGTGCCACGGTGCCACCGTTGTCGAATGAACACAACGACGACCGTCATGACCGTAAAAGTTCCGAAGACCGTCCTCTTCTTTCCTTAGCGAATCCGATGAAAATGGTACAGATTCGTCCGATTCCAATCAGAGTTCTAATGATTCAAACACTGACTCGATGTTTTTTTAGGGGCATGCCTAAGTTGCTGTACAGACCAGCATCAAAGCACGACGGCTCAAAGTGCAGCGCAGAGGGCCGCGAACTCACTGGGCCCGGACCACTTTGCTCTGGTATTTACCTTCACTTTGGCTCTCCAAATGCTCCGATATTTCGGATTTACTGGAAACAAATGAAGGCTTACTCCATCCTTGGTAGTTTTGCTACACCCAGCAGCCACACACCTTGTCGGCATGGCCGAAAATCGGGTGTTATTTCTCCTCGATTCCGAACGAAACACCAGAAAAACTTTCAGTGCCGCAATGTATATGTACATGTATTATGATGCACGCCGCAATGCCGGTGCCCCCGCAGCGCGGCAAGTCTCTGCCTTCGCTTGCGTCATACCCCTCGCGAAGTTTTATGTTAATGAAGCTTCCCTTTGTGGGGCGGAGTAGTTTGACCAAACATGTTCACAAATTATTTTCCCCCATTTATCTTAGAAAATAAACACCGCCATACACAAAATATTGTTAAGAACATCATCCTTTATTGATTTAAGCAAAAAAAATGCAATCAAAATTTTATTGCATGTTCCCTTTAACAAAAGTGTTAATGTCAGCAAGTCAACTTTATTCAAGTCAAGTCAAGTCAAGTCAAGTCGTAAGTCATTTTTCCCACAGCGGTGTGAAACAAGCCGTGGGCTTGAGCTGCTTATGTTGGTTGGTGGGTGGGTGGGTTGATTGGTGGACACTTTACTCGGCCATACATATTGTATTCATACAACTCGAGTATTACAGCTTTGCATTTGAAGACCGGTTTTGCAAACACTGATGCTCATGCGTCTAATTTGCATATTTTTGCATATTAGATCACGCCTTATTCGTTTTCGTTTTCTATACTCTCGAGGTACTGGTACGGCATGGGTGCACGGACAAGTCACAAGCTAAGTCAAGTGTCAAGTGTCAAGTCAAGTCTCAAGCTAAGAATTAGCGACTTGAGTCAGACTCAGCGATTTCAAGGCCTCAACAATGGAAGAGAGTACTGATTTATGAATGGATACCGGTGCTCTATGGACATACGAGTTTAACTCACCTCTGAAACTTCACGCTGGACTCTTTTAAAGGGCTCCCTCTGTTGGCCCCTGTGGACCTGATGGATGCCCTCAGGTCACGCTGTCCCTTCTGTAGTTCCTTGAGGAGAGATAGATTCTGTGCTCGTAACCTCTCCATGTCGCTCAGGTCTTCCGTCATGATGAGAGCAAATTGTTGATTCCTCTGTGTAAACATGATAAGAAAGTTATCATATGGACTTATTAATATAATAAATTATAAGTACACAATACTGCAAACACAATACATACATGTACTCTATTTATTAAGGTAGCACATACCAGGAAAATATTCATGCTTAAATAATTCATTGTGATATGTTAAGACACACACCCAAAAAACTCTAGTATTTTGGTGAGGGTGATTTGAATATTTTTTGACTCATTAAAAAAATATTTCTGGAAAACTTTCAGATTATCAGAAACCCATAAATGATGGGTTGTAAACATGCCTTTCCAAAAAAAATTCGCATTTAAATCTAAAAATTCAATTTTCATGGCCCAATATTTTCATGGCCCAGCATTTTTGCTAATGTATCCTCAATATTGGGTTTTGCCCTTCACCAACGTATGTTGTCCCAAGCTGAGTGATTGTGAGAAAAATATTACTGAGGTGGGACTCGAACCCGTGTTTCAAAAAATGATGCCTTGTGGAGACCCGGGTATAATACGGAACCAAAGATTGTAAAGGTCTACGCAAGGCAATTTCTAAAGGTGAATAGGTCTCAACAAAGATTTCACGAAATAGATATGGATTTTATAAAAAAAACTAGGAATTTACAAGGTTTGCTTACATGTATCCATCACAAATTAAAGTATTTTATGTAAGGGATGTTTTTTGTCAAAATTTCAACCCAGGACAGTAACTCTGGTAAAAATTGGAGCATTTTGAAAACAGTTTTTGACCCTCTCACGATTTTGTACACGAGAACAAAGCGATTTCTCCACAAGGATACAAATTTGAGTGTGGCCGACTTCCTGCTTATTAGAAGAGGCGTCTACCACTCGACCACCGAGCTTGCCAGGGTCAGCTGGCTGGTTGGAACTATTCATAAGATGGAATTTGCGTCGGGGTGATGTAAATTCAATATTTGGTTTTGCCCTTCACTCACAGATTTTTATAAATACTAGTATTAGCACTAGTAAATACGAGTAATTGTGACAAAACATCACTCGGGTGGGACTCGACCAACGACCTCCTGCTTACTAGTGCAGATGTCTTACCACTTGACCACCGAGCTTGCCGGGGTCGGCTGGCTGGTTTAAATTATTCCACAAATTTGGACTCTCAATATTGTGTATGAGGGTCCCAAAACTTAAGGTATTGAAAACAAGCAATACAAGAAAAAAGACTGGCACCTGAAACAACCAGTCCAACACCGCTTCAGTACTGCATCAATCAACTGTGCCAAGAGAAACATCTGGCATGTCTGGTACTGTCTCTATTTCTACACATCTTCGTAGTCAGCCACCAGACTAATGAAGGGGTCAGTCTTTTCAAACAGTTGGACCATAGTTGGACATGTGCCAGTCTAGTCTTTACCCAGACTGGGACCTTAAGTGCTCAAAACGATGCAAAAGAAGATCAGGCCAACTTTACCCATTCTTTAACCAGCAAATTTCTCCAAAACTGTTACTGGGCACAAGAAAAGTTCCTCAGTATTTCACCAACCAAGTTTGAAGACTCAATTCAATTTTTAAAGGAGACTATTCTTCAATATTTGGCAGTGGCTTGCACAAGAGAGGGAAGTCAAGTGATTTCAAAATGAGGCTAAAGACTAGACTTCTACATGTCCATCCATGGTCCAACTGTTAGACAAGACTGACTTCTTCATTCATTATCATTAGTCTGGTGCCTGACTAAGGAGAAATGTGTAGAAATAGTGACCTAGTACCTGACATCCTAGATTTTTTCTTTTGGCACAGTCAGTTGACAGTTGATTGATGCAGTACTGAAGAGTTGTTGGACTGGTTGTTTCATGTGCCAGTCTATTTTCTTGTATTGCATGTTTTCAATACCTTAAGTTTTGGGACTCTCATACACAGTATTGAGAGTCCCAAATTTTCGGACTAGTCTTTCGCCTCATTTTGAAATTACTTGACTTCCCTCTCAGGTGCAAAATATTGAAGAACAGTCTCCTTTGAAAATTGAATTGAGACAGTTTCAATCTTGGTTGGTGAAATACTGAGGACCTTGTCTTTGCCTCATGAACATTTTTGGAGACTGTTGCCAGCCAAAGAGTGAGTAAAGTTGGCCTGATTTCGTTTTGCATGTTTTTCAGCACTCCGGTCCCAGTCTGGGTTCCAATCTGATATACAAGTAGCAGCGGGTACCATAACCAATTCAATATTGTTTTTTTTTTCTCACAATCACTCGAGTCAACACTGAGTGAACAGTGTTTATAAAAATACGTTGGTGTAGGGAAAAACCCAATCACCCTGCGCAAATGCCATCTTGTGAGTAGTAATGAATCCTGCTTTTTCCTCACCAAATCTCTTCTGTGCTGAGCCGAATTCTGGAAACTGCTTATTTACGGGCCCTGTTCCTACAAGAAATTAAAGGGAAAAAATACTTTGAGGATTTGGACCCAAATAGTTTTAGCATGGTTAGTGATGTTTAAAACCAACAGAACAACTGCCATGGATCATGTGGATAGAGGGAAGTTTTCTTTTATTTTTTGAGGGACATTTTGGAGAAAAACTGACCATGAAGCTGACAAATTAATGCAACACGAAAATAAAGAATGGGCAAAACCGCGTTGACTTGCATGGCATCAACCGTAATGAAATTAGGTATAAGAGGATTGCATTTTCTACAAAAAAACTGTTCAACATTTCAAAATAAAAAAAAATCAAGGTCGTTAGAATTAAAGGAAGTCTGTTTTAGTTTGTAAAAGTCATTTTGGAACGACAAAAAAAACAATCTTGACATGCTTGACGCTTGACTCCATTCTTTAACCAGTGTTGGACAGAATGTTGCATCCTGACACCACCTTTGTTCATCATATACATGTAGGCCTATCGTCTCAATGAAGGTCAGTCATTGCAAAAATGTTGAAAAGAAATGTTAAATTGAAAGGAGTAAAAAAGTGAGAAACATTTTCAATTTTGTTAGGCCCTACAGCACTGTTGGAAAATACTTTGGAAATGCACTCAACTCTCCATAGTCTTTGTTCACAACTAGTCCGAGTAACTAGGACTCTACGGATCGCTTTTTTAACATTTGGTCGGGCGATAGTAGAGTCCTAGGTACGTGGCCGTATATGGTTACTATTATAGTGTTTTGACCATTTTCACTCGTACCCCTAATCAAAATCGTCAGATTTCACCACGAACAGTCTTCAAACTGCCTTATGCGCCCCTGTAGGCTTCAGTGGGAATTGGGAACTGTTTCCTGAACGGCGCAGCCTGCACATATCGCATAGCCGTGTATGCGATATGTGCAGGCTGTGCGCACCGTTCAGGAAACAGTGGCCAGTGTACGCGTGCACACACGATATGCCCGACTGTGAATGCAGGCGTGCGCTTGGCCGGCGCGTCGTACGTCATCAGTTTGACCTCCCAATTTGAATAAATCGTACACAACAACAACATTCAAGATGGCTTTTACCGGCACGACCACGACAGCTCGGCGAGGCTCGGTTTCCGAATTGAAAATGAAATTTCTCTTTTCTTCTCTAAGGTATGTGAACCTAACCACCACCATTTGTATTTCCAATTCCCATTGAAGCCTATAGGGGCGCATAAGGCAGTTTGAAGACTGTTTTTGTGGTGAAATCTTACGATTTTGATTGGGGGTACGAGTGAAAATGGTCAAAACACCTTAATGGTAACCATATACGGCCACGTACCTATGACTCTACTATCACCCGACCATGTCCAAATGTTAAAAAAAGCGATCCGTAGAGTCCTAGTTACTCGGACTAGTACACAACCTAGTCCGAGTAACTTGGACCCAACTTATCGCCTTTTTTAACATTTGGACAAATGTTGAACATGGTCTGGCGATAGTAAGGTCCAAGCTAATACCGCGAGCTGGACAACACCGTCCCATTTTCCAACAAAAAACATCAGATTTCACCTTCAAAACGGCCTCCAAATTACTACATGTAGATATGCCACCTGAGGTACAAGTAGACATCGATGATTAAGATGGTTGTACTGAAGTTTACTTACGATCCGGAAAAAAAGTGATATTTTCCGTTCATTTCGGAGAGCTCCCCTTGCGATCTTGAACACGTTAAATTTCCCATCATGTTTAATGTTTGAACGACGCGATTTCTTCTACATGCCCAGCGTACATTCGATGGTCCCCGTATCCCGAGTGCGATTCCGTTACCGAGCGCGCGCGATGCATCTATTATGATAATGAGTAGAATGGATCACGTTTGTAAACACATGTGCATTTCAAACGATAATAAGGAGTCGGGAACTAGCGCAGCTTTTATGGCGGATACCAGTTCAAGCTGGTTCCCGATTCCCTTTTACAGTTCGAAATGCACATGTATGTGTTTACAAATGTGACTCATTATCATAATCGATGCATCGCGCGCGCTCGATGCATCGCGCGAGTTCGGTAACGGAATCACACTCGGGATACAGGAACCATCGAATGTACGCTGGGCATGTAGAAGAAATCGCGTCGTTCAAACATTAAACACGATCGGAAATTTAACGTGTTCAAGATCGCGAGGGGAGCTCTCCGAAATGAACGGAAAATTTCACTTTTTTTCCGGACTGCAAGTAAACTTTAGTAATAGTACAACCATCTTAATTATCGATGTCTACTTGTACCTCAGGTGGCATATCTAGTAATTTGGAGGCCGTTTTGAAGGTAAAATCTGATGTTTTTTGTTGGAAAATGGGACGGTGTTGACCAGCTCGTGGTATTAGCTTGGACCTTACTATCGCCAGACCATGTCCAAATGTTTAAAAAGGCGATAAGTTGGGTCCAAGTTACTCGGACTATACACAACGAAAGAAGTGGCGCCTGGATACTACATTCTTTCCTCAGTGTAAACATGATTAAATTTGAGCCAATTATTAAAAAGGGGCTCGTATAACATTAAACAACACAATTTTGCCAATGTTTACATTTTCTAGTTAGTTCTACCCCCCAAAAAAGAGAAACAAAATTACAAAGATTGCTTGCCAATGCTTGTCAAACTTCACATGGAACTAGCTGGAGTTACCCAGCCCTGAGTTTTATCATTGGGTTGTCATCTAGGGCTGGAGCGAGTTTTTCTCGAAAACGATAGTATAGGCAAAAAATTTTGGAAAATGTTCAATTTTGTCCCCGTTACACACTAATTGCAACTGCAACTCACCCCAAACTTGCCTGGAATAACCATTACACAGGTCCTTGAAGTAAAAAAGGATCCACGATGAAGATTCAGCCTATAATTGCAGTGAAAACAGGAGGTATAACCACTAACCTGACAACCTTTCAGGCATGGCCAGGACCGCAATTGGTTTGTGCACAAAAAAAAATTGTGTACAATGAATGGCGGTCGATTAACAGGCACAGAGAGCGATCGCTGTCAACTACTCGTTTTGCCGGCTGCGCTGGCTGTTGGCGCATGACGTCACGTGGAAGCGTAACACCCGATGACTGTTTCATGCACTATTGGTTACGGTTCCAGTACCAAAGCTGTGATGCGAGTGGTAAACCTCATATTAGTGCATGAAACAGTCAACGGGTGTTACGCTTCCGCGTGACGTCATGCGCCAACAGCCAGCGCAGCCGGCCAAAACGAGTAGTTGACAGCGATCGCTCTCTGTGCCTATTAATCGACCGCCATTCATTGTACACAAATTTTTTTGTGCACAAACCAATTGCGGTCCTGGCCATGCCTGAAAGGTTGTCAGGTTAGCGGTTATTGCTCCTTTTTTCACTGCAATTGTAGGCTGAATCTTCATCGTGGATCGTTTTTTACTTCAAGGACCTGAGTAATGGTTATTCCAGGCAAGTTTGGGGTGAGTTGCAGTTGCAATTAGCATGATTAGTGTGTAACGGGGACAAAATTGAACATTTTCCAAAATGTTTTGCCTATACTATCGTTTTCGAGAAAAACTCGCTCCAGCCCTAGATGACAACCCAATGATAAAACTCTGGGCTGGGTAACTCCAGCTAACTTGGAACCATGGACATGATGGAGGTAGAATTATACCTCCATGCTTGGAACCCTTCCAACACAACTTACCTTAACACCCCCCCCCAACACTCTCACCCCCCCCCCCCCCCCCCCCCCCTGTTGGTCATTGAAGTTCAACAAGTAGGATGGAACGCCGTATTATCGCGGTACTTATCACGTTTCTCGTTCGGAATAGAGATTGCCCACTAACCTTCCAGAATTGTCCCGTCTTATGTGTAGTATAACTCTTCCTTTTTAAATTAATATAAAAAAATCTGACGGGTGGTGTGGTTTATTCCGTGTACGATGCCTGTGAAAATAGACATGCGCGGCGTGTGCGAACGGAGGTGGACTCCCTATTATCGCGGTATGCGGGAAGTGGTTTTTATAATGATCCCAACTTTTTTGTTCATAGTTTATCTTTGACCAAAACACCCCCTGAATAAAGTCTGATATTTTTTCTGTAACGTTCAAGTTGATTAAAGACAAATTTTCTGCAGGATGATTTCTTAAGACCCTGCCCTTCCCCCGAAAGGAGAACACAAATCCCTGAGGCAAGTCTACTGATCGGTGATTGAGGGCGCCATTCACTTTACACGGTGTGCCGTTTTATTTTCGCTAACGCGCGGTGCTTATTTTGATCCCGTAAAAGTTGTTACGATTTCGCGCTGCAAATATCGTCGTTCGACTTCATTTTACATTTGCAGCTGAAGAATGGGAACCAGACAATGGAACTTTCATGGACAGAGCGCAATTAAAGATTTGTGTTAAAACATAAACGGTACCTTTTAGCAGACACGGTGAGGGAAAATTTTGCAAGTTTTGGAAAACGTTAATATTTATTAAAATCGTTAAAAGTCCCGAAAGACACAACATTTTTTAATCGTCCTTTTTATACAACTCGGTAGAAAATCCTTGATGATTGGTGAACTGGATAAAAATCGCCACTTGAAGGAGTTTTAACACTGTAAAAAGAGAAATTTCCCATGCCGCGATAATAGGGATGCCGCGATAATAGGGAGTCCGACTATACTTTGGCCGGCCGGCCATGATCAATGAGTGTCATGTCAATCACTGTCAAAACTAGACCCGTGAACGTGGCTTGTAAATATACAACGCCACGTTCACGGGTCTATGTCAAAACATGATGCTTGTGTTCGACTCAAGTTCGAGTTCAAAATTCTCAGATTTTCAATGCAAACGAGACAGGACACAAATTACGAGAGAAATTAGCAGAACACTTACCCTGGGAATATCTAAAACAACGCCTCTTAACAACGCCAGTTTGAGCCTTTTTCAAGGGAAATAAAATAAATTGGCAGACAAAAATTAAATGACCCGCAGTACCTGAACGAATTTCCCGAGGTGCAATGGGACTTCAGCATGATCCATTAAATGTTAAGGTGTATACTCTTTTATTCAAAATATAAAACAAATGTTTTTCAAAGTCACTCCTTCTAAATTTTTTTGTAGTTATAAAACCAATAATGTATTTCAATTTCAATTTCAAAATTACGACTTATTCATTGTTTAAATTTCTAATTCCAAAATAGAATTACAAGGCTAGGAATGTATACCTTAAAAAAGTGGAAGAATCTCACAAGATTATACGATCTTTGACTCAGTAACTGGTTGTTTTGTCGTGTATTTGGACTTGTCCTTTATCGTTTGCTATTATTCAAGTCAGGGGGCCTGACTGTCGAAACACCGTGCATGACATGATGTGTGTGATTCGATCGATCGATTTCATTCCGTGCAAAATATGATGTGGCGTAAAGTAGGCGATACAGTTCAGTGGTCACGCACAATGAACTTACACTTTCTCGGTTGATTGTGAGCCGTGTTCCACCCTTACTGCGCCCGTTGTAGCCTGACCAGCACTCCCAATGGTTCGGCAGCGAAAACACGACGGTAAAAACTTGAAGCAAAGTGGGAGACTGCAATCTGCCAAGCAGGAAAGTCGCCCCCAACCGCTGGAGGAAGCTTCGACGCCGCCCACCACCACGGCCGCGGACGGCAACAACATGCAGTACGTTAGTAACTCCCGTTCCAAGGCCCGCCTCCAACAGTTCGGACCTCAGCCCGGCTTTCTCCGATGGCTGTTGAGGCTGAGACTGACTAGGGCATTTTTCATGGTGATGGTCGTGGGCGTTTCCGGATTTTTGCTCGGGAGGATGGTCCATAGGGGGCATAGGGTGTTTATTGCAGATCCCCAAGGAGGATTTCAAGCACACAAAAATCTTAGAACTCAACAAAATTTGAATCATCCTAATACATTAAATCAGGGTGATGCACAACATCGTCATGCCAATGCCAAGAATGGGGCACAGCTGGATGCACCAATTCAACAGCCTTTTGTCCACCATGAAGCTAAGCATGAAGCAAAAGAGGGAGAAATTCCAATGAGTCCGGAAGAGCAACGACATTTCCAAGAAGTTTACGACAAGCACGCTGCCATGAGGAAGAAAGCGAAGGAGATGAGAGAATCGCTACAAAAGGCTGGTCAACAAAATGCGGCCCAACCCCAAGCAATTGTCCCACAGCAACAGCCTCCTCATGTCGGCCAACAACCAGATGTCCAGAACCAGAATGGTCAGCAACCCGCTGCTAACCTCCCATCAGCCGTCGAGACTGCAAAAGCCAATCAGCCCAAGATAGCCGATGCCCCGAGCGATTTTGAAACCTACCCTTACCATGTCATCCAGACCCTGACAAACACACACAAAATGCCCCATTTGAAGACCAGGTTCATCGAGTGCACAAAATCCATCCTGGACAAGGCCTCCATAAACTTGCACTTCTTTTTCGTCGTGGACGAGCCGAGCAAGAAGTTTATCATTGAAGCTTTGCAGGACATTACCAACCAGCACATTGCTAGAAACAAATTTCAAGTAAGACCTGGAGCTGATTGCAGTATCATGATTCCATTTTTTCACAAATATAGCCTCAGTGATGATCAGTCATTATTACAAATATGTTTGGACTGAGACAGTTTGTTAGAAAATACATCATGTACATGTGGAGAAAAAAAATCTTGATTTCCCATAGACTTTATGCACTGAAACAACAGTGTACAGAGTCTACAGTCTTGCAAAGATCTCCAAAACAAGTAATAAAATCATTTAGAAGCTTGTGGATTTTGAACAATATTGATCTTGGAGGACGGGGTTTAAACAACGATTTGGGTTTTTTTATTTTCACAATGATGATTGAAGTCTCAAAGACAAATTAGCAGAATTTTATTCTGAAACAAATAAGTTTGATGGTGGCATTTTTTAATGTTAGAACAAAAGTAAAATTAAGCTTCAAACCACTGTAAACAATCTTTTTTGGGCCGGGGTTGCAATTATATTGATATTTGTATGAGATTGTTTCTGTTTTTAATTGCAATCAACTTTACATTATTATTTTTTTTCAACAGTTCCATTTCATTGAGGTTGATGAGCTGGCCCGCCAACTTGCCCCTCTAGTCTCCATGCTTCAGGAGAAGGTCACCGGTGGCCACCCTTACTACCAAGATGCCATCTTCTTCCTCTCGGTAGCCATCCATCGCGGCATCCTCCCGAGCTACGTCCGTCGCATCGTCATGCTGGACTCCGATCTGAAATTCATGACAGACATCAAAAAGTTGTTCGACCGCTTTGATCTCTTCACCTCCAACAACATCATGGGGCTGGCGCGGGAGATGCAGCCTGTGTACCGCCATCTCTTGTCCCTGTACCGCAACATGAACCAGGGGACGAAAGTCGGCGACCCGCCCCCCGATGGCCTGACGGGTTTCAACAGCGGCGTGGTGTTGCTCGATCTAGAGAAAATGCGCAACAGCGCTGCCTACCGCGGCTTCGTCAATGCAGAGAAGATTCACCAACTTACCGAGAAGTACCACTTCAAGGGTCACTTGGGAGACCAGGATTTCTTTACGTTGATCAGTTTGGACATGCCGGACTTATTTCACATCCTGCCCTGCTCTTGGAATCGACAGCTCTGTACTTGGTGGCGGGATAAGGGATACGCCAATGTGTTTGATCAGTACTACAGGTGTGATATGGAAATTAATGTCTATCACGGCAACTGCAATACACCAATTCCGTAGTAGTAAATGTTGGATAAATACCCTTAAAGCTATAGTCCATCATTTGCAGCTATCCGAAAAGTAACTGGCGTAATTATTGTTGAAAAACATACTTGGTTGAAAGATAGTAAGGGGACTATACTCCCTGTGAAAGTATTCTTTCTGGCAAGCTGTCATTTTGAAGTAATCAACGAAAGAAGGCCTTTCCAACGGTGCTTCTTAAGACGCACCGTAGGAAAATTTAAATTAGTAGTTCGTTTTGTTATTCGGCGAAGCGCGCGCAAGCATTGGCACAACACACACGCACCCCCGGTTGCTATAATTTGTTGGAACAGTCATGACAGTGCGCGACATCGCGTAGCTGCAATCAGCTCAGCGAGAACGTGTCTCGGACGCTGAATTCAGGCGCAATTCAAAACATGATTCAGCAACTTTTGATTTGAAATTGAGATCCTAGAATGCTGTTTTTCTCGGAATATACAGCTGAAGCTGAGCTGAAACTTCATTGGGTTACATGTAGTTGTTCAGTACCCTTTTTTAGATTTTGAGCACTTTTGTTGCTTCAAACGAACAAAGTGCACAAATTACAAATGATGGACTATTAATTAACCCTGACCAAACTTGATCAAATACCATTGGTGGACAAGTGGTTGAATCTTGATGTACATTAATTTAAAGTTGTGTTTGCGTGCCCATGTGAAACTCTGGAGAAGTGCTGTGCGACTACAAATGTAGTGTGACTAGTCGACTACATGTACATCACTGGTGACTATTTCTTTGTACATACAATGTACTACATGTACATGTAGTTGCGTCCTCAATTTTTTAATAGTCGACTAGTCGTGGCACTGTGACTTGTACGTCGTGGTGCCACACATAGTTAAGGTTCTGTGACTAGTCTTTGCACTGCGACTGGTTGTTGGGACAAGTTGTTTGGGACATTCAGGGGGAAAGTATACATTTGTATACAATTGTATACATTTGGAGTTTATGAAAAGATTAGTTAAATGGACATTTCATCAAACAATATTGCTCCTTAAAAACTGGATTGAAAATTGCAGACAAGAAACTGGATGAGTGCGACATTGTTCCAAAATGCTTCTTTTTTCTTTTTGCATAAACCTAGCTTTAAAAGCTGTATCAATGCATTTCCTACATGTACATAATGTATACATGTACCTGTATGTAATAACTGCATGTACAATATTGCAAATAGTTGTGACAAGTTGGGTGGTCACCAATTTTTATCACAATACCTGACTAGTAAATTTTATCAGTTGCACAGCACTATTCTGGAGCATGTTCATGCAAAAACTTTTACCAAAAAAAATGTTTTTAATATGTCTACGGACTTTGGTTGAGGGTAATAAATTCTAGATTTTATACAATACATGTGTATTTACTATACAACTGAACATTACTATTTTCTTGTAACTGATTTTTGTCTGTATATTTTGCACTTTGAAGATTTTCTTTTACAGTACTTTTGAGACAAATTTGAGCAAAGCTATAAATTGTGTTCTCCAATTTCTTTATTTTTCCAACCATTCTAAGGTATAGGGATTGTTTGAAACTAAACTTTTGCCAAAATATTAGTTAGTTTGGTTAAAATTATCGTGTCTTTAGTTTTACCTGTAATTTGGTATACGTGTCTAATTGCATTGTACATGGGCGATGGGTCTAATGTTATTCAGCTGTAAAATGCGTGAAATCAACTTTTACAAGCCAAAATGTAATGTAATGATTGTTGCAAAGAAAGTCTTTTGTGCTGAAAAGCCCCTTGAAAATTCGGCCCTTGTTTTGTTTTTGCAGGTTTCTAATCGGAAATGTTTGTGCATTTAGAGGTGGACCATGGCCTCACAAATTTGTTGATTTTCTCTCTCTATAGTCTTATTATAAGATGTTTAGTATTAAGATGTTTAGTTTTATTATTTCTTTAAGCAGTTCAGCCCTTCTTGCTTTGAGCCTTCCCATTTCATCCTTTTCATAAAAAAACAAAGACTGCTTTTTACAAGGGAGCTTTTAACTGAATCTACTACATTTAAAAAAAATGTCCTACATGTACTTTAAGTACTTTTCTTCATATGGCGTTTAAATGTTACCCTCTGACAAAATGTCTGACACAAATCTGATGAAAGTCGCTCCAAAAAATTTGTCGTGCCTTGTTTACATGATCTGAAATTTTGGTTTAATTCCATGGGTAAACAACAGAGTTATTTAGGATCAAAAGTAGGACATTTTTTTTGGACACGTATTATTAAACATCCCCCGTTTCAACTGATTGGGTCAGTGTTCCAGTCTCTGAACAGTTTCAATAGACTGGGCTTTTGTCATAAAATTTTGCATATTCATGAGGTTACCATGCAACGGACCAATTATTTTGTTTCAAAAGGTGACCTGCAGATTTTGACCTCAACTTTTTATACATGAAGATCAAGAATAGCTGGCCATCAGGAGAAATGGTCAAAAAATTCTCAGTTAAGCTTTTGTCAAAAAAAGAGTAAACATCTGTAACCACTTTGTGTGCAGTTTACAAACCTTTACTTGGAGGAAGAAATACAGGATGGCACTGGTTTTATGTTGTGTTCTTTTTTGTTTTTGTTTTGGCAAAGCTGACCTAATAAGTGTTTCTGTGATTGCCTGTAAAAGTTTGTTGCTCATTAATTTTGTCATTTCAAAACAAGCAGCTGTATTTACTCATGTATGTAAAATTCTGGAACCATTACTATGGGACCAGAACCTATAGACTTTTTCTCTGTACTGAACATTTTTGTACCAAAGTTCTTTCAATGTGTGGTTTTTATAAACTCGAGTATTTTATATTAAGCATTGTTAAATATGGCCTGTACAAAGCAGTTCCCTTTTAGAGCGTCAGTCAATGCTTATTGAACCTAGACTCTAAAACCGCCAAATTGTAAAGAAGTACACCCACATTGTTCAGTCACTAACAATCTCAGTTTTAAATTTCAGTGTTTTTTTTCTTATAAAGGTTGTTTGAGACTGTTCCTTTGGCCTGAGGCTGAATGGTCAGTCACAAAATAAGCAACTTGTGCTGTTTCTGGTCAGGGTTGGCAACAATGCCTTGTGTTCAATAGTGGCATAGGTGGGGACGGGCTGACGTCATCCAATGAAAACATCTATTCATTTGCACACCAGTTTTTATTGGTTGCTATGTGTTTACCATTCAGCACTCCTGACTCAAGAACCATTGAGTTTCAGGAACAAAAGTCTGGGAGCTAGATAAGCCAATGTAAAAAAATATCGGATGTCAAATTGTCACGCTCACATACATGTACTTGTGCCTAGATACAGTAATTGTTCATGCTACCATACAGTGCCTGTATTAAAATTGACCGTCTTTTTAGTTTGCGTTAGAATTTAGACATGTTTACAATAACAGTGAACTAGTACGTTTTTATTACTGACTATGTACAAGAACCAAAATGAAAATGTACATAATGTACTTGAGGTTCATGGGACAGCACTAAAGCGTTCAACCCTCCTCATGTTTGAACAGTCACAGACAGTCAAAAAATCTATCCTCTCCCCTCCCATGCCTTTCATACAGGCAAGTCTACAACAGTCAGATCATATTTTGAGCAACACTGTGACTAGTCAAATTCAGTCAACAGACAAAAACAGGCAAGTGGTAGCACAGCTGGCTTATCAATCACCTACAGTCAAGGCATAGCTGTATCAAGTAACATTCATAGTCGCAGCCAGTCAATCCTGCTTTGTGTAAGCTGGGAGCTCTTAACTGTTAAAAACAGTCACTTTATTTATTTTGACTGAAACTTGAAAGGAAAACTTTGCACAGAATGTTTGTTTACATAGGAGGGTAAATAATCCATTTGGTTGATGCACATTTGATGATGTGTGACGTTCCAAAGGCTAAATTACAGTGTGTAGTACTTAAAAAAACAGTGTACTTATGGTTCATTTATAGACATCAAGGGTGTTACCCGTTGAGCACTGTTTTATTTGTTGTTCCTTGTCTACTATGATAGTGTAGGCCTACAGTGCTACCCAGCATCCTTAATGTTGGTGCATTTGATATGCTAATATAATTAGTTGTCATGGTTACGTGTTGCCGACATTCTGGGGAAAACAGGCTGTGTACCTACATTGTACAGTGTACATGTATGATCTTGGCCAAAGAAATTAAATGGTGTGTTTCTGGTAACATTGCCAAAAAAAGGGAAGGAGTCGTCATTCATGTTTTTTTTATACTATGTGAGGCTCTACAAAATACGTGCACATGGGAGGACAACTGGACAAGTAGAAATACTTGAGGGAGTATTTTATTGCATATTTACATACTAATTGGGATACGTTTTCATTTAAAAAATAAATTTATACATGATATTAAAAAAATTATCAACTTTGAAATTAAAAGATACACGTCAACTGTCAACCCTGTGTACGCTCAAAATTTAGAGGTGGCCAGGTTACCAGACAAAAACCCAGCATTTTTGTAATATATGTGTGCACGTTGTGGCAAAGAGCTGAGAACTCAATATGCCAGTTGTCTGCATTAAATGTTTTGAAGTTAGACAACAGTGGGGAAATTGGGTGGATGGAATTAAATGTGCTGTCTTGACAGCACATTTATGAACTGTTTCTTGTCTTGTTTAAGTGTTGAAGGTTTACACGCAATCAAAATATGTCATGATAATTGATAATACAAATGTTTATTCTGCTTTTTCCTGTTTTTTTAAGACAAAGCAATACATGGAATTTGTTTTGGAATATCACGCTCCAGTTCTTAAATTTGGTAAAATACTTTGGACAAAAAAATATGTGCTTTACATTAATGGGGTTTATACATATAAACATGCATAACATGCAGCCTGTATAATTTGCATGTCACTTGTTTAACAATTGTTTTTCTTATTTATAAGGGGGTTTTGAAAAGTTAAAATGTAATTTTGAGTGCCTTGATCTAAAACTGAGAACATGTACTAGAAACAAAATACATATTTTTCTACACTTGCTGTTTCTGTTTTTGTTTCAAGTTATGACCAAGTATCAACTACAATGTACAATTGTAGGATACATCAGGGGTGTGAAATCTCAGCTTTATAGCTGATTTCAGCTTTTTTTGTTTTGGATTTCAGCTATTTTCCCTCACTTGCTGTGTACAAAAGTATAGGAGATTTCCAAAGTTCAGTTTTTTTTACACCTTTTTCAGCTGTTTTCAGCTATTTTTGTCAGAGGTCACTCACACCCCTGATACATTTAGAGTTCTGCTTTAAACGGTTTCATACTCCTGTTATAGGGGGCCTAAACCATGCATTTTAAGGCTTCAAAGAGATTGTTTTTCTCCATTCTCATATCAGTTGTACTTATTAAAAACAAGTTCATGAATGAGAAGAAAACAAACTGCACCATTTCAACATTGTTGGCGCATACCAGGGGTGAGATTTGTCAGGATTTTTCTTGATTTCAGGATTTTTTGGGTTGGGATTTTTACCTATAAAAGTTTGAACAAAAGCAATGGGTGTAATAAGTTATTTTATTTTAGGGCCCATGCAATCCTTGGAAATACACCTTTGTGTCCCAATTTAACCTTGTTTTCAATTTTTGTATTTTGCCATTTTGCAAGGGTATTTTAGTGCCTATTTCGTTTTTATGCCAACGCACATTTCTATACTCATGAGCAAAAATGTGATGTCATTTTAGGCAGAAACCTCAATATTACAGCTATTTCAGTACCAAAAGTTGCCAGAAGTTTTGGGTATTTCGTCATGTTCGTTGTCGTAAATTTTCTGTTCTTTGACAATTCGTTGTTGTACATGTTGTATCGGTACATGGCAGTAAGCCTATGAGCAAACTTTTCTCATATTTTTTCAATAAGCGAATTTTTGGGTTCACAATTTGAACAGAAAACCTTGAAACTGAACAGTGTCTTCCTAGAATGACATCACAGCAAAAGCGCCCTCAATTGTCTGGAAAAGCAAGGACATTTTTTTAATGTTTAAAGAAGTGCACTTTTCAATAAAATTAACCAAAAATGGATGTCAAATAATAATAATAATAAACAATTCTTATATAGCGCAATATACAAAAGAAATGTCTGTATGCGTGTCAGAAAGCATTAAACAAGTGTGTCTTAAGTTGTGATTTGAAATTTTCCAAGGATGGGCTGATTTTTATTTGGTGAGGTAATTTATTCCATTTTTCTGGTTTTAGAAGAGTACATGTACAAATGTACATTGAAGAAGAGTAGGAAGCAGGGGCGGGGGGGGGGGGGGGGGGGGGGGGGGGGGGGGGGCATTTCCCCCCCGGATTTACCCAAGGTAAATTTTTGAATGAAGTTTTGCCTGTAGCACTTTGAAAATCTAGGAATATGAACGCCCAATAAATGAGCTTTCTGTTAGTACAAGAATCATTCAAATCACTTGTGTATTTTTCAAGTTACCGAATTTTGAACACAAACACCGTTTTTAAAGTGCTGTCCACTGATCACAAAAAAAGGTTAAGTGTTTTTTTCAGCAAAACGAAAAAAATCACACGCATCCCTATGATGCATGTGATATGGATATGTACGACACTACCCAAACAAACTTGCTTCACTCCGAGATCTATGTCAAGTCTGAACCTGCTTTTGTTTTAAGAGGAAAACATTTCCAAGGTTAAACATTCAAATTGTGATATTGTGAAGCAAAACAGAAAATTCAGATTAACCTAGCATACTTGTACATTGTATGATGCAGCATGTCTATCAATGGAAACTACAAACAATTCAAATGAATGAAAACAACATTTTATAGGCAATGTAAAGCTTGTTTAGTGTCAAGTCAGAGGGCATGGCGCCAATATGGCGAGTCACAGCAATTTAATTTCGCTAAGTTTTGAGCATTTTCTATGCAAACGTGTTCCAACGGTTTTCAGACATTAATATTTTTACAGTGTACATTTGACAGAGTCATTAGATGTACATGTACTAGTCACAACAGGATGTCCACAAACATTAAATCTGGTGTGTGCACACAAAACGTTCCCCTCACTCAGCACAAATGGGCAGGCACAGCCTTTTACCCAAAGGGTTCACACAAACAGAATACAATGTAATAACACAGGACTCAAACAGATGGTGCAGTTGTAACTATTTATTGACATCTGTGTGTATGCATACATTCTGAAAAAAATCCTAGCAAATTCAGTCGTGTATTACAAATGAAAACAGCTTCAGTACAGATCATTCAGTATACTTGTATAAAGAATGGTGAATGTGTTGCGAATTTTATGGGATATTTTGTCACTTTGTCAGACAACAAATAAAGTCAAGGTACAGTTGAGCAAACAAATTGCTGGTGATGTCACACTGATCTCATCTCTTAGAAAGTTATGCATTGTGCTGAAGTTTGCATGTGTAAGGTTAATTCCCTTCATATTATCTGACTGAATTTTTTATTATGAACACCTTAGCACCAACTACCCAACAATAAGGGCCCGTCTCAGTTCATATCCGGGACGAATTCCGGACAAGTTGCGGGTAGAATCGTTCACTTTGTCCAGAAGAAACTCTGCATTTGTCCCGGACATGTTCCGGGGAAATTTTCATAAGCAACTGCTTGACTCACCAATACTGATAACTTCATTGTGGGAAGATTGCGGGGACGTTGTTTTATAGATTCCTGCAACTTATACCCGATACAATGTCTGGAACTTGTCTGGAACTCATCCTGGATATGAATTGAGATGGGCCCTAATTTCCAACAGATGACTTTGAATGAATTCCGGACTTTCACTGCCGCTAGGTGATGCAATTTTGCTAGTGAACAAAGAATGCACCATTGGGTTACTGCAATGTTAGATTTTAGCCAATTCAGAAGTTTTCTGGTAAATAGATCTAGAGAATATCAGTCAACTCTTACTCTACCTCACCCAAACAAATTCAATATTCACCTTAAAATAATGTCTGATACTTTTTTGCCTGAATATTACAGTAATTATCATTTCATGGTCAATGCGTTTTTGAGCCCAAAAGGGTGCTTTCTCGTGAAAGTATACCTTTAAGTAAGCTTTGACAAGGTTGGGATAAAGCAACCATTACAAAAGACGACGTTTAACAAAGGAAAAATAACACTACATTAATTACTTCTAAATACAAAGTTATCCCTCGTAGAACCTCGGTAACTCGTTGCCTAGAATGGTTTTTCGTTCCACACCGTCCTTTGTGATGGTTGCTAGGCGGATGATGCCACCGCTTGAGCCATCTCGCATCATGGCCAGGGCCAGACCTGTAAACAAAAACAAAGAAATAAATAAACAACTAATTCAGAAAGCTTGGAATCTCTAACAAGGTCAATAAGGAAAAACTCACACATTAACCTTGTCAAAGATGGATATGTCTCTCCCCCCCCCCCATGCAATAATGTTATAAACTCAATAATGCATTTTTCCCTTCATCGATATTCTTTTTTGAAGTGCAAACCCCAATATCGATTTTACATCTCCCCGACGCAAATTCCATCCTATAAATCATTTTAAAATCACCAGATACGGTGATTGTGTAATGTAGGGCCCCTGCTTAGTTTTGATCAAATTAGAGTCGAGGGTGCCTTTATCATTCCAAAATGACTTTTTCAACCTAAAGCAGTTTTCTCTTAATTCTAATGACATCATTTTGGGGGGGAATTTTGAAAAGTTTCTTGCAGTACAAAATGTGATTTTCTGACGCGTTTTATACTTGGTGCCATGTGAATCAACACAGTTTTGCTTGTTCACTGTGCGTCGCGTTGATCACCATCTTTATTTTCGTGTTGCATTTTTTCCCGTCTATATCGTCACTTTACCCCAAAATTTCCCGCAAAAAATAAAAACCCTTCCCTCTATCTACGGCATATCTGTTGGTTTGTAATGTCGCTAACTAGTTTGGTAAGTCCAATAACCTAAAAGTGGATTTTTGTTCCCTTACACAATCGCCCTAGATACTCTATGGTGTCGGGGTAGAATTTTTGAAAACAAAATTCAGGCGAAATCAAATCTGACATAGCAGCAAGTACTACAACATGTATAAAGGACATAAGCCAATATAAGATTTACATCTCAAAGGTGGTCTTGGGTTCGATTCCCACACAAGCAAACTTGTGAAGTTTTCTCATAGAATTATGTAGTGGAAGGGCAAAATTCCACACAAAAAAGGTACTCAAACAGTTTGGTTGGGCCATGTGGTTCGGCAGGGCGGCAGCTGTTATGAATGGGATGCCAGAGGGATATTGCCATTTCGTGCATGGGCCGGCAAAAGATGCGCTGGGTGGACAATATCCGAGAATGATCAGGGTGTGACACCACTGAACTGAAAGCAGCAGCACTGGAACGACGGGCTGTGGTGGGAGCGGAGCCAGTGATCCCAACTGTGTATAATTTAAAGGAGACCACGGGCAACTGCCTATGTCTAACGAATAATAATAAACAGTTTTCCCTAAAACATACCATTTGCAATGAACTGTAGACATTCCTCTTTGGTCATGTTCTCTTTATAGGAGGAGTCCAGGTAACCATAGAGATATGTGCTTCCTGAACCGCCCATAGCAACCGCCTGACGTACAATCATACCGCCAATGGGAACGGAGTACACCTTGACGACAAAATAAGAGCAGAATAATATAAATACTAGATAAACTTTGAAAAAAAAATCAAAACAATCAAAGTGAATGACTTAACCCTAACTCCCTAGCGTCTTTTACTAGGAACTGGACCAAGTCCATCAAAATCCATCAATCACTGTGCGTCCAATACAAAACTGTACATGACATAATGGACTTGCTACACATGGACTTTATCACAATAGCAGTACAGGAAGCTGGGCCAAATCAATCGGATACCCCTAGCATTGCTTCAGGACCATTAGGCCCAAGTCCATCATACTCCATCAATATTTAGTCATGCCAGGCCTTCTGGACCAAGTCCCCCAAAATCCACCAAAATGGGGGATGGATTTTGATGGAGTTGGGTTGGTTAGGGTTAATACTGACAATGATGGCTGTGTAGCATTATACAAATACAGCATGGTTTGAGTGGAAGTAGTGGGAATTACTGGTCCCAAGGTGTAGGTCAGCTTGACTACCTCCCGACGCGAAGCAGAGGGAGGTAGTCCAGCTGACCTACACCGAGGGACCAGTAATTTCAACTACTTTCCAGAAATAAACCATGCAGTATTTGTTTTACTACACCTCATCAATATTTAGTAGCCTCACTGTCTTTTTAGTAGCCTAACTGCCTTGTCGATAACGTATATTTTGCATATTTATTCAGTACACTTCACTTCAAGTTCTTCGTCACAGTATGAACAAGTCTGGTGCCAACACTCTTTAATGTGTTTTGCTTCAGTAGTAACAAGGACTACATCTACAGACTGGTTCCGTAAAGATTACATGCCATAGACTACATGTCTACGAGGCAGGTTCCAGTGGGAATTTTTGGTGCTACCAGAAAAAACTACCACACGGCAGCGAGCTGGATACGCACAGTGATGACGTCACCTGGGCGCGTATCATTTTTACTTCCCGGCAGAATCGGCCAATGACGCACTCCAATTTGATCATGCATATTTATGAGGTGTAGTAATGATTAATGGCTCGTGAGCGAGTATCAAACAAGGCCAAAACAATGTTTCCTGTTGGGTGAATGAAGACATGTGGCTGTGTGGTTTTGTTTTGCAACACAAAGATATATTTTTGGCCTGTGAAAGGATGGAATGCTAGAGTTTTACCGGCATCCCTGATTGAATGTGAATGTCTGTATACCTGGCCTCCTTTGACCTTGTCCCATCCAGCTACCAGGATCCCAGCGGACAGAGAGTCTCTGTACTCATAACACATGTTCCTGAACAAGTTGGCTGCCGTTCGGACAAGAGGTGGCTCACCCTCATTCATGCTGTAGAGACAAAAAAAGTGACCTGGACTAAAAAAACATCTGCCTATCTTAGCACCGTCGATATATCGATATTACTCGATTATTCAATATTATTTTGACATCGATATCACCAATAGCAATTTTTCAATCGTATTAAAATATCGAAATGTTCAATATTAATGAAGCATATCGAAAATCCATCAGTTTATCGTATCCCGTTTGTGCTTTTCTTTGTGTATAACATTCGCTGTAATGAAATAAAACTCGAAGGTGCTAATATGCCTATCATTTCACAAAACAGGCACATTTATCAAAGCCATTGATCAATAAACATGAAACAGTAAATGTACTCTGTACCTCAGCTGGACAGAAACGGAAGAAACCAAGCCATGAACATTGGACTCTCTACATAAGTACTGCATTTATATACACTCGAAAGCATTGCTTACAATGGCTGACGGCAAACCCTCATGCAAAGAGGGGTCTACCCAATTTTTGCCTAATATCTATGTTTCCCAATACATATGTTCCCGCTCATCCTTAGGGATAGGGTTAGGGTTGGGGAACATAGTTATTGGGGAACATAGGTATTGGGGAACATAGGTATGCACCCTGCAAAGACACCACAGATTTGTGGGCATTTAGAATAAAATTAGTCGCTCATGCCATACCCGCATGAACCAGTATGCACACATGCCGCACACTGTGTTCTCTTGGCACGACTTTTGAGATACCAAAAAACCCCAAAAAACCAGAGACTGGGTACCCCTTTCCAACATACTTAGCAACATCCAACAGTTATCAGAGTAAGAAGGCTGCCTATTGTAACAAGATAAAACAGGTTGAAAATCCCTCGGATTTCTGGCTTGCCAAAGTGCAACAGGATACAACAAAGACCTAACATTCAATGCGAATATCCCCCATTGTCTCAGAATTGGCGGTTTATACACTTGTGTTGATGGCCAAGGTTATAAGGTCCCATAGACCTACACACCTGTTAAACTGTCGAATCTGGTAGGGTAATGATAACAGGGTATTGAGAGTCCCAATTTCCTAACTATGCCACTATGTGACTTACCTATGGAAATCTAGCTGATAGGAGACGATATCCGCTATGGCTTGTGTGTCTGCTGCTGAGCCAGACCGACAGCAGTAAATAGAGTCATGTACCTTGGTCAGTTTGTCTGTAACCCGGTTGCCGATGTATGCTCTGTGAAGAGAAGGAAATGACATATGATTGATGCAATCAGTTGACAATTTCGAGAGTAACTATCTCAATATTATATTAACCCTAACCGCCTAGGCTCATTTGGCAAGGATGCATCCTAAATCCTTCAAAATCCTCCAATTGCCATTAACCCTAACAGAACTCAACCCATCAAACCCCAATGGCATGTTTTGATGGAACCTGTCAGGATGGGTACAGCACCCCTAAACTGACAGTCTTTTACATACACACCTCCAGAAACAAAGTCAGAAATATGTGTGTGCAGTTTCCCATATGGTGTTGGAATTTGCCAGGATGGGTATGGTTCCTAGTAAATCACGCTAGGGAGTTGGGATTAACGTAAACATTTGATACAGCCTCAGTCCTCCAAAATCATCTGTTATTTCTTGCATTTGTTCAGTGGAGGGGTGCATGGCCAGAGCCTCAATCCTTCAAAATCATCCACAATCATTGTAATGCAATGCGGAATTGCCGATGATGTCCAGAAGCAGTGTGGATGATATCTAGTGTAATCTAGGCATAATTTATGCATGGCTAAGCATAAATAACACAAGGTGCAGCTTAAGACTTTGACAAAATCATCCTCCAAAACCAACTGGCACAAAAAAGGCATACAGCCTCAATCCTCCAAAATCATCCAAACCCGCCTGGTAGATTTTGGAGGATTGAGGGTTAGGGTTAATACACCAAATCCAAAAGCTTTTTGAAATTCAAGCATTTTTACCACTAAATCTCTTTTAAAGGATGCATAAAACCACAGATTCTTTCCCACTAAAAAAATGTGCCAGGCAAGAGATTTGTGTGTTCATTTATGCATGGTTAAAACCAAAAAAACCCCCAAAAACCCAGAAAAATACTTGAAAACCTCCAATAGTTTCCCAGGACTACCCTGCTAAATCCAACAGAGTTTGACGGTTATACTCATATGAGTTTCCTGCTCAATCCAACACAGTCCCACACATAGAGCTATATTAAATTACTAGAGCGCTAACTCGTCATTCTGCGCGCGGAGACGCTTTGAAGCCGTCCTGGGCGCAGACATTTTGAATTCATGTGCGTGTTTGTAGAACATAATGAAATTAGATGGATTGAATTTTGAAAGTGTACTCTAAATACAACGCGCAAGTAGAACATACACAAACAACTTAAGCGCGTCATTGACGAATGACGGTTAAAAAAAACGTGACGGCAAAAAGCATCTGCAGCGAATACGCACACGCGTTGCGTTGTTTGCGTAGAGCAAAATGACACGTCCATTTGCTGATCGTGTGTTTCGGTTTTGGGCGTATCGGCTTCGATAACGCACCGGTATGGAATACAAAGGCAGATATGCAAATAGCCGTACAAAAGCCGTACAAAATTTCTAGGTCTCCATAGGTTTGTGCACAAACATGGATGCGCCCAGCAGGCGTTACTTTGTACACGAAGTTAGCGCTCTAGTAATTTAATATAGCTCTATGGTCCCACACAACCCAACTTGCCAAGTTGTTGGGTACCTGAATATATAAAATGACTGGCATGGCTCAATCCAACTGTGCCCTATTTTTCTGTTTGCTGCTGGATCCAACAGAGTCCAACTTGGCGTTATTTACCAGTACCCAACAGAATCCGACTCTGAATGTTTTCTGTTGCCTGCTGAATCCAACAGGTTTCAACAAGAATATATACAAGGGGTTTACTGCTCAATCCATCAGGACCCAACAGAAATGTAAAACAGATTGATCCTGATGGATTGAGCAGGGTAAGAGTTAGTCCCTGAACACGTTAATTCAACTATTTATCTGTTGTTTTAGGATTTCTACCAAATTAAATTCAGTCCTAAAAACCCCCAAGATTTTATGATTATTTTCCCACCAATTGTACTCACCCTGATGTTGTTCTGGAATCTGCACCAACGACAACCCCTCCATCAAACTCTACAGCCATAATTGTTGTCTGTAGATTAAGAACAAAATACACTTAAAGGGAATATACAACATTTGCAAACGGTAAAAAATAAAACTACCAAGTTTTTATGAAATACCTTACTAGGATGTTGGTAAATGACAGTCTCAAGCACCTTGTAAAATTACGGCACCTGGTGTGAAGTCATTTTCAAGAAAATTGTATTTTTGTATACATTTCCAACGGTGGTCGGCCGACCAGCATTGGAAAAACCTATTTTTCAACTACTCCAAATTTACCTCTTTTTTTTCAGTCCAAATTTTGTTTGCTATTGGTTACATGTTCATGAACGGGTGCAGGCCAGCTAGACTGATTCCCTTGCCTTACAATTTTCCATCATCTATAAATTGATCCATTTTATCTTCAGTGGAGTCAGGGAACCAGACGACTTGAACGTTTTTGTTTTTCTTGGTTTTTCCAGCATTTTCGGACACAAAACTTCAAACATGTCAGTGTAACAATATTCGATCTATTATACTATTAAACCCCTCAAATAGTTCAATTCTGAAAATTACAGCAAAAGCCAATGATGTACATTCGCTTAAAGAACATGAATGTCATTAAACGAAATGATCTAGAATTAGAAAGGCTGAGAATGCAACATATTTTTGCCAATATTTTGATAGTTACAGCGGTGCAGGTTCGTGCAGTATAGTTAAGATAAGACAGAAAGTTTGTCTTTTCTTCTACGTAGTGGTTAAAATACTATCGTTATGGTATTGTAAAAACACAGTGCGACCGTTTATCAGAATTATTTACAACTTCCCATCCAACCAGAACTTTCTGTTAGCTTGATTGGTACAAACCTTAGCTCAATGAGCTGGGGACCCTGGTTCGAACCGCTGCCGTGCTACTCAATTTAAAAAAAAATGTTTTTCTTAAGTTTCATGTTTTTAATCAATTTTTTTTTTTTATTTAAGTAGATTTCATTTTCTTCCCTTTGAAATCAGTGGTCTTGGAGGATTTTAATATAAAGCGAAATAAAGTCCGAGAACCATTTAGTTTGTGACATTGAATAATATTACGTCAGGGGACCAGACAGTTCCGTAACAACAGCAGTTGAAAGTTGCGTTACGACTGCTGTAACTATAGCCACGGCGTTTGTTCTAATTTGAGGCTCCAAAGGATTTTTGTTTAAAGTAAAGTCCGAAATTTCACTAGGTCTGATTCCCACCCCTACTCCTAGAACTATGATGCTCCGTGGAGCGGAGCCTCATAGACAGAGAACCCCGCAAAATTGTTTGCTTCTACAAAACACCAACTAAGTACAAAAGCGTCCATCAAAACACAGACATTTCCCACAGAACCACTTGCACCGTTTGCCCCTAAACACCGTACTATACCTCTTGACATACTCACGTAAGTTGTGGATTCTGTTGGTTTAAAGGCCAAAATGATGAAAAATATGCCCTTTCTGCACTGAGCCAACCTGACACTTGAAACGTGCACGCTGATATGATCGATCGATGATTTTCTGTTCGTTCGGCGAGGCGGGGGGTACAGTACACGTACAAGCGAAATGATAGTATGCGCATGCGTACAAGTGCAAGTAACGTACCCCCCGCGGCGCGTGCCGAGCGAACCAAAAATCATTGATCGATCATAATGCGTGCACGTTTCAAGTGTATACTTTTCATCATTTTGGCCTAAAAGCCAACAGAATCCACCGATGTTTGTTAGGCGCAACTTACGTGAGTATGTCAAGAAGTATAGTAAAGAGTTTAGGAGCAAACTGTGCAGTGGTTCTGTGGGAAATGTCTGTGTTTTGATGGATGTTTTTGTACTTAGTGTTTTGTAGAAGCAAACAATTTTGCAGGGTTAGGAGAATCCTGCCCCCTGAATACAAAATCACAACGATAATGTAAGTGCGGAATCAGCCTAGGCAACAAGGCTACAACTAATGTGTAGTGTTTACAAATAATAGGGCCTAAGCCATTATTGATATTTCGCTGGGTTTGAAATGACAACAGAACCTGGCGTTGTTTACATGCCACGTTCATGGGTCTATATCCCACAATTCATTATGCACCCGAAACTTTGATAAGGCTTATACTATAGAAAGATCTATTGGAACTGTTGTGCGCTTTCTTGCGATTCACACAATCTTAAGAATGAGCACGCAATCTGAAGAACGAGTGCTCATTCTTAAGATTGCGTGGGAATATCACGTGTGCAATTTATGAATTTTGCACAATCTTAAACATTGCGCGGCATAATTATGTTAAATGAAATGTATAGCGGTTAAGGGGAAATAATTCATATAACGAGGAAAGAAAATGATCTTCATGTATGCTTGTGTACTCGTATACCTATGATAATTAGAATCAACTTAAACCTGTTATTATTGCTTTTTTTCTGCCCACTATTGGAAGTTTTGTAATAACGGAGGACTGGGAACTAGTCTGGGAAGTGCTGGACAAGTTGCATGTCCCTGTATGTATGCATTTTTTTAAATTTTGCACACAAAAAATGATGTCCAGAAGTTGCTGTTGTGCCCATTCTTGAAAATCACGCATTCTCGAGAATGGGTATGCACATTCTTGAGAATGTGCAACTGGATCCTTGCTCAATCTTGGCAAAAAATAACTCTTCCAGATTGAGCGCACATTCTTGAGAATGCGCGACAAGATAACGGTCTTGTCGATGCCGAGCACCGGCTGCGCTTGGCAAGTCTAGCTGAATCCTCGTTCACTGATTCTCAATAATTATACTGTTGCAACGCAAGGCGCTGAAAAGTAGAGTGGATATGAAAAGTATACGCGTATTGGGGGAGGGGACCGGGGGAAAAAATAAGAATAAATAAGAAAGAATTCAGATTTTTGGGATAATAAAAGAGGGGGGGGGGGACGTAAGAATGAAGAATGTGAAGAATGAGAATGAATACTGCGACATCCCATAGTGCTAATGCTATTTCCCATTTAAATTGCCACCAATTTTTTGTTCACACCCCACCATAACGTCGCAGAGCTGGATTCTATCTAGTCAAAAGAGCAATTTTGGCAGCTTCTGGACATCGTTTTTTTTCGTGGCATGCATATGATACATACAGGGACTTGTAACTTGTCTAGCCTAAACAAAGCACTTCCCAGACTAGTTCCCAGTCCTCCGTTATTACAAAACTTCCCATAAGTAGGCAGGAAAAAGCAATAATAATAGGTTTAATATGATTCAAATTATCGTAGTTATACGAGAACAGAAGCATAGAACATTTTCTTTCCTCTTTATATGAATTGTTTCCCTTTTAACCGCTATACAATTCATTTAACATAATTATGTCGTGCAATGTTTGTTAAGATTGGGCAAAATTCATAAATTGTGCACGTGATATTCCCACCCAATCTTAAGAATGTGCGCTCATTCTTAAGAACACGTACATGTAGGTAAGTGACCTTGCATTGCAACATCAGTGAACGAGGATGCAGTTTGACTTGCCAAGCGCAGCCGGTGCACGTTTCGGTGCACCAAGATCGTTATCTTGTCACACATTCTTAAGAATGTGCTCAATCTGAAATTTTTTTTTTTCGAAGAAAATTGCGCAAGGATCCAGTTGCACAATCATAAGAATGCGCATTCTTAATTGCGCAAATCACAAGAAAGCACACAACAGAACCAAGATTTTGACGTTTGAAGGGAATGAAGGACATGAACAACAATGATGAATGACGCGCAGACGGTCGACTGCCGTAGTAACAATACATAGCCAGTGTCACTGAAAAAAGGGTTAGGTCTATTGCCAAGTATTGGTAATTGTAGCCCCATAATGTGCCCATAATGTAATCCTGATCCTAGGAATAGTCAGAATCTTTTGGTCTGGGAACCGGACTACCACTGGGCCTGCGGCGTGCGTCCTGCACGCGTGATTGACAGGTGAACGATCTGCGCGAGGGCATTGTTCAGTTGGACCATGGAGATAGCTCCACGGTTGGATCAAGTTGCCAAGAATGGTCCAGAAAATGTCGTAAATTACGCAGCAGCTGGGCAACTGACACTGGCAGCAGGTTCTAATTTTGTTATTAAGAGGGTAAGTGTATTTTTAAAGCATAAATGAACTGGGTTTGAAGTCGCAATGTGGAAATCACTTTCAAAATTTCGGCGAGTCAGATTCCAAGATGGTGGACGTGTGGCCTATGTTTACGGAGGCAGTCCAGTAAACTGGCCACATTATGGGGCTATGGTAATTGAAGCAAGCAAAGACACATTATTAGGTACAACTATAGAATGCAGGGTCACTACACTCTACATCCGCGCCTCCGTACGGCTGCGTGGAGGCGTGGAGCCGGAGTCGACCTACCTCCGAGAATTGCGCCCTCTATCGGCGCGTGTCTCTGCGACTCCGCGCCTCCAGTGCCCCTTCGCCCTCCCTTCCTTTGTTTGACATGTTTGAGAGGAAATTAAAAATGGATATGGATGCTTCGTTCCCTAAAAAATACCGCTGAGAATTGCGCCCTCTTTCGGCGCGCCTCTCTGCGACTCTGCGCCTCCAGTGCCCCGTCGCCCTCCCTTCCTTTGCGAGGAAGTTAAAAATAAAAATGGATATGGATGCTTCGTTCTCAAAAAAATACCGCCGAGAATTGCGCCCTCTATCGGCGCGCGTCTCTCTCTGGCTCTGCCGTCTGCGACCCCAAGCTGAAAAAAAACTTGCTCCGGCGTGGCCCTGCATTCTATAGTTGCTCCCATTAGGCCCTATTATATTATAAATCATAATTTACGCCTGTTTTTTCTTCCGCCTTCATCCATGCTGGAAGCTGCGAATTTGCCTCACAAATTGAAGCAGTCGTGCCTCTGACTTCGGTCATCATGGGGAGCGCCATCTTGTAAATGAAATTAACTGGTATCCGTGACTGAATTATTTCCCTTACAAAGACGTTTGTCGAATTTACAGTTACCAGTGCGATAATGACAGAGTTGTTTTTGATGCTTTGGCCATTGTCAATCCAGCGGGGAACAACTTACGCACAGCAGTTTCAGGCAGCGTTATTTTGTAACATGTAGATGAAACTTCGTGCATTCTTTTCTTTGTGTATTTTACAAAATTAAGTTGACAATACTATCAGATTTTTATCTCAATTACAACCTTCATGTCTACATTTTTCAGTAAACCGGGAAAATACAAACGCAATTAGCGTTCAGATTGCAAACAAACATCGAGGAACGATATACACGTTTAAAAATAGTAAAGCCTCGCTAGTGCATTGTGGGTAAACCTGGAAATGGCTTCGCAAGGTGAGCGTTTCGTTACGTTTTCTCTTAAAATTTTAATCAAAATTGTTTGATTATGACAAGAATTAAGTGAAACAAAAACTGTATCCGAAATAAATAAAATGTGCTGAAGCAGTTGTTATTAGAAATGGGGTCTATAATGGACAAAAATTCCATTTTTGAAGCTTTCATTGACAGGCTCGTCCCACTAAAAAATTATTTCGTTGCAAAATGACGCCATCCTCGTTCGCGCCGCCGTTGTCCTTTATTTGGCTGTTCATTTTACAGTGGGAGGTATCTTCCAGGAGCGATTTGTTTGTTACCCCCGAATAGCGAAATCCCGGCTTCGTTTCGGCTGCATCTTTTGCTTTGGCAGAATCATTTAGAACGGACATGTAGGCTTATATCAAGGTCCTCTGACCTCTGGCCTCATACTAAACTTTATTATAGTATCTAGGATTTGATTTCTGAAGCTGAATGTGCACCAAAACTGAAAATACCAAGCCGGATTCCCGAAGTTAAAACATTCTGATCGTGAACTGGAGATGAAGCCGACGTTTCAAAAATACCCATACTTTCCATAGAGTTTAAGGCCAAGTAAAAAAATAAACCAATTTCTGATCACCACCCACCTCCTTTTTCCTACCTGACTTTTTTTTTAATGCATACATAATTGCAATGCATGAAGTAATAAATCTACTTAAATATAAAAGAACAATTTGATTAAAAAACGTGAAAGTAAAGAAATTTAAACAATTTTAATTACCGGTACATGCTCGCCGTGTTTTTTTTTAAGTTTTTTTTAAAGTTTTACTTTACTTTATTTCATCTCAAGGCATAAAAGAATACAGTTTGTACTTAAAATTTATGATGATTTATACATGTTTGATTGCTCTCTAATTTTTTTAGGCACTTTATAGGCATTCCTTGATTGTTATTAGGAACTTTTAGTCTTTTTATTGGGGGACTTTTGCCTTTTTGGTAGCACTTGAATAAAACACTGACTTCTTTGAAGAATGTATTTTCTGATCCTTAAGCAAGCCTATTTGTTGGTGTACTTAATTGTTGTGACGGACTCAACCATCTTGGTGATTTGACCCGGCGAGATTAGACGACCGTTACTATTAGGCCCTAATTAAGTGTCTGTGAAACCCTCATATTAAAAAGAGGCTTTGATCAATTTTGCACACAAACAGATCCATTGGTTTCTGGTCCCTACATTAATTACCGCGATTCTGCTGGGGTAGGGGCCGGATGCCAGTCTACCCTGGGAGAAATTATTTATTGTCCAGCCGCAAATAATTTGGAAATGTTTTTCCCCCAAAAACGGGGTCTACCTGATGTTCCCCAATACCTATGTTCCCCAATACCGATGTTCCCCGAAATCCTTAGGATTAGGGTTAGGGTTAGGGTTTGGGTTAGGGTTATGGTAAGGATTTTGGGGAACATCGGTATTGGGGAACATAGGTATGCACCCAAAAAACTAATAGTTGAATAATTTCTTTTGTTTCAATTAAAAGTGAATGACTGGTACATTTCTGAAAAAAGCCAGCAATATATCTTAAAAGATTTGTTCACGTGTGAAGTTTTTTTGGATGTTAAACGTTAAATTTCAACGCTGTCTTTTACATAGTCATGATAGTGGAAAATGAATGTTATTTCCAAACTTTTTTGAATTTAACATTGATAGTACATCTTTAAGTTGTCAAAAGAAATACATTTTGTTTTTATCCATGCAGCTTAAAACCATTTTTTTTCTGCAACAATTTTGTCAAACTCATACATGCGATGGTCCAAAATCACACTTCATGTGACTGCTAGCTCCTATGAACTGTAAATTGGAAAATATTTGGTACATATATCATTATATGTACCATACTTTGAGAGGATATGGATGTGCCATTTTATTCTATTGATTGTGTAATTGTTAACATTTGGAGACACAGCTCATCAGTACAGTATTAAACTGAATTCTAACGTTTTTAAAAAGAAATATCTGTTGTAGTCTGATATTAGTTTTAATTCCCTTATATTTGAATAGGGCTTTTCTTCTTCCCATATATATTGTTTTCTGTGTCAGTCAATATATTTTGACAAGTTTTAAACAAATTCATCATTTTTGCACCAAAAGATACATTGAATACTACATTTTGTAACCGTTGACTGCTGTTAGGCCGAGTAAAAAAAAAAATAGTTTCTTGTCCGGGGTTTTTGAAAAAAGGGAGGAAGCGGGGCTTTTTATTTTTTATTTTATTTTTTTCAAGATGACCGCCTTTTCAAAATTTCCTGCAACTGTTGGTGTTCCACTGTTCAAGACACTTTTAAAGATGAAAGACAAGTTGGACAAGAGAACTGAACATATTTACAGTGTCATTTAGAGTTGTATTGGTATTGGTATTTATTTTCCAATGAATTTGTAGACTTTTTCGGTGTGTTTCTACTACATTTTTCAAAAATAAAAAATAATAAAAAAATCCAGGCGGCCTCCAAAAAGGAAGCGGGCGGGGACGAGAAACTTGTTTTTTTGTTTACTTCGCCTTATGTAATGATAAAATATGTTCATAAACAAGCCTAGATAAACACAGTTTAAAATCATGTTTCATTCATTCACTTCAGATGCAGCAGTCACTGTCGTTACGAAGCAAGCACTGCAAAAAGGTCATCGCTTTGGACCCTACAAAGGCAGATTGAGGTCGGTAGACATTGACGATGATGTCCCATTTGGCGCCTGGAAGGTAAATTAAGAAAGAACAAGCTCTTTTGTTTACAATGTACATAAATGTGGCTCTACCTCTTCCAAGGACGCCCAACTCAAAAGGATTTTCCAACCTGCCACCCTGAGGTTGTCGCACCCCATCCAGGTGTCCCACCTCCAGGATGTCCCATCACCCAAACCCCAGGATGCCTCACCTCTCAGAGAATGTCCTATCCAGACCAAAACCACCTGGTGCCCATCCCCAGGCTAGTCCAGGAGGCCCAATCCTTAGGATGTCCCATCCCACCCTATCCTCATGCTACCTTACCACACTCTAGGAGGCCCAATCCTTAGGATGTCCGATCAGCCCCAGGAGGTCCTTCCCAATATGGGAAGCCCAAGACTTAGGATGCATCCTAGGATGCCCCATCCATCCTTAGGGTGCCTTATCCCAATCTAGTGGGCCAAACCCTAAGGATGCCTCATTCTGCCCTAGGAGGATCGTGATGGTGTCTTGCCCTAATCAATGATGTCAAACCCCTAAGATGTCCCATCCTGCCCTAGGAGCCCTGTCCATCCTTGGAGTGCATTATCCGATTGTAGGAGGCTCAACTATAAGGATGCCTCATCCCGCCTTAGGAGGCCCCTCCTTGAGGACCTTACCCCTATCTAGGAGGTCCAACCCTAAGGATGCCGCATCCAGCCCTAGGAGGCCCCTCCTTGAGGACCTTACCCCTATCTAGGAGGCCCAACCCTTAGGATTTCCCATCCTGCCCTAGGAGCCACGCCCATCCTCAGAGTACCTTATCCGAATCTAGGAGGCCTTCCCCTAAGGATGCCTCATCCTGCCCAAGGAGGCCCCTCCTTAAGTACCTTATCCCAATCTAGGAGGCCCAACCCTTAGGATATCCCATCTAACCCTAGGAGCATCCTTAGGGTGCCTTATCCAAATCTAGTAGGCCCCACCCACCGGACCTGAACCCCGCTGGATGCTAAGCCCCTTCCTGCAAAGCCAGCACATTATGCTACCATCATTACTGGGCAGAGGCGTGTGTACAGCATGGTCTTTGGACTCTGCGCATGCACAGTAAATGGTACTTTATAGTGACCACTCACGAGAGTTCCAGGTGCAGGACACAATGCAGGCAGGCACTGGTCTGCACATTTCCTATTTAATGTGTGTACAAATGCTTAGTGTAGAGCAGCCAGTAGTCTAGCTGTAAACTCTCTATGTCACTGTAAAAGGAGCTCCTAGTGCACGGAGTACATGGGCATGCTAGTTAGTTAGCCGATTTGCTTTGTCTTACATTGTCATCCAAGTCAACAGGGTAGGAACCGCATGCAGACTCCAAAGACCTAACAGTCCCTCATCAGTGAATCTTGACAGAGATGCACATGGGTGGCAGGGAAATAGAAATACCAAATGCGGTCCACCTGTAATCTTCACTAATGGGTGTAGCATAACTGGCCAGTCCTTGGTGAACTTCAAAATTCTGCAGAATTCAGCATAGAGTCTGCAGACTTCTCATCGCTTCTGGTCCTCATAGTGACACAATTTGAATTTTCCTGATTTGCAGATCTATCCTAAAGATGAGAACGATAAGACCTACATTCTCTCCAGCCAGGATCCTAACCTGCCACGCTGGCTTCACTTCATCAAAATCACCAAGGAAGAAGATGAGTGTAACATCACCCTTGTGCAAGTTGGCTTCCGGTATTTCTTTGAGGTACAGGGTCTTGACAATAGGGATTTGAAACCAGGTTTTATAGAGAGATAATATGTATATGACAAACAACTTCATCCAGTAACTCAGCCTAACAATTCCTATCCCAATTCATCTTTAACCCAGCTGAACCCAATCCAACCCAGCCTAGCTGAACCCAATCCAACCCAACCCTGCTGCAGAACCCAATCCAACCCAACCCAGCTGAACCCAATCCAACCCAACCCAGCTGAACCCAATCCAACCCATCCCAGCTGAACCCAATCCAGTCCAACCCAGCTGAACCCAATCCAACCCAGCCCAGCTCAACCCAATCCAACCCAACCCAGCTGAACCCAATCCAGTCCAACCCAGCTGAACCCAATCCAACCCAGCCCAGCTCAACCCAATCCAACCCGACCCAGCTGAACCCAACCCAACCCAACCCAGCTGAACCCAACCCAACCCAACCCAGCTGAATCCAATCCAACCCAACCCAGCTGAACCCAATCCAACCCACCCAAGCTGAACCCAATCCAACCCAACCGAGCTGAACCCAATCCAACCCAACCGAGCTGAACCTAATCCAACCCAACCGAGCTGAACCTAATCCAACCCAACCGAGCTGAACCCAATCCAACCCAACCGAGCTGAACCTAATCCAACCCAACCCGGCTGAACCCAATCCAACTCACCCCACATGAACCCAATCCAACCCAATCGAGCTGAACCCAACCCAACCAACCCAGCTTAACCCAATCCAACCCATCCCAGCTGAACCCTATCCAACCAACCCAGCTGAACCCAATCCAACCAACCCAGCTGAATGCAATCCAACCCAACCCCGCTGCGCTGAACCCAATCCGACCCAACTGAGCAAGCTGAACTCTATCCAACCAACCCAGCTAAACCCAATCCAAAGCAACACAGCTGAACCAAATTCAACCCAACCCAGCTCAATTCATTCAACCAAACCGACCTGACCAAATCCAACCCAAACCACCCTTTCGCCCAACCTAAAACAAACCAACCATTTCCCAACCCTAACCAACCCATCTCACTTGGACCCAACCAAACTCAATCTTCCGCATCCTAACGTAACCTATACCACATTTTTCCAACCCAACTCAACCCAACCCCACCCATCCAAACCCCAATTCAACCTGGTCCATCCAAGTCTGACCAAACCAAACCAAACCAAAAGTATCCCAATTTCACTTGACCCAACCTAAAACAACCTAGCTCAAACCAATTCAACCCAACCCATACCAGCTCAACCAAACACAGTTCAATCAAACCAATCCCAGCCCAGCCCAACCCAACTCAACCCAACACAACCCAACACCCACAACCCAGCCCAGCCCAACCCAACCCAACAAAGCCCTACCCATCCGAACTCAACCAAAGCCCACCCATCCCAACCCAAGACAACCTAGCCCAAACCAATTCAACCCATTCCATACCAGCTCAACCAAACCCAGCCCAACAAAACCAATCCCAGCCCAACCCAACCCAGCCCAACCCAGCCCAGCCCAGCCCAGCCCAGCCCAGCCCAACCCAACCCAACCCAGCCCAGCCCAGCCCAGCCCAGCCCAGCCCAGCCCAGCCCAGCCCAGCCCAGCCCAACCCAACCCAACCCAGCCCAGCCCAGCCCAGCCCAGCCCAGCCCAGCCCAACCCAACCCAACCCAACCCAACCCAACCCAACCCAACCCAACCCAACCCAACCCAACCCAGCCCAACCCAGCCCAGCCCAGCCCAGCCCAGCCCAACCCAACCCAGCCCAGCCCAACCCAACCCAACCCAGCCCAGCCCAGCCCAGCCCAGCCCAGCCCAGCCCAACCCAGCCCGACCCGACCCAACCCAGCCCAACCCAACCCAACCCAGCCCAACCCAGCCCAGCCCAGCCCAGCCCAGCCCAGCCCAGCCCAACCCAACCCAACCCAGCCCAACCCAACCCAGCCCAACCCAGCCCAACCCAACCCAGCCCAACCCGACCCAACCCAGCCAAGCCGAGCCTAGCCCTACCCAACAGCAACTTATCTCAACTCAACCCAACCAAACCCAGTCCAACCCATCCCAACTTGGCCCAACCCAACCTAACCCAACTCAACAGAACCCACTCCAACCCAGCCCTACTCAACCAACCCAAGTCAATATAAATGAAAACATCTACATGTATTCATTTTTTTCAAATGGCTTCTGACTAGTGCAAGATGAAATGCGAGACTGCTAACACAGTGCTGGTTTGCTCAATTGGCAGTGCACCAGTACTGTGTTCTAGTGGTTACAAGTTCCAATCCTAGCTACATATTTTTTTGTAAACCTAACTTTTAAGTTTCACTTTTTGTATGAATAGATGACCAAAGATGTTTCAGAAGGAGTTGAGTATGTTCTCCGAGGCTGGCGTTCTGAAAAACCGACCGAGGAAGCAGATGAGTCAGTGTACAAGCCCCCTCTTCCTGGAAAGAAGAGGGGCAGAAAGCCCAGAAAACAGTTAACACCAGAAGAGCTTCAGGCCCGCGAAGAACAAAAACAGAAAGAGGTGGGAATAAATGGTCAGGCCTGGATGTTGTTAAGGCCGGTTCATACACGGCCAAAAGAATTGACATAATTGCAAATTTTGAAATTTGTGACAGATGGCAAGGACGCAAAATGCGAAGTTTCCGAAATTTGTTAACAGTTTCTACTCTGGTAATCTTTGCCGGCAATGTTTCTTGATTTCTCCTCACATCTGCATGAATTTAATATTAACAATCCTTGAGAAGGATAACTGAAATGGCGTACGACGAAATGAAGTGGGTTAACATGCCGAAATGTTCAGAGGTATTTGTGAGGCGATCAAGCTAAATAAGTCGTTTGTTGACCCTGGTCAATTTTTTTGTACAGATTTGAAAAGAGCACAATCTCAGCATTACTGCTGTGAAATCCGCATGGTGATACCATCTTTAGTTCGAAAATTATGGAAGTCGGAACACCAAGACATGTGATGAAGTGATGTGATGAAGTGGCCCTATTTTGGCCTGAATCTCAAAATGAAAATTCCCGACAAATGACTCATTTAGCTTGATCGCATCACATTTGGTAAAAGCATAGTAGAAATGAAGCAATCGTGGCTAAGCGGATCAAATCTCATAACATTGGTGGACACTTTGTCTTGGCAAGAATCTTAATTGTTTTGAAAATCAGCGCTGGCACTTTACAGAATTGTATTAATCTTGTCAAGCAAAATCAATCACAACTTTGCAAATCAAATCACAAAGTCGGGTCATAAGTGATGGGGATAAATGCCTTATTGGCAGTTTATTGGAAAAAACTGTATAGCTTATATTTCATGCTAGATGACCTATGATTGATCTGCGATGACTTGTCATTAAAAGACTTTTCCAAGATAATTTGATTCAAAATTTAAAAATATAAATATTGTATGAATAAAAAATGATTCACCTCCTTTTGATCCAGGCCACACAAAAATGTGCGTCCTTGTAAACTTTTTTCCTGGAAGCTTTTAAATCATGTTCTGTATCATTTTGTTTTGCCACAGTTGGATGAGCGTGTACGCAGGGTATCCACCCGTGACCGCAGCAGGCGCTGCGTGGAATGCGGCGAGAAATTCACCTCCGGGGTGCTGTTCATGAGGCACAGGGGCAAATGTGGGGTTCTGAAGGAGGAAGATCTACTTACTGAGTCTTCTGAAGGTGAGGTCAACTTTTGGCGATGTTGCAGTAAAGTCCCTCACAATTAACCCATCGCAGTAGAATCGCGTAAATGCTGAATGTTGTCCAATTTTATGATATACAAATGAACACGGAACGCCCAAAATCGGAGACAATAAGGTTGTCTAAGGGGCATCGCTTACTCGCAAATGGCAATAATAGGTCAATTCTATCACATGTCCAGTCACAAGTTAATCACAAGTCAGTTCACAAGTCCGTGAAAGTAACAGGGAATGAACCATGATAAAGGATTGCCTTTGTCACAGATCATTGGAGTAGGGGCAACTTCATGTGAAAGTAGGCATGGCTGAAAAGTCTGAAATCTTCAGAACTCCAAGCATCACAGCCTCAAATGTGGTATCATATAAAAGGGGACAACAAGACCTTTCATTTGAGTGGTGTGCCAAAGAGATGGAATGTGGTAAAACATATTTTATTTTTGTTAAAAAAACTGCTCTTGGGCTACAATTATGGATTTGAGGTAGTTTGGCATCTTGTTTTGACATCGATAAATATCAATATGTGCACATAGGTGTTTCTGTATAGAAATTTGGAAAGCTTGGGAAGTTGCTGACTCATGGCGAAGTCAATGCAGAATAGTCCTCTCATAAATTTCTGAGAGTGTAAACATTTGTGGCGAAAATTGTTTCCTTATTGTAGGTGAAGAAAACACAGATGATGAAGAAGAGAAGGAGCCAACGAGTGAGGATGTAGAGGAAGGCAAGGATGCAGAAGACATCGGGGTCCTACTGGAGGCAGATGATGGCGAAGCTGATGAGGCGGAGGGAGAGGGGGAGGGGGAAGGAGAGGAAAACGTTCAACAGCTCGGAGAAGCCGTCGACCAACTAATCGCCGGGATGGAAGCTGCCGACAGAGAGGAGAATGATAGTGTCCTGGCCGACGGAACGGAGGGAGAGCCAATGATCCTGAATCCGCTCCTTCAAGAGATTGGATCTGAGGAAGCAGCAGCCGCAGCTGCATCCGCAGCGTTACCGCTGCCAGTCAAGCGGCCACGCGGTCGACCACGAAAGGATGGCCGCCCGCCAATCCAACGCAAGAAGCGAGGTCGGAAGCGCCGCCGGAAACGCCGACGCTTTAATGATGACGACAATGATGTAGACCATCAACCAGCAAAACAGGTAGGCCCTCAACTAGACAAACATTTTTTCAAATAAATAATAGTTCCTTGTTTGTTTATAGTTTCAGTTAATCACAAAGGAATTCCTCATTTTCACTCTGTTGTTTTACATTTATCAACCCCAAAATGGAACTGAATTACCACCACAATAATCGCTAGTTTGAATACCCAAGTAATGTTTTTTAAACCCGTCCTTTAAACAACAGGTCAAGGATGAGTGTATTCCCACCGTGCCAGACCCAGAAAGGTTCCCCTTCTCCTGTGAGACCTGCCAGAAAGTCTTCCCCACCAAGAGCTGGTTCGACTTCCACATAGAACAGCACTCCCAGCCTGGACTGACATACCTGGTCTGCAACCTGTGCGACATGGCCTTCCGTTATCTGACGGAGCACACCTGGCATATGGAGGAGGTTCATCAACTGGGGAAGCGGGACCAGGTCCTGTCGGAGAAGTTTCGGTGCGACGCCTGCAAGAAGGCCTTCCGTTCCCCCATCCATATGGAGAGACACAGGCGAAGAGCAGCTGCTGAAGGTGATATGTCTCGATGATTGCCAGAGTTTGAGTCAAGTCGACTCAAATTCCATTTCAAAGTAAATCTCAAGTCAATACACAAATCGGTCAACAGCCCATCACAAGTCCATCACAATTCAAAAATCATCAGTCAATCCCAAGTCAGTCAGAAATCAGTCTCCGGTGAATCGGAAGTCAATCACAAGTCAATCCAAAGTCGGTCACAAACAATTACAAACCAGTCACAAGTCAATCACAAACCAATCACAAGTCAGTCACAAGTCAATCACAAACCAATCACAAACCAATCACAAGTCAATCACAAACCAATCACAAGTCAGTCACAAGTCAATCACAAACCGATCACAAGTCAGTCACAAGTCAATTACAAACCAATCACAAGTCAGTCACAAGTCAATCACAAACCAATCACAAGTCAGTCACAAGTCAATCACAAACCAATCACAAGTCAGTCACAAGTCAATCACAAACCAATCACAAGTCAATCACAAACCAATCACAAGTCAGTCACAAGTCAATCACAAACCAATCACAAGTCAATCACAAACAATCACAAGTCAGTCACAAGTCAATCACAAACCAATCACATGTCAGTCACACTGCTGCATAATCACACACGTTTGTTTGGCATACGCTATGTGGACATTCCTTTGTTTTCGTGTAGTTAAGAAAACTTGGTACAAAAAAAAAAAACTTTACTTAAACTGTGAAAACTCTTTCAACCCCAATTTTTTTCTATGATTCCCTTTAGTGTTTTTCTTCATTTTGCCACGAATAAACCTAACCCAAAAATGCCTCTGAACCTGTTTTCCAGAGAGGGCAAAACGTTATGTGGACACCGCTTAGTCCACATAACGTCAACACAACCTGCATTATGTGGACTTATTTTGTTTACAAGTCCACATAATGAATGTAAGACAAACTCACCTGTAAACAGTACAATGCTTCAGTTGTCCAACATTTCACACACACAGAATACCAGTTTGCATGTTGTCTGATCGCTTGTAACATTTTTTACAAATTTTTTCTTAAAATTTCAATCCACTGCAACTCAGGCAGCTACAGACCATATGCATATGTCATAGAGTACTGGCAATGTGAAGCATGCAAACCCCTATTGTTGCTTGGGAGGGCTGCACCTATGTGTTGGCACAATGCTCTGCCGGTCCTTCAATATTAAAGGCAATATACAACGTTTGCTTTTGCTGTAATTTCCAGGAATTGATGGATTTGGGGGTTAGTGTTACATAGCAACTGTTAATATACTTACCTGTTTACAGTTATGTGTTCATAAATGCTGGGAAAACCAAGAAAAAATTGTTGTTTTTTTAGTCTGGTGCCCCAACCCTACTTCAGACAAAACTGAGCAGTTTATAGATAGTCAGGTAACCAGACTAAAGGCTTACACCTGTTGACACGTGTAACCGATTGCAAACAAAATGTGGACAAATTAAATTTTGTGAATTGGGGCAGTATTAGCACAAAAAAAGTCAGTTTTGTGGAATTGTTTTTATCAATTTCCAACGATGGTCAGCTGACCATCGTTAGAAATTGATAAAACAAATTCCACTTTTCTTGAAAACGACAGCACACCAGGTGCCATGATTCCACAGGATGCATGAGACTATTATTCACTAACAGTCCAGTATAAAGGTATTTCATATAATTTGGTACTTTTGTTTTTTGATGTTTGCAAATGTTGTGTATATTGCCTTTAATAACGTTTTGCATTTTCTCCCTCCAAGGAGTATGCGCTACTGTCCCTAATAATTGCCCCTTCTTGTCTACTACAGAACCCTTGCCCAAGGGGCCGGTCCAAATCAAGTGCAAATTCTGCGAGAAGAGTTTCTCGATAGAAATCGGCCTGGAGAACCACACGGAGAAGTTCCATCCAGATTACCAGCGATACCAGTGCACAGAAAACGACTGCTTGGTCACATTCCCCACAAAAGGTAGGCGGATGACGGGCTGGGCAGAGCAGCGATCCTGAGTTGTCAAGTTTATTTCACCTCATACATATTCATGAACCAAACGCGCTTCTTTCATTGGCTGATGCTCCGAAACATCTAGGACTCAAAAGTAAAGTAAAACATTGCTATAACGAACACCACTATAACAAACATTTGGCTATAATGAACATCCCCTTGGGCTTTCAAAATAGCAAATTCTATTATAATGCATTATCACTATAACGAACGACCACTGTGACAAACATTTTTTTACGGACCCCATCATGTTTGTTATAGTGGCGTTCTACTGTAGTGCCAAAATTACCTCTAGAATCTCAACCATGGAACAATTAGGTGATTATGGTAGCTGGGTTAAAGGCACGTAGGATCATTTGCATACGCTCAAAAACCAAACTGCCAAAATATTACGAAATAGCCCAAAGTAGATGATAGTATGAAACATCCTTTGAAATCATTGAGCCCGGTATGCTTTCATTCTCAAGTAAAGAGGAATTTTGTATCAGTACCAATGATGCATTGTAAGTACTGATACAGAATTCCTCTTTTTCTGAGACCTAACCATCGCTGAGACAAACAGTTTTCTTTAATACTACAGGCCATGAGCCACTAGTTAACTTCATGCTTACGTCGGGTACGCTAGGTTTATGTATGTATTACTTTCCCATGACAGAGCCGGCACTCCCTGTGACCTATGGGTTCTATGCAGAACGGATTCCGTGAGCTGCACTTTAACAGTTGAAAATGGACAGCGTTTTTTTGTCATGTTTCTTCAGCACCAGTGGACACAAAACATTGAACAGCTCAATGGAACGATGTCTGCTATAAATTAAAAGCAAACCGGTCTTATATACCTTAAAACTCGGTTACAAGCACTTTGAGTGAATCACTGTGATGACGCAGGGCTTATGGCCAAATCAGAACCGTCCATTTTATTAGATTTTTGTTTAATGAACACTAACACTGGACCAATTTGGACACATGCAAATATTGGATGACTGTTTCATACAAAAACTACTCTTAATTAACCATGGAAAAATGGAGAGAGAAAAAAAATGGAAAAATAGCAACAGAAACTGTGTAGCACATAACCGCTATTTAGTACATCAGTTGATGACAATGCCTTGAGTTGACAATTGTCATTAATTGTAACCGTTGATATTTTTCTTTTCTAAGAGGAAAGAGCAGAGCATCTTGAGACAGATCACATGACTGACCCACGTCGGATCTACAAGTGTCCGGTGGACCAATGCTACAAAGCCTATACCACCATGGCAGCATTGAACTACCATTATGAGCTCAGACACACAGGGGCAAGGTACTCAGTTCGCTCACAGGGCTTTGGGAAAAACGTAATACTCGGGAGTGACTAGAACCTACTACCATCCAGCTCACAGTTTCTTTCTCATCTTAGTTTTGACTTTCACCCTGAAAATAGGTTTTACTTTTGAAATAGCCACTTTTCTAATTATCCAAAAACTATTCACTTTTGATTGAGGCAATGAACTAAAAAATCCACCTACACAAAAAAAATGTCCATGCTTTTCCGGACAACTGAGGGCGCTGTTGCTGTGATGTCATTTTAGGAAGACGCTGTTCAGTTTAGGGGTTTTCTGTTCAAATTGTTAACCCGAAAATGTGCTTAATGAAAATATTTGTGAGAAGAGTTCGCTTATTGGCTTACTGGCATGTACTGACACAACAGCGAATCAAAGAAAAGAAAATTTACAACAGCAAAAGTGTCCAAAATTCTCGCACATTTCGGTGCAGAAAAAGCTTGTAACATTGGGTTTTCTGCCTGAAATGATATCACACTTTTGCTCACAAATATGGAAATGTTATTGTAATGCATATAAAACAAAAAGGCACCAACGTACTCTTGAAGATGGCAACAGAAAAATAGAAAATAGGGTTAAATGGGACACAGAGGTGCATTTCCAAGGAATGAATTAAAAAAGATTACATTCCCTTTAAGTTATGGGAATAACGACTTTTTTTGTGCTTGATATGAGGCACAAACGAAACCCCAAAAGCTTATTTTTCTGAGTGTTGCTTAGCAACCCTTTGCGTAGCAACTCCATTAACTCAGTCTTCGTGCGCTTGGTGGTAAACAACAAGCATCAGCCATTCAAGAAATACAATCTCAATCATTTTCTCTGTTGTTATGTCACTTATTTTTAACAGTCGGCCTTTCCAGTGTGAGATATGCGGCAAGCGGTGGGTGAAGATTGGCAAGCTGCGAGAGCACTTGAAGACACACAGCACAGAGAAGAACGAGCTGTGTGACATCTGTGGTAAAGCCTACAAGTCACGGCCTGAACTGAAAGACCATCGAATCGAAGTACACACCGAAGGTAATTTTTCACTTGTAAATTGATACTCGAAAAGTCTTACCAACATTGTCCAACATAAAATTCAAAAGGTGTGGTTTAATCTTGAAAATCTACTAAAAGCAGGATTTGAAACGGCCACTTCCAGGATTTCTTGTCGATTTCTTGACTTATTTTGATTGTCATAAAACCCCGCCAAACTTGTAAAGCTTGATACAAGAAATTCACAGGTTTGTTTATGATGGTACTGAAATGTGGGTTGACCCGTTCCCAAAGAGAGTAAGACAAAAGTAATTTTAAAATTTTCAAATGTGTTAAGGTTAATCCATATAAGAAATTGCTTTTTTGTCAAAACTCTGACCATTTTCGATACAGTTTGTTGGTCAGATTAAAGAAATTTGACAGCTTTGCAAGTTTTGCAAACAAATATTCTACGCAAATCCTGTGTACAGCATACATTGCATGGAATCAGGTGCAGGTGTGTCATAGAAAGTTAAGAGAGAACAGGCTTGTTCATACTAATACTGTAAGCGCTGTAATTTAGTTCACTAATAAGAGCGTTCTTAAATGCCGATTATTATTATTATACTCGGCGTGAAAGGGAACGCGAATGCAAATTTCTGACTTCAGGGCAAGTTTTCGCACTGCACATTTGCAAAGTTGAACGCATTTCAACTCTGGCGAATTTTGAATGAAGTGTGAACCATTCACATCGAGTATGAATCATTCCCATCAAATATGAAGCAACCTTCACATGAATATCCCAACTCGTGCTATGACGTTCTTCTTGATTCTCTTGAACACAGGAGGCAAGATCAAGCTGCAATGTCGTTTCTGCCCGGCTCACTTCAGCCGGAGGAGTTCGCGCTCGTACCACGAGAAACGCCACAAGAACGATTTTCCATACGTCTGCCCTAAACCGGGCTGCAAGAAACGCTTCATTGCTGTGATTGACTTCAAGCGTCATTTGATCTACCACACAGGTAACAGCCAGTCAGTGGGGAGGGGAACATTGAAATTTAAAGTTTTGTTCCCTGTATTCATCAACAAATTCAGGGTTTTTTTGTCTGAATTATTGTTCAAGTTAAGAAATATTTAGATACCTTTTTGGAATCAAAAATATTGCAGCGACGCAGCTGTCGATGTCATCGCGACATCTTCATTCAGCGTAGTGACATAAACCACTCCAGTCATGTGACCACCTTTTGGGCAATCACAAACCAGCAGGTCGTATTAACCGGTATCTCTGTTAAGGGATGGCTTTTGTGTCCTGATTTTGTGTCCTAAATTGTTCAAGTTGCATGATTTATTCCAACCAAAACATTTTTTTGCATTCTTCTTTTTGGGGGGGGGGTGTCTGCAACCCTCTGGAAATAGAGGTTTTTTGGGGCTTTTTTCCCTTTTTTTTGGGGGGGGGGGGTTAGGGCACAAACAGATCAGCCTTGTGAGCAGACTGGATCCTGGTCTGTACATTATTGATACTGATTGTGGGTCGGGAACCAGCCTATCCGGTGAGAGCAGAATTGTTGTCAGGCCACCAGTATTTGGAAATTTGGAGCCTGCTGGAAAGTATTGAATCCTAACTCTGCATCAAGTTTGCTCAAAGATAAATTTGTAATCCCACTCGCAGATATGGAACATGAAATATGTAGCACGTATGGAACATAAGAGCGCACTGCGTCTGAAACAGATTACAGATGCACTCATTAGGGCATTTGTACGCTCTGTATTATTTCTGGCTGCAGGTGCCAAGCTGTACCGCTGTCGCTTCTGCGGCAACTGCTTCACCCGCAGTGACTACCTCAAGAGCCATGAGAAGAAACACCATCTGAGAGGGGAGAAGCTCATCCCAGGCCCAGCCATCGAAGAGACTGTCACTATTAAGGTAGGGAGTGGAGTAGGGGCGAAACTACAGGTGCCACTAAGGTTACAACTCAGGCCAAGGAGGGGTTAAAGTAGGATTGCATCTACAGATATAAATTGGGGTAGAACTAAGTGTGCAACGCAGGGTAGGTAGGGATGCAACTAGGCGTGCAACAAAAAAAGGAAGGGCCTCAAATAGGGTGTAACTTTGGGCATAGAGGGGTCAACTGGAGTTACAAATAGGGACTCAACTAGAGGAGCAATTAAGAAATAACTAGAGATGGAATTAGAGCGCAATCTGGGGTGCAAGTGTGGGCACAACTAGGAGTAAAGCCAGGGTAAGAAGGGGGCAGATAGGGTTAAAACTAGGGTCTCAACAAGGGGTGCAGTTGGTTGAGGAAAGGTGTACATGTAATAGGGGTAGTGGTACTAGGACTACAACTTAGGTAACAACCAGTGTTGTAGTCGCGTCCATCACAAGTTCTTTCACAAGTCCAGTCACAAGTAACAGGATGAACAATGACACCAAAAATGCTTTTGTAACAGTTTATTTGAATAGTTAGTGACTTGACGTGAGATTGAAGGACTTGTGATGGACTTGTGGGGACTTGTGATGGACTCCAAGACTGGTAACAAAGGGGGGAAACTTTTGCAATAGTTGATGTAAGTGAGAGTGTAAACGGGGCAAATAGGGGTGCAAGTAGGAATGCAACTGGAAACTAGAAGTGTGACTTCAGGTAATTGGGGTGCACGAAGGGTGCAGCTAGAGGTGCTACTAGGTGCAATTTGGAGTGTAGGTAAGAGTCCAACATTTGGTTTAGACAAAGACCTGTTCACAAAATCGAACCTCTAAAGTTCAACAACAGTGTCATGTGATTTCTTTAACCGTTGCTTTTGTTATCAGCTAGTGCATCTGCTTACTCGCCATACAATGTACTGCAGTGCGCTAGTCGCACTGCAGCAATAGCAGTCAAGTGACTGTCCTATCTCTCTCTACAAGTGTCGTTGTTGATGGGGTACTTACATGTATGCACATACGCAGTCCATTGAACCCAGTACTTACTGTTCTACTTATGGTACAGGTTCCATGGCCAATGGAGAAAGGGGTCAAAGTTCATGGTCAGAACGTGGTGGTGATCATCGAGCCAGACCCAGCGCTGGCTGAGGGTCGTCTGACAGAGGAAGCCATTTCAGCCTTGGAATCTCTGCATGTAAGAACCACTCAAAAGTTGGTTGATAATTTCCCAACAAAATATTTGGAGTGGACACATACACAACTTTGTTCCATTATAGTTTCAGGGACCAAAGTCCATTTTTTAAGGTTTGATGAGAATGAAAAATTTGGGGGACAGTTGAAAGTCCCCACAACCTTTTCTGAACATAAAAAAGGCAAACTTCCCCACAACGTGTCCCCAACACACACGCATTTTAAAGTATAGTACCTTGGTTGATGTGCAAAATATCATTTTCAGATGAGTATTTAGGGAAGTGCACGCAACACTAGTGAAAATAACAAATACACATGATAAGTCTTTGTTTAAGACTTAACACACGAATTGATGAATTGTAAGTTCAAAGTAGACTTGTATTGCAATGTGTTCACTGGTATTGCAATGTGTTATGGTGTATTGCAATCATTTCGTGCATGCGTGCCTTCTTCTACGTCAAATTTGTCAGGCCTTGGAGCAGAAACCCACTGGCATCCCTGTACATTTGGAGAAAAAAGTCCTAATCCACTCTTGGACGAAGAGTAGCGTTGGAGGGCTCATGGCCTATATCCAGAATCTGATTGATATTATGTGCCGCATTTATTCCCTAGGAAGGGGACGGGAACCAGGCACCTGTGCAGCTAATGACGGATTCGTCAGGTCAACACATTATTACATCTATCACAGAGGTAGCCACGCCCAGCACAGACATCCTACAACAGGCTGCTGTAGAGGTTAGTGCTTGGTCTAATCTCAAAGTGGTAATCAAGTCATTGCACCATGTCAAATCCTCAAAATTCATCACGAGTCCTGAAAGTTTGATCAATAGTCAGTCACCAGGCAATTTACAAGTTGTCCAGTCTTGTTACGTTTCGTTTCCCTTGACTGTTGCCATCGTTTGGGGACCTGAGGGCAGAAGATGAAGTCCTCCTCCATGCTGGTCTGTCAGCGGCCTGCACTAGGAGTTCCGACACAGTCATATTTGTCCATTCCTTTACGTTGTCGAACCAGCTCTTCCGTTGGCGCCCTCACCTGCGTCCTCCCTCGACAGTGCCCTGCATGATGGTCTTGCAAAAACTGTTATGCCGCGTGACGTGGCCGAACCACTTCAGCTTCCGTCGCTTCATGATGGCAAGAAGAGGTTCTTGGGGACCCACAAGACTCTCGGCCTTGTTCCTCACAAACTCATTGGTCTCATGCTCCAAGTATGAGATGCAGAGCAGCTTCCTCAGGCATTTCGTTTCAAACGCCTGAATTCGAACTTGTCCAGTCTTGATTGAACTACAAAAAAAGGCATTCCGTTTTCATCATGCATCCCCCTGTTACTCGTGTCCTAACGTGTTATTAGACTTTATGATTGAATTGTAATTTGACTTATGATTGACTTGTGATTTGACTTATGACCGGCTCATGATTTGACTTGTGATAGACTTGTGATTGCCTTTTGATCTGACATGTGATTTGACTTATGATTGACTTGAATATTAACTTAGGATTGACTTGTGATTTGACTTATGGTTTGACTCGTAACACGATCTGTGATTTGACATAGGATTGCCTTGTGATTGCGTTGTGACCTGACTTGTGATTTGATTTAGTAGTAGTAGAAACATTTATTTCATTTATTTGTGATAGAATCAGGTTAAACTTGTGATGGACTGGATAACGTCTCATTATTTAATACTTACTAGAAGGTATAGGTTTCAAACCGCAATTGTTTTACTAAACCAGAAGCCTTCTCATTTGATCAGTGCCAAAATGAAAAACACAGCGATTAATTATACTCATGTAGCGGTACGGCCGACCCGGGTATGTGCCTGGGCTGGTGGTCCATCTACTTGTGCAAGTGGATAGGATGAGTAACACAAGCCAGACAAAAACAGCACTGGAGGACTTCTCGATTGATTGCAGAAATACACAGGCATGCAACTTTTTCCTCGGATCCGCTGATTTCCTCGTTTTTTACTTCTCATGAATACTGTACAAAATCTTGTGTGGTTTGGAATTTCTTCTTTTTTTCTAAATTCTCAGTTGCATGCTAGAAAATATGAATCAGAGGGTCGTGTCCCTACACTCACATATTGGGAAGAATGAATAAATGATGGCTTAGCCAATATCAGAATGTCGAGTATCATTGTTACCATGGTGACCGCATCATCCCTCATCACCCAGGCAATGCAGGAGGAGACTCAAGAGCAGCCCATACAGCTGCTGCAGTTCCAGTCCAACCCCCAATCCACCATCAGCTACGTCCAAGGCGACGCCAGCAACTCGGCCACGGCCGCCATGCAAGAGGCCGTCTTCCAAGCCATGAACTCCCAGCAGCAGCAGCAACAGCAGCAGCAGCAGCAGGTTGGGCCCACCCAGATACTGCTGCAGAGCGGCGACGGTGACGAGACCACAGCGGCGTTCCTGCAGCAGGCCCTTGGCGGCGAGGCCCAGATCATGCAGACCACCAGCAGCGAGCAGGCAGCGCTCATGCTGCAGCAGTTAGCGGCCAGCGGTGCCCAAGTGGTCTTCCAGCCCACGGAGGGCATCAACAATGGCACTACCACAATGCAGGTAAGGATAAGAACATACGTTGAACCCTTGCTCTACCACATCATCCAATTCATCCAATTAGCCAAAATTTTCAAGTTAGAAATATAGCCCTGTAATGCATTCCGGAGTTCACTTGGCTGGTGAAGCATGCATCCTCTACATTTCAGCTGCAGTGCGGTGGTATGACATATGGACATAATCTAAACTCCGCAACTGCATTCTTTTCGTATGAAGCAACAAAAACTGTTCCAAATCTAGAGTAGGGTGCATACCAACTATAACCTGTTGAACTTTCAGCGTAGTGGCCACTATACTTTTTGTCTTTAGCCCTCCTATATGCAAACATACATTCTGTGCCAAGTAGTCCTTTCAGTCAAAATCAAACAAGGGACTGTTTACAACAGTTAAGAATTCCCAGCCTACATTTAGCGGGATTGACTGGCTGCTTTGACTGTTTATGTAACTTGATACAGCTATGCTTTGACTCCTGGTGATTGATAAGCCAGCTGTGACCACAACTTGTCTGCTTTGTCCTTTCATGGTCTGTTGACTAGTTTGGCTAGTCACAGTGCTTGCTAGGCATATGATCTGACTGCTGGTGACTAGCTTGTGTTACAAGTGTAGCAGGGGAAGTGGATGGACATTTTGACTGTCTGTGACTGTTTGAATAGCAGGGGGGTAAAACAAGGTCCAAGTTTTAGCATTTGGATGCTATTTTAAACTCCGAGTAAATTTGTAATTTCTTTTTTGATTTTCTCTCCTTTAAAGGCTACATTAGAAGGTGAGAATGGTGAGACCAGTATCGTCATGGTGAACCTGGGCCCAGACATGATGACCGAGGTCAACGGGTCAACGACCTCAACCATCTCCATCCCGGTCATGACCTCTGACCCCATATCAGCCACCACAGAGATGACAAGCACGGAGGTCGACGGCACGGTGTCCACGATATCAATACCCATCATGACCACCGAACATATGACGAACCCAAATGCCGAGGAGGAGACGAACGCGGAGATGGAAAGTCAAACCATGGAGACAACTGATGGCACGATGGCCCATGACCTCGTGAACTCTGACCCAACGCAGGATCTGGCCATGGAAGCAGTCGTTCCTGAGAGCGATGAGCAGCAAGAGGAAGTTGTCATGGATACAGAGATGCAAGCCGTTGTTGAGCAATTGGAAAGAGGAGAGATAGTGACTGCCGACGAAGTCGTTGAAGTCTGATTTTCCATACAGAGACAAACATAATTAATACTTTTCCTTCCAAAAAATTGGTTTAAAGCGCAATGACCAAAGTGAGGCCAGTAGTTTAATATACCTGGATCAAATTCCACGGTTCTGCTAACTTCTGAATTCCGCACTCAGTATTTAAGTGAATATGGAAGTGCTCGAATCCACTTTCCATAGATGCGTGTGTTAATGTCAGGAACAGCCAAGAAATTCAGACGCAGCCCGACTCCTTAAAGATATAGTCCATCATTTGTAATTTGTGCATTTTGTTCGTTTGAAGCAACAAAAGTGTTCAAAATCTAATGAAGGATACTGAACAACTAACCTGATGAAGTTTCAGCTCAGCTTCAGTTGTATATTCTGAGAAAAACAGCATTCTAGGATCTCAATTTCAAATCAAAAGTTGCTGAATCATGTTTTGAATTGTTTTGAATTGCAGCTATACGTGATGTCGCGCACTGATCTGACGAATTTTAGCAACCGCGCGGGCCTGTGTGTCGTGCCAATACTTGCACGCGCTGCGCCGATTAACAAAATGAACTACTAATTTAAATTTTCCTACAGTGCATCTTAAGACGCACCTTTGGAAAGGCCTTCTTTCGTTGATTACTTCAAAATGATAGCTTGCCAGAAAGATTAATTTCACAGGGAGTTTAGTCCACTAAATATCTTTCAACCAAGTATGTTTTTCAACAATAATACGCCAGTTACTTTTTCGGATGGCTGCAAATGATGGACTATAGCTTTAATAAGTCCAAACTCATTGGTTCTGTGCACTGGGTATACGTAAATGCACCTTCTGAATTTCCTTGTCAACCGGGATGTAGGCTAGCCATTAAAGGTACAGTCCATCATTTGCAGCTATCCAAAAAGTAACTGATGTAATTATTGTTGAAAAGCATACTTGGTTGAAAGATAGTAATGGGACTAAACTCCCTGTGAAATTATTCTTTCTGGCAAGCTGTCGTTTTGAAGAAATCAACGAAAGAAGGCCTTTCCAACGATGCGTCAGAAATTTCCGTTTTTTTATTTGGCAAAACGCACGCAAGCGTTGACACGACACACACGCACGCGGGGTTGCTATAATTCGTCGGTTCAGCGCGTGACATTGCGTAGCTGCAATCGGCTCAGTGAGAATGTGTCTCGGATGCTGAATTCAGGCCCAATTCAAAACATGACTCGGCAACTTTTGATTTGAAATCGAGAATATATATATATTTTTCTTGGAATATACAGCATTCACTGAGCTGAAACTTCATCAGGTTAGTTGTTCAGTACCCTTCTTTAGATTCTGAGCACTTTTGTTGCTTCAAAGAACATAATGCACAAATTACAAATGACGGACGCTACCTTTAAGAAATCAGTTATTGCAATACAGGGCGAGTCAAAAAGAAAGGGACACGGATTAACATTTCCCCCCCCCCCCCTAAAAAGCAATTAAATTTGACACACCAACAAAGCATAGATTAAACGAGCACGTTCTTCCACTCATTTGAAACAAGGAATTACCGAAATTGATCCATGCCATGAGAAGTTTTGCGTATTTTACTGAAAGAATCCATTTTTACAGCTGTCCACAGAATGCCATTGGAAGCTATTGAGCTGAGTGAGAGACAGAGATTACACACAGGCATTCAGATGCAAATGAGATTTTTATAATTTCTGTCAAAGACTGAAATGTGTTTTGAATACAAGGATTTTTGTGTGAAATAATGATAGTGCTTTTTGTCTGTTTTTTGGGTGCACATTTTCGTTCATTCATGAAGGCAGGAAAATGCCCTTGTTTCATTGCATTTGAACAGTAAATGATCATTGGTGGACAGCTCAATTTTGTGACGTTCGTATTAAAATAGACGCAGATCACTTGTATTTATTTAAAGGGAAAATACAACATTTGCAAACATCGAAAAATAAAACTACTAAGTTTTTACAAAATACCTTACTAGGATGTTGGTAAATGACATGGTGTGAAGTCATTTTGAAGAAAATGGTATTGTTGTATACATTTCCAACGGTGGTCGGCCAACCACCGTTGGAGAAACCTAACTATTTTTAACTACTGCTCCAAATTTACCATTTTTTTTCAGTCCAAATTTTGTTTGCTATTGGTTACATGTTTCATGAACGGGTGCAGCCTGCAGGCCAGCTAGACTGGTTCCCTTACCTTACAATTTTCCGGCATCAATACATTGATCCATTTCATCTTAAGTGGAGTCAGGGAACCAGACTACTTGAACATTTTTGTTTTTCTTGGTTTTTCCAGCATTTTCAAACACAAAACTTCAAACATGTCAGTGTAACAATATTTGATCTATTATATTAACCCCCCAAATAGTTCTTTTCTGAAAATTACAGCAAAAGTCAATGATGTACATTCCCTTTAATGGAGTGAGCCACATATTTTCTAAATATTTATTTTCTCATTAGGTCACTTTCTTTTTTGACTCGCCCTGTAGTTAGCCAAACTTATTTGGGTATCATTCGCCGTATCTCAAGCGGAGCCATGAAATTGGGTCACAATCTCATAGCTGGAATACATTTCAATACTCTTTGAAACACAACCAACAGTATTCATATTTTTAATTAATAATTAACAAAAAAGTCGGAAAACGTATTTGTATCAGAACATTCCATGTTGTTCATATTCATCGATCAAAATTTGCTCGTATGTAATTTGGAGTGTGAATTTGCAGTGACTCTTACATTTTGTTTGCAAGTTGATTTTTTGCCCTGGTTTCTGCATGAAAGATTTGCTGCTAAATGATTTTGTGTTGTTATCGTTTTTGCTCGTACAATCAGCCAGATATGACAATGTACAAGGTGAGTAAAAAAAAAAAGGAAACCCAAATGGCGCCCCCTATTTTGTAAAAAGGTTCTGCATGTAGCGCTTTCCAGATCTAGGATGTGAAAGCCAAGTTAATAAGTTTTCTTTTAGTACAAGAATCATTCAAACCACTCCTGTACTTTTTTGAGTTATGTAATTTTGAACGCAAATACAGTTTTAAAATGTTGAAAACGGATCACAAGTAAAATGAAATCATTACGTGCCGTGAAAACGATATCAGAATAATCCCATATTCTCCTAGTAGCCAAGTACAACTTACAAGGCAGGGCAAGACTATACACTATTGACATCATAAACCATGTTGTTTTAACATTGGAAGCAGAAGGTTTTTAAATAAATGTTATGATAAGTGCCAGGTATCATGGTTGTCAAAGTGTTCTGATGTGTTTTTTTTTTTTGATACGTGAATTGTTTTCGTTTTGCTGAAATATCACTTACCCTTATTGTGATCGGTGAACAAAATGATAAATCTGTGTTTGTGTTTAAAAGTCCATAACTGTGAAAAAGTACATGAGTGATTGAATGATTTGTTTTAGAAAGCTTATTAATTGGGTTTTTACATCCTACATATGGAAAGCGCTACATGCAGAACGTCTATTTTTATTTTTAAATAATAGCGGGCGCCATTTGGGTTTCCTTTTGTTTTGACTCGCCTTGTACATGTAAAGTCACAAGATTAAGATGGTTTTGAGTTCTGGAACTCGAACAGATAATTTGTGCTCGGTGTTAATTTTGCATTGTTTAAATTCTCTCTGCTTAATGGGGAAAGTTACACAGATTGCCGTTGAGTTTGAATCCTAAATGACAAACTTTGCAGAACTGTACAGACGTTTCATTCTTGATTGCAATATTTATTGTATATTTTGTATTCAAAGCTTCACAAAAAGTTAAATAAAAGCTACACAATTTACATATGCCCAAGGTTGCAAGAAAAGTGTTTCATTTGTAAATTCATTCATAAAATAATATTGAAGTGTGCAGTTTACATTATTTCATTAACTACTTAGTTACAAATTGTGCTATGAAAAGTTGATAAAAAGGAAGGGAAAAAACCCACTATACCCGTGTTTTTGTTATTCACATTATCACTACCCTGTCCTTATCATACAATTTCAGTGCCTTGAATTATGCTACTACTGCTAGAATATACGACGTGCTAGTGTCTGAAAAGAGGTACCTGCGGCTTGGAAAAAAATCTGGAAAAGCATGATTTTTTTTTTAGGTGTTCCAGACCTGGAAGAGTCATGGGAATTTGTGCAAATGACAACAGTCATGGAAAAGGCATGGCATTTTGTGGGGACCAATTTATTTTGAATTTTAAACAAAATGCGACAAATTGCGCTGATATAAGTATTTTGATTTCAAGATGCATTTACCGCTTTGTTTTGTTAAGCATTTCTCACGCAACGAGTCTTAAATCTTTTCTCTGCATTTTGATGAGCCTGGTCATGGATTTTCATAATTCGGTCATGGAAAAGTCACAGAAAAGTCATGCAAGGTGCAGGAGCCCAGACAGATCAATTCTTAACTTCTTCAATTTCAATGATTATTGAAAAGACACAGCCTACAAATTTCTTACAACCGTTCCAATTGCCGAAATTATTGATTTACACGTAATTAGCGAATGTGCCAAAAAGTTCAGACATTTGATTGGTCACTAAAAGATAACCATATTGAATTACAACTTCCCAAGGCTTAAAAAGAAACACGCTTATTTGATATTTCATCACACACTATAAAGGCCTCCAACATAAATCTACCCGTTTTATTTTTAAGTGCATCAAGATAAAAATGCACATCGTTACTAAGCTTTGAACTATCAAATCGTAAAGCTTATCCAAACATCTAAAGTTTACACCGATTTTAGTGGCAGATCTAGGGGTGGGGTGTGATGACACGACTTCAAAGAATTTGTTTCTTGACTTTTTTTCATGTGAGAAAATTGACTTGTTTTGGGGGTACATTTGCCGGAAAGAATGCATAGTTAGCTGGTGTGCACAACTTATACAATTTTCGTGGTTTGATTTTCAAGATTTGATGTTTTTCCTGACAACTGCTTTTCGTGCTTTTCGTGACAACTGAGGGCGCTGTTGATGTGATGTCACTTCAGGAGCACACTCTTTGGATTAGGGTTTTTCTCTCCAAATTGTAAACCGAACATTTTGCTTAATTAATTTGTACAGAAATTATTATCATTGTCTAATAATGAATCACTGATCTATGCTGAAGCACCCCCCCCCCCCAAAAAAGAAGAAGCAGATGTGACACTGAAGTTTCTGCCTTGAATGACGTCAGAGTTTTGCTCATGAATATGAAACTTTGATTAGCATAAAAACAAACCAGGCACCAAACAAAAAGGCGCTCCCTTTGAAATGACAATATGAAGATTGAAAATAAAGTTGAATGGGACACAAAGGTACATTGGAAGTACACGTTTTGCATTTTAAAACAGTGGGCCCCATTCTGTTTGCTGTATACATTACACCGTGTTGACATAAAATTGACCAAATTCATGTATCCAGTATGTCTTTGGGCTTCTTTCTAGGTATTCGATTCGCATAAATCAAAAGAACGTAAGAATTGACATCAAATTTATTTGGGTTTGAGACTCACTGCCAAGTGACAACTGTCAGCCATTTGATTAATGGTATGGCTCATGACTTGTAATATGTTCGGTATACAGGAAACATACTAAATATGTTTAGTCCAACCCATGAAAGTGCAGGAGTCGATAGTGACATAGGTCACACTTCGGTCTTCAATGGAGGCATCTAGCTTACGTGGTAATCCATCTCGAAGTACATGTAGTCCTGCCAACACAAAAAAAGGAAAACAATTAAAACCCACCCAGGAATGATACTACAGTGAACAATTACAAAGCAGTAAAATGATACGGTGATGATTCGATGAATCCCAAAAGTCAACAACGGCAGTTCTAAACTTATGGGGGGGGGGGGGGTGTTTTAAAATCGATCAAACAAATTGGTAATTAGCCGTCCAACAAGCAGGACAATGCAACGTAAAATCCGGAGATGTCCATCAAAGCTCGATCTTTTGTCTTAGTCATTGATGAAGTTGACCTTAAAAACCGGCAGTTGTGCCACAGTTTTTCGACGAGTTTTCAATGAGTGTAACACCTCATTTTCATACTTACAACCAAAAACGCAGCGGCAAGCATCAATGCCTTGACCTTCGCATCCATATCTCTTGGAACTGCATGTACAAAATGAAAACAAATTCCGGAATTTCTCTTCGACCTCGACACATGAATTTCATAACATGAGGGGCCTCAAATGTATTTCGTACAAAATGTTATTCCTCTGAACTCAACTTCAAGGAAAGAGACACCAGCTTGTGGTTTTACTGAGTGTAATTTATGCTTTTTCTGACACAATTGAGAAGGCTGTGACATAACACACTCACTAGTTTGAGATTTCTGAGCAAATTTGAACTGCGTCATCTACTAAACCAACAAAGCAACAGACGCAACAGTTGAGAGAAGTGATGCATATTCATAGCCCCTCGAAATCTTGCAACACTGGCATCACTATTTATCGTGCATTGACGTTAATTAGTACAAGCATAATAATAAAAACCAAAGTGCCTAAATCACGCTTAAAATTGACAAAGCTGAAAAGACGCAAATTGGACACAGAGGTATATTTCAATGATCACATAATTGTCCTAGCTATAATCAATGTCAAATTAAACAATAGACCGATACATTGCGGCCCGCCTACCACTGGCCCAGCCACTCAAATGCCACATTGCATGTTCTAGACTCGCGCGTCTACGCAAGTGAATACACGTGATTGGTCAAAACACCAGGGGGAGGGGCTTAAGTTTCTTACAGGAGACGCCGAAGTTGTCTGCCGCTGTCATCCATTCTCTGACCAGTCCACCCCACTGCTTGCTGATCTTGCCGACCTCGCTCCCTTCGTCAGCCGAAAGCACCTGTTGAGGCCAGAACAAAACTAGTCTAGGTAAGCCATGGTCTATGATATGTGAGCAGATTCGCTGATTAATTAGGCCAGACAACCGTCTCTTGACCTGTAGATTTTGACCAATCATCGGGCGCTTTCTACATCGGGTCTTCGGTCATTCACCCGTTGCGCGTCATAGACAATGGATAAACAAACCTATATCACGCGCTCTGTATCATGTAAATACGCCCGGCTGTTGTTGTATTACAACAACAGAAGGGTGCATGGCCTAACAACTATTAATCAGTGGATACTATACAGTTTGACAAAACAGAGAAAACGTATGCATTTTTTTTGGGGGGGGGGGGTCTCTTAACTGCATTCCGTTGACGCACGTAGTAATAAAAGCTGTTTTCGAGGATTTTTCTAAACACCTTCATTGATAGGTTTCTACGGAATGATACCATTTCAGGAAGAATGATTTCACAGGGTATTGATCAAGACTCACTTTGAGCAAATATTTTCTAGTGAAATCGGTTTGTCCGTTTCCGGGAAATTGCAAATAGTACTGAAATATTTAACTTTTACATTCAGAGAGTCTATAGGAAAATGTGTTCTCATTGGGCCTTGGTGTCAATTCATCACGATGATTATCATGCCCTTGCTAATGTCTGGTTGTATATTTCGAAATGTGGCTTATGTGGTTATCCTTTACGAATAATGCATTACTTCGTTAATTCAAGTTACTGCGGAGCACTGCAGTGAAGTCAAGCAATTAATTGCTCGAGAGATGGAGACTGCCAAATAATACTTCCCCAAGGCCGAAAAAAAAATATTATGTGTTTACGGTAACCCAAAGCTATTCAGGTAGTTAGGTAGGAAAATATAATTTTTTTTTTAATTTAAATGCTTGTCTGTCAGTCTTTTATACTTATTTATGTTAGGGTTCCTTGAACATTATTCGGTTAAATATGATGTTATATTGCTTAGTTAACCAATAACACACACAAAAACTCGCATATGAAGGCTTTTTAATTATCAAAGTACAGGGTGTGTTAAGAAAATACAACTCAAATGTGTGGACCATTGTTTTAGTGAAGTTCCGCATGTAGCACGATTAAAGTCTCAAAACATTCAGAAGCTTTCTTTTAGTTCAAGAATCATTCAAAATCACTCATGTACTTTTTAAGTTACGGAATTTTAAATACAACCACCATTTTGAAGTTCTGTCCACTGATCACAAAAGAGGTAAGTGTTCTTTCAGCAAAACGAAAACAAATCACATAGGAATGTGTGTGATTTTTCGTTTTGCTGAAAGATCGCACACCTTGTTTGTGATCCGTGGACAGAACTTAAAAACGGTGGTTGTGTTTAAAATGCCGTAACTTGAAAAGTACACGAGAGATTTGAATGATTCTTAAGCTAAAAGAAAGCTTATGAATTGGGCTTTCATATCCGAGATTTAAAAGTGCTACATTCAGAACTTTACTAACACAATAGTCCCGACATTTGGGTGTTTTTTTACTCATATACTTTATTTTGAATGTTTGGCCAATTGTGGCAATAAACAGTTCGAGGTCTGCATGAGTTGGCCAATAATCCAGGTAGGTTGGGTTACCGTAAACACATAATTTGTTTAGGCCTAATCATTATTATGACTTTAAAAGAAAAACCCACTCACGTTGAATTCCACATCCGAACGGCAGCAGATTTCTTGACATGCGCAGCACGGCCCACGGATCTTCAGCACGCTGTTGCCGCTTGCGTCAATGATGTCAAAGTACGGTTTCCATGGCGACTGACTAATGGGGGACAATAACATCAATTACCAGAAAATTACCTTCTTTGTTGGCCACAAAAGTAAAGGTTTGTGTTTTTCATTAGGGGCCTACTTCTATTGTCAACGAAAATTCAATGTTGAATAAATTGTAGCGCGTCCATTACTACCACGCACAGTTTAATTGTTGATTGCTAAACGAAATGTATCTTGTCTAACATACTAGAAAGGGACAATTTATTGAACAAAGAAATGGGACTGGAGCGGGTCTGAGCATATGAACTCTGGATTGCTGTTCCAGCGCTCTACCAACTGAGCTATATCCATCCCTATGTTGGCGGTTCCCCAGTTTGTCTATTTCTTCGTTCAAGGGTGCTAGTCAATCCTTGGTTAAATTTTACAATTTTTTGAAATACATAATTTCAAAAAATGCTGAAACGTTATTTCAATTGTCTTTTCTTTTTGGTGTCGTGTTCAATTCCTACTTTACAATGAAAATATTTCACCTTCTCTGTCGAAATCGTCGTGGGGCAAAAGTACCGGTATTTTGAAAGGGTAAGTGAAGTCAGACAACCATTCCAATGACAACTGCACGCATGCATTTCATAGTCAGTGACTAGTCTTGCTTGCAGCAAAAACCTGCTTAATATACTTGTGTATAAATGATGGTGCTTAGGATCGGGAAGAACAATATTAATCAAGACCTTGAATGGAGACTAGTTTGCCAGTTTCTTAGTCCGTATTCCTGACCAAAAGATTATGACTATTATAAGTGACAAATCTTAGGTCAGGCAGCCACCACTGCTAAAAATAAAACATGAGACCCCGTTTTCAAAGCTCGGTTTTGTTTCAGCCGTGGTTTTATCATTAAAAGCTTTTAATGTCCCTAACTTTCGATCACATAAAAAACTCACTTGCTTCATGTCATACAGTTTTATATTTCTGTAATAAAGCATTGACTAATGTTGAGTTGCAATCTTCAGAGTTAGGGACCCAAATAGCAGGCAAAGCCGAAATGGAGACGACGCCGAATTTTGTAATACGTAACCACCGTCAGATTTACATGACGCAGCAAAGCTCGCCCCTCGTACGATCCGAATGCAGACTTGTGCAGAAACTCTTCATTAAGTTTCAACATTTTAAAATGCAAGCAATGAACATTAATGTTCAACTCATATTTAAAATTGATAATAGTCATGGCTGGTAAATAAAACCTACTTTATAACTGGAACTACCGGGCGCTATCCGAGAGTGTCGACGGAATGAATTCGGCAAACTTCGGACATTTTCGGAAACAGGAGGCATTTCTCCCGTTTTAGTCACGTGCCGTGGCGGTTAGCTGACCTAAAATTCATCAGAAATAGTCAGAATCTTTTGGTCTGGGAACCAGACTAGCCAGTTTGCGCTCACTTCTGTCTGACGCGACCTATGATGTTTCCGGGCGGGGACTCCACGTTCACCTCCCACGCGCAGCAGTCAGCATTAGCGAACCAACAACAGCCAGCGCACCACTTGAACGGACGCTCAACCCGAATCACCTCCTGGTGGAGACACAAAAATGATCAACTTGAACTTGAAAACCCAACATTTGTCTTCTCGGAACCGGCCATTCGAATTATTACTCAAAGAGCAGGATGGTTAGTGTAACAGAATCAACTACCATAAAGCCAAAAAAAAAAAAATCGGTCTCTGGTCAGACCAAAGTTCCGGAATTGACGCGGGGACGCGGCTTTTTTTCTTTCTTCAAGCTTGGATTGTACAGACAAGGTGGGGCATTTTTTTTGCTTTTTGGTGTCCTCATGTACATTGGTGTCCTCCATAATTTGCCTTGGTGCTCTCGATCATTTGCCTTGGTGCAATTTCCCATTCCTTGGTGCTCTTTGTTAAAAAAAAAATTGAGGAGGTGCGGCAATAGAGGGCGCTGTTGGAGCTACCGCGGAACATTTTGGAAAAAAAAAGACGATTGACGCGCACGATTAAAATCGACGCGCGCGCTGACCAGAGACCGACTTATTTTTTTATTTGGCCTAATGTTGCATTGATGAGCATGGGTTGATTTTAACTACAGCGTGTCCCTCAAAATGTCCGTCTACATATTTTTGAAATAACAGTAAAACCACGAAGTAAATCTTGAAATTGTTTAATTGTGCAGGTACTACTATAATCCTTGGCCTAAACCCCTGTGAGTGTTATTCAGCATAAAAATGGCTGCCCAAATTGAGCTCTGAATGACGTCACGACTTGAACAGACTGTGACCATCACTGACCTGACCAAAGTTGTCGACGATGTGCAGGAGATAGCCTCTCTCACTCTGACAGCAAATCCTCATCCAGAAATCGGATTCTGTGAAAGAAACATGACACATACAGTTCTCGCTTATCAGGGGCGGATCCAGGAATTTGGGCGGGAGGGGGGTGTTTTATCACTGATTTTTTTTTGAAATGTAGACAATTTTTTTTTTCTCCAGACACTTGGCCTCTGAAAAATAAATGGGGCGGGGGGGGGGGGGAGGGCTGGTACCATTCTTTCAATGGGGGCGCTGTTCAAATTTGACGATTATTAACACTAAATTACAAAATAGTTTACAAATACCCCGTGACCAAGCTGCCTCTGTCCGTACTTTGTGCACAGGCGGACAATATTACCAGTATATTTTTGGGGTGTCAGCGGGGGGGGGGGGGGGTATTCAAATTATTTTAAAGGAATTTCTATGAATTTCTATTTTTTTGACAGAGCTGGGGGGGGGGGTGACCCCCACCCTGGATCCGCGTCTGCTGATACCATTTCCTTGCTGTATGATTGATGCTGGACATCATGTGACGCTAGCCTTGGGATGCTATTAAAAAACATACGATGTAGGTGCATAATACAGAGCAGCGCCATCAAGGTCCATTCTGACTGTCTCTATTAAAAAAAACCACGACAATTATACATCAGTACAACTTAAACCATAGTCTTTTCTTCCCCTTTCTCTCATTCCTCCCCCTTGTTCTACTTTATTGGTTGACAAGCCCCTCCAGCTCCCCGGACTACATTGCGTGGGAGCTGGCGTTTCAGCTTCCGTCATGTCACCGTCGCGTCAGGAGGCCCTTGTTTACTCGTCCCATTAAAAGGTCTCTGATATTTGTGTTATAAAAAACATATACCCAACAGCTGGTCAAGTCTGACGGTCAGAATTAGCCTCACCCTCGTGCACGAAGTACACCTGCTGTCCCATGGTGTTGCGGACGGCGTAGCGGTTCTTGGTGTCTATGTTGGTCAGCGCCTCGAAGATCTCAATCTGCTGGTGGATCAGGAGTTGGTCTATCTCGGCCAGATACTCCAGTCCGCTGGGCAACCCGGAGATTTTGCCTGGGGATTCCATCCACCCCAGGTCCTTCATTGAGGACCCCGGCTGATGAGTTGTCTGAAAACAAGGATTGAAATTTCTTAAGTCCCAGTGTTGTAGTCGAGTACTGTTTTCCGAGTACCGAGTACTGCCAAGTACCTAGGTTACCGAGTACAAGTACGAGTACGAATACTTGTACTTCCGAGTATCAGTTCAGGTCTTGTCTCCGGGAACGACTACTTGTACTTCCGAGTACGAGTACGAGTACTTGTATTCCGAGTACAAGTACGAGTACTTTTATTTCCGAATACGGCCATACGGCAAATGGTTCATTGTGCGTAATTGGCCCAGTCCTCCGTCAGACCGATATACAGACCCACTCACGGCTAGCTGTTAAATGTGTTTGTCCGGACGTGCACAGTAAAAAATCAGCAAACTTTGATTTCTCTGCAAGCCAATTAACCATTTCCAACTGAAAGTATCGATAATAAAATAAGGACTTGATGGCAAGTCAAGCTATACCATTTTTTTCGAGTATTGCTATTCGAGTACGAGTACTTTGATGATCGAGTACAATTTCGACATGTCGAGTACGAGTATTTTGCTGCCCGAGTACGAGTACCTTCATTTCGAGTACGAGTACGAGTACTCTAAAAAAAAAAAAAGAAGTACTCAAGTAGTACCAGTACTTCAACAAGTCCCTGCTCAAGCTCGGAAAAAGCATCACTCGAATGGATTTCCCCTGCTGACGAAACCTTGCAAAAGTTCACACTCCATGTGGGTCTTCAAAAGAACTTGTATTTACGGACAAAGGTTGAAAACACCACAGAGATAAAAGCAAGTCAATCACACGGCAATTCGTCACTGGTTTTCACAAAGGGTGCATGCGTTTCGCCATAGGGAGAGGGCGCGCATGTTTGAGCGCCGGTGCGTCTGAAATCGCGCCCCTCGCGTCCCTTCGTGAAAACGGAAATTTCGTGCACTGATCCTACTTAATAACGCCCTTTTGATCAATTCGCTTTGTCCACAGTATGTTAGCGTCTGTTCGAGAAAACGCAAATGCAATTATGGAGATGTCTGCCCTTACAAAATTCACGTTATTTTTACGCAAGTTTTGCTTCCGGAAGCAAGTCAGAATTGTCTAAAGCGAAGCTTTAAAACAAAAAAGCACTCACAAAACTCGAAACTGAATAAAAAAAAAAATCTTTTTTGATATTCGTGTAAACCTTCGTCCCTGCGTGAAAAACGAATACAATTGCAAGGCAATCACAAATCAATCACAAGTGAATCCCACGGCAATCACAAAACCATCACAAGACAACTTTGACTGAAGTACAAGACAGTCACTTACAAGTAGTACTCACTCGTCAAATCACGAGTCGAATCTTATCACAAGTCAATCGCAAGTCAATAATAAGGCTATCAAAAATCAAACACTAGTCAATCAAAACCCATTCACACGCCACTCTCGAGTCCAAAGTCAATAACAAGTCAATCACAAGAAATTACAAGTCAAGTCGAAGTCCATTCACAATGCACTACATAAAAGAGGATTAACAACGACCGGACACTTTTGCCACAAAACATTGGACGAGCTTCACACTTCAGAGTGGATGACTTGCGATTGACTTTTAACTTGCGAGGATTGATGTTTGATATTTACAGCCCTGACTGTGGTAGAATTTGGCGCCGAACGCTCGACTCACAATTTGAATTTTATTCCATGTGCTACTCAGCCGATTTTCTAATGAACTGTTCCATTGGAAATCCATAGCTCATTTCATGCTGAATAGAACAACTCGTCACTCGATTATTTTGTAAATGTATGTCAAACATCAACCAATTAGTAAAATATTGCCGGCATAAACAAATCAATCATGTGTAAACGAAAGGGAGGAAACAAGTGAAAATTAAAGGTCAGTAAATGAATGAAAATAAATCCGCAATGAAAAAATAATATAGAAACGTGACCTTTACATTAGTTGTCTCTGTGCACGGACTTAATTGTTAAATCTGATTATTTCTTAACCTACGTCACCTGATCTTACAATCAATTAAGAAGGCTGACCTTTCAAGCGTAATCAATATGATAATCTTTGATATTTCATTTATTATATTAGTGCATTGGAACCATCTATTTATAATCGTTGCACTACAAATGTGTGGGCTTCAAAAAATAGTGTCTCCCTTCGAGTAGGCCTTATGTTAATCGCTTCTGAAAAGCTCCCCACAAAACTTGAAACTGTCATAGTTAGGAAATTATATTCACAATTGTTTTGAAGTATCGGACCTGTTTAAAATAACATACTTGTTCATTATTATTATTTTTTTATATTTGAGCCTTCCCAAGTTCCAGACGTGTACTCAAGTCACCAAACAGCGAGTCCGAGTCACTTCTCCCGAGTCCTAGTCCCGAGTCATGCAGGTCGAGTGCGAGTTCGAGTCACGAGTCACAAAGCTCCAGTCTGAGTCCGAGTTCCGAGTCATGCAGGTCGAGTCCAAGTTCAAGTCACGAGTCATGCAAGCCGAGTGCGAGTTCGAGTCATGCAGGCCGAGTGCGAATTCGAGTCACGAGTCACAAAGGTTGAGTCAGAGTCTCGAGTCATGCAGGCCAGGCCGAGTGCGAGTTCGAGTCAAGAGTCACAAAGGTCGAGTCCGAGTCCGAGTCCCGAGTCATGCAGGTCGAGTCCGAATTCGAGCCACGAGTTACAAACGTGGAGTCCAAGTCCAAGTCACCTTTAAGCAGATATTATTGGACATAAATTTTGAGGAACTGCTAAAACCCACTAAATGTTTCCGTTTGTTTCCACAGCTTTTCTCTAATTTAATGAACTGGAAATACATCATGTCAAATAAAGATGTTTCGATACATTGATTTCGCAAATCAAGCCAGCCGCCCGCGCTGTAGATGCGGTTCTTCAGCACCGCAATGACTGTATGGCTTGATCAGGAAAGGATCGTCTACAAAATAATTTGTAGTTAAATTGTTGAAAAAATAATTCATTTGTGGTAATGTTGGTCGAGTTCCAAGTCACGCTGGTCGAGTCCGAGCCGAGTCCGCAGCTCGAGTCCGAGTCATTTGTCATCGTGACTCCAGTCCGAGTCCGAGTAACGGAAAATGGGACTCGAGTTGAACCCGAGTCCATGTCCGAGACTTGAGTCATACAATTCTTGTTAGAACTGATGATTTCTTCTTTGTAACTACTTCACCATCAGTGAACCATACAATAACTATTTTCTTAACATGTAGAAAACACATGTTTTTTTTGTGAGCCAAAACATGCTGGAGGTGTGATTTCTTATTTTTCGTGCTCTTGGGGTCGACACAATTTTGAGCCCTGTAGGCCTATGTGTGATGGTATATTGGCAAATCGTAAAGTGTACCAGTTACCCAATTCATAATTCGAAATGCCTCAAACAAATTCGAATATCATGCAGATTTATAGCCTTCGAAATTATAGACAGAACAGGAATATTCCTAGCTTCATCGCAGATTAACTACAAAATTCAGCTGCCCATTTCTTAGGAAATATACAAAAACGTCAACCTACCGCCATGGTGTCTTGCTGCACGAACGACAAGCCTATATTTATCGTTCGTCAACAACGCTTCGCTTAAATACATGCGACGCAGTGGTAGATTTTGCTGACGAAGCGAACTTTGGACTTGCAGGTCGGTATATTCGAGTTAATATTTTCTTAATTTTGATGAAATTCTGTTGATAATGAATTGTTTGACAAAAGTGACCTTTTTAGTTTATTAATTTAATAGACTGTGGTCATTGCAGGATGTCAAAAAAGTAGGCGGGCACAGTGAAAGGGGGTAAGTTGGACTTAGGGGGCGCATTTCATACTCCAGTACACCTTCACTCGTTCGCAGGTGACCTCTTATTTCTTTGAGCTCTTATGCAATACATTTCGTATATTCAGGGACCTTGGTTCAGCACTTCCGTACGGGGGGACCCGCATAAATATTTCAATTGCATGATATTGTGAGATAATTATATATTCAAAACCATCGACTTTGAACACCGCCTTAAATAGTCAGACGGTATCCAGCCCCCCCCCCCCGCTTTTTACTTTTGCGGCTGCCCGCTGACTGGCAAACACTCAATACCTCCCCCTTTTCAGACTAGTCCCACCACGCCCCTCCCTCTCCTAGGGAACCAAAAGCTGTACCTGCATACTATTCTGCCTGATTTTTTTTGGGGGGGGCGGGGCGGGGGGGGGGGTTCAGACCCGTCAGACCGACTGTTGTTGACAGGCGGACATAATAGGTAATCATTATTACTAAAATTGTCATGAATGTATATTTTTGTGTCGGAGCAGAAGGGGGGGGGGGGTTCACCCCCCTCTGGATCAGAGCCTGACACGACCAGCGCGCTCGGAATACACGCAGGCTATAAGCCTACATATTATGGAAGTGACCTCACACATGTTTCATTTTGTGTGTAAAACTTGGTACATGTAGTGTACAGTCAGGGGGTACCGAGACAAGCGAACTGCACACTCTCCATCCACTCGTATACCAAACGCCATTAATATGGTCCGAGTGACCATCAATCTCTTTCACAGAATGTGGTTCAGGAGCCGGAGGATTCGTAAAGCATTGTGGGTAGCATTCTAGCATCCGTCTTGTATAACACGTTGATTTGCTGTGAAAAAATTCTACCGTACAGCAGATGTAGACCTGCACGTTGATGTTGTTATTGTCGGCACAACCAGGCTTACATCTATGGCCTGATGAGACGGGTTGGGTTGACAAACTATTTGGGGGTTTCTTTGTTGGGAAAAAGATCATCGTTTTCGTAAACTACACAGCAACAGCACCCCCTACTGTCAGATGGTGTCCAGCCCCGCCGTCATCAATAGCGTCCCCATTGTCCGAAGATGCAGATCTCCCCTTTGCTTTTCAAATCACTTTTAATTAAAAAACAATACAATCTGCACGTGGTTGCCGGTCGACAATTTTGCCATCACACCCAAATTTACATTGGTTTGGCGACGCCGGCTTTACTGTAATCCAGATAGTCTCTTTGAACATCAACAGTCTGGGGTTTGTGACGTACTTGTCCCAATATGTGGTAGAATTGCATAAAGACTACAGGGAACCTGACGACATATACCGATGGTACCCAGAGAAATCGATACATAGCAGGCGACACGCTGCATTTCCAAGGTTTTACCCAATGATGATTTACCCTATACAGATAAAAGAAAACAATCTCCTTTTCGATTTCCTTGAGAAAATATTTACGTTTCCTCCCATCCAAATTACTGCGTCATTGTCCACAATTCCCAGGACTATTCTGTAAACAATCCTTGCAGTCCAGCAATTGATTCACTGTGGGGCGGGTGGGCTGCACGACAACGTAAATGGAACGAGTTTGTGACAAACATGTTCTGTTGTGACAGCCGGCCGTATATGATCAATTAATTAGGCGAGGTGATTTTCCCCGGCTGCTTCTACAGCCCATGACACCTAACCTTTGAATGGTGGTTTTCTTGCGTCGAATGCCGCGGGCTTTTAAGGGATATTAATGTCACAAGAAATTAATCGAACAAATCGCCCTTTGTAAAGGTTAAACATCACTACCAACACAGATTTTTGCTTTTACCCGTGTTTTTTTTACAGACACGAAACCAAATAACCACATAATCTAGTGCGATTCATTTTCATGTCGTGCTTGTTGTTGGTACTTCATTGGGTTGCTTTTGTTTATGTGTTTGTTTGTTAGTTTGTCGGGTGTTTGTTTGTTTGTTTCCCCCAAAAAATTCCACGTAGTAAGCAAGGAATGGACTCTTCATTTTCTGATACGGCATTATTGAGCATGCTGTCGCGACACAACATTTCTGTTCAATTCGCCATTTTGTGATCTATTTGGAAAGGACAAATATCCTATTGCATAGTTTGAGACTATATTCTTATTAAACTTCTTATAAGCCTGTCGATGCTTTAAAAAAAATACCGTATATGGGTCTATCCCAACAATAATTAATCTTGTTAATTAAGATAACACAATGGATCAATCGACAATTTTCTTTTCGAAACTTCGTCTTCGTCAGCGACTTCGACTTGCTTTCTTCCTTGTTATTGTCCGGTCCTTAGCCCGAGTCCTCAAAGTCAGATGCCCCAACCTTTTCCGAAGCCGAACCGGAGACGAGGCCGGAGTTTCATAACGTTTAAAGAAAAGCAAAAAAAAAGACTCCGGTACCGGTACAAATTTTAAAAACAAATATTTGTTTGTCCATATCTGTCAGAATAAGTGCCATTCATTTTATAAGTGCAACATCAACAATACTAAGTTACTTATATTACACAAGATATGAATAATAAAAAGTGCATTTCAAAACCAAGCAGATGGCGTTGAAATGATTGGACACGTAAGTCATTGTATGTTTGCCGAAAACATGACAACATACGCCTTTCACCATAACATATCCTCAGTTGCTACAGATGCAACAACTCATGATACGAGGGTTCATTATATTCATACTCACGCGAGTATGGAGAATACGATAATGATGGATAGGCTCGCAACGCACGCGTGACCAAACAGGTAGATGCGTCTCATTAAAATGGTTTTGTGTTTGTTTTAAACGGCATTTTTTTTTGCCTTCTTCCTCTTGTGTTCGTTGGCTAATGAACTCCCCAAAGCGTAGTGCCGATGGTTTATGCATGCAGTCAACATAATGATTAGCTGGTAGTAAAACGGTTGAGACAAGAGAAGTCTGTGAGGCCATGGACACTGGAAAAACAGTTTATGGTACAAACAAGAGAAACAAAATCATGCACTAAACACATGGGCGTCGCGAGGGGAGGGCAAGGGGGCACTTGCCCCCCCCCCGGAAAAGCAAAAAAAAAAAAAAAAAAAAAGGAAGAAAAAAAAAAGAGAAAAAAGAAAAGAAAAAGAGGCGCAAAGTCGTGGCATAATGGTGTAAATTTAATGGGTGGGGGGGGGGGGGGCAAAATGTCCCTGCCCCCCTCTAAAACTGATAAATCGAGAATGTGTTCAGAAATACAGGCATTTTTTGGCAAAAATATGTTTTGCCCCCCTCTAGAAAAAAATCCTGGCGACGCCCATGACTAAACACGAATGTTGGTACAGGATGCAATTACATTGTTGTGGTTGGAATTTTCTTTCTTACTTTTTTCTTAGAAGGTTTGTTTTACTACCGTAGATAAAAACTCGCGTACTGTGCGTACATCGTGGGGGATCCAAGATGGCGGACAGTAGCTTCAATGCGTGATGAGCATTGTCAGCCAGACTATAGTTAGGCTGTATCTGAAACGCCGGGGCTTCCAGAACTGTACAGCTACTGTCAGCTTGTTTCCATGGGCGACCTGCTCTTTTTACAAACAATCTAAAATGACAGTTGATAAGAACTGTATTCAAGCGATCCCGACTAAATCTAGAATCCATCGGATGTACAGGTAAATCTTTGTTATCATTTTCGTTCTCACGCAAGTACGCGATGTGAAAACAAATGTGATTGAACAAGGAGACCTACGTACGTGAAAGGATGTGAAAGGTCGTTAGTAAAATGCGTTTTTACCCATCTCCAACTGATTTCTCATCATTTTCTCTTGTGGAATGCCAAGATAAAACATAAATGTTTCTTGGGGGATCACAGTTTGAAATCATTCTGTCAAAAAAGTATAGCAAGAGAAAGGGCATCCTCGTGTAAAATGCCCATGGAAGGGTCGCGGAGGGGTCTGGAAACTCAAAAACAAAATGGCGCACTATCAGGCTCCATATATAGTAGACCATAATTTATGTCAGTGAGTGAACTTATTCAACGCCCACGGCCCTTGGTCATGAAATAGCGCCCTCTGACAGATTAATTGAGACCATAAAACACGGACTACGGTCAAACAAATATCTCCCCAAATATGTAATTTCCAAAACTGCATTTTGCCAAAAAAATAAACGCAAAAGGTCCCTGAGCATCAATATTTTTCAGAAGACTGCGCCGTATTATTAACCACGTAAAATGTAATTGGAAGACCCACAGCAAGTAGGCTACATTCACCAAAGCTCTAGCTACAAAATACTCCGGAAAGAAACCAATAGATGAAGTACTAAAGGAGTTCTTAAAGAACTCCTTTTTATTTTTGGAAACCCTACAGACAAAACCGCGCAAACAAAGTCTTCTACTTGCAGGGCCTCGAGGGTAAAATCCCCGATCATCTCGCACGCGCACCGGCGCCGCACAAGATGACACTACGCATGCCATTTGCGCATAACAAATTCGCCGAAACCTCGCAGGAGCTCATCTTCTGTGTCAGCATAGCAACGTGGGATGAAAAAACATACGCGGACTGACTGTGTCAGTGAACGATCGTGTATTATTGCATGCAACCAGATATGTTCTGCACTATGGGGTGCGTGTGGTGTGTACATGACATTGTAGAGCAGATGGAAAGATTATGAACTGGCGAACCAATCGTATATTGTCATTCGATTTCACTGGACAATCACCCATTAAATCGAGGGTCTCGTGTACGTGGACACTATACATCGATGTGGCGGCAATATCTTTGATGGAATGATTAGAATTAGTTTGCCTGATAACCAGATCGGTATGAACGCAACACTCGTGATGACGTCGCTGTCAATGTACGAGTGGTCGCATCCTCACGGGTATTGTTTTGAATGACGTATACAGGAAATTAAATCTTCAGTTTCTACGGGATTTCAGAGGCGTGATATGCGATGTACTGATTTATTTGCCCAATTAAGGGCCACGTTTGCTGACTTGCAAGAGAACTCGCTCTGCAGTCATTTGGATCGTCGTGATAAGCGGTCGGCTCCCATACCTGCAATCAACAACTCATGTGCTGGATAAAATCTTCGAGATTCTGTGGAAGAGCACGTATCGTATAGGGATCACGTGCGGAGATTTCTAAGTCAACACGCGTGTCTTCGTGACTCCGGAATGGAAACGCTTCGAGTGGACGCGTCGGGTCTGTGCCGCCCGGAGTAAAACCTCGCGTCCCCCCCGTTCGAGACCCAGATACAACCGGCGACAAGACGTGTCCGGAGAATACAAATTAACCGAAGGAACTCCAGAGTGTGGCTCATCCCTTATAGACGATTATTTGGTTAGACAGCATGACTTGCAGGAGTAGAACTTCTTGGAATTCAGGATATGCTCTCGAGGCTTAAAAACCACTGTCCATGTGAAATGTAACTTACAATCACTTATACATCAGATTGCTCTTCATACAAAACTGACGTTGACTATAATTCTGCCAGTAAAATTCCTTCAGTTGTACAAACAACTTATTGTGGAAGAGACAATAATTGGTGCAGAATCAAGCGGCAAAATGTCGGTCATGTTAACCTTGGAACGGTAGCCCTAATCATCATTCTGGCGCGAAGCCACATCGATCGGAGTTTATTGCCACGAGTCGAAACGATTGAGACCGAGTGCACGGCATTTATTAAGACAGAGAATCCTCCGCATACATTACATAGATGCGCCACGGCAGGCAACAGGTACGTCATGATGCTACTGTGTATGCTCCATTGTTTACGCAGACAGAGATAATTGGGTAATGTAAACAGGCAAGTCCATGGCTTCACATGTAGTTTGCTTTGCGTATTACAAGGATAGATACATCGTCTTGAAAACCTCTTTGTCGTTTCAATGTCGCAGTCACTTGCCGTGCGGCCGAGTACCAGCGACACTTCTGATTCATGTCCGCATATTGTGAAATCGACCTCGGCTGATAACGCTGCAGTGCTCCTTAACGAACAGGCTGATATAACATAATTTTTAAGACACATCTCTTTTGATGTCAAGTCACAATATGTAAAGCATTTTTTTTTAATGTAATGACTGCGGACTTGGACAACATAATTTGGTTGAAATCTTATTTTACTAACAATTATTCGAATGACGTTTGTGGAATACCAAGTTGACGGTGTGCCCACGCTGTATGGAGACAGGGATTATAAGGTTAGAAGACCGCTATGGATGCCGAGGCATCCTTCAACTCGACCGGCGATACATCACCGGGGGATATCGCCCATGCGACGGTCGTCATCCTCATTGGAATCCTGGTCAGCTTCTGTAGTTTCCTGACCATTCTAGCTGTGCACAAGTTCCGGTCGGTCAGCAACCCCGATATTCTCATCCTAGCCCTGGCCATCATTGACTTCATCTCGTCTTTCACCGTGTTCCCCTTGGCCGCGTTTTGGTACCTCAAGACCGTGGCTTATCCCACTGAGCTGTGCCTGGTTTACGGAGCCTTGACCACGACCATCCAGCTTGCCTCTACCGCCGTGGTGTCCCTGATGACGGTGGACCGTTTCCTTGCGATACGGCGACCCATCTTGTACCGGACCCGTTTGGGAAGCCCGCAACTCAAACGTCTAGTTATCATCATGGTGGTCATCTCTGCCGTGATCGGTTGCCTACCGGCCGCCCTCAGCTCCACAACCTGGACCACTGTGACAAATCGTCACGGCTACTGCACGTTCCAATACTCCAGCGACTTCACCTTTGTGATTCTGGCGTTGAGCCTACCCCAGATCCCGCTCTTGTTGTATTGCTATTATGGCTTCTTGGTGTCCATCCGGAAATTCATCAAGCGGCGGCAGTCCGGGCCAGTGCCCAGTCCGGCTAGCAGCAGCGTGTCATCGTCGGAGTTGGGACGGAGGAACCACACAGCTAGCCCGCCGGGCCCTACCGTGGCTGACCGCTGGGAGGCCTGGGAGGCCCGCTGCCGCATCTACTGCTGCTGTTGCTGCTGCAGTGTTTGCCGGGCAAAGCAGACCAAGCCTGCATCCCGGGAGGAGATGGTGGAGCGGACACAGACGATGATGAAGAACCTGAACTTGAAGAGGTGTACCAGGATGTCCAAGACCGTGGCACTCGTGGTCGTCATTTACTACATTCCTTGGCTCTTGACTCTGGTGAGTTGCACAAAAACAACACTTGCTTAGTTCCTGGTTTGTTTTGTAAAAATTTAAAGAAGATCAAATATTTTTTTCACGCAACAATGTCGGTTGCCCTTTGATTATGTATCAAAAAGCCGCATGCTCTCTGACTGATTTCTGGTTGCCTCTTTCCCATACTTGCAGCATTTCTAATGTTTTAAGCATCAAATGCCAAATGGATCACACGAATTAATGGCTTATAAGCAATCCTAATAAAGACATGAGAGAGTTTAGGCATCCGTACACGTACCCGAATCGCATCGCACGTGCACACATACGTGATGAGACATTCAAACTTCAGTTTCGTCATCTCGCAGCTACGTACACGCATTGTTGTCAATCCGGTAGGTGGCTACAGAAAATGCAACAGAAAATGAACCAAAATTAGACAGAGGGTGCCAAAAAGTCCAACATTCTGAAAACAAATAATTAAAACTTAAAATTTTACTTGGGCCACTCTCACCTGGACATGCTGAATCCGAGTTAAGCATTGAATAGGCGTTGAAGTTGGTGACATCACGGTGAGAGTGGCCGAGGTAAAAATTAACACCCTTTCACTTATTTGATTGTATTTCTGGATCAAGGGACCCAAATGGAATGGAGTGCAAAGGTGTGGATTTAGAAATATTTAAAATTTAATGTAATATATAATTTTATTGAAGAAAAAAACCCATTAAACAGTTTTAATTGTTTGTTACTGAATGTTGCACTGTTCTGGAACACTCTGTACTTCATTGTTCTAGTCCTAGACAAGTCTGTTTTTTTTAACAGACAGGTTAAATTAGAATGTGTTTCTAAAACAATGACGTACCGTAAAGAACACAAGCTGTTCTAGGACTTTAGGCCTACTACATAATGTTACACCTCACTTGCCCTTTACATTGTATATAGTACATACGATATACATGAACCAGTCACGACTTTGATGTCACAAAAAAAAATCACCAAATAAGTCTCGATAACTTCACCCTTAAAAGCACTCCCACTGCAACCTGAGATATCGCCCACGTCATGAAATTAAGAAGGGGAAGTTATTAGAAGAATCATTTTGGCACAAATTTGGTGTAAAATGGCGAACATTCATACGTCCTGCTCCCATATCAGCCGGCTTCCATAGGTAGTTTTCCTAGCACTTTCCCGCATCACGTATGAGAAGAACGCACATAGTGATGACGTCATACGCGAAATCAATACGGAATTACGGATACGTGATACGGGAGCGAAGTTTAAACCAGCCGAAGTACTCTCTCACTATTTGGCAAATCGCCAACATAAAGCTCAGTAGCTCAGTTGATGGAGCGCCGGTGCCGTATTGGTTAGGTCACGGGTTCATATGCCGTTCCAGTCAATTTGTTTATACTAACTGAATCAACTCGTTCTGACAACCAATCTTCATATCCGAAAAAAAGATCGTCAGCTTTGGAGTTTTTAAATTAATTTCATATCGTCACTGAGTGACGGGTAGAAGAGTTTTCACGTTCATTTGTATAAAACCTCCTTGTGTTTATCAGCACGCACTCATCCGCCATTTTAGGCGCACTTAGCTAGGTGCATCTATACCTGTGCACGAGTTTTACCGCCCGAAATCCAAGCCAGAATTTCATGTTGTGTTCTCGCAATAATCGTTCAGCTAGGTTCTTTTACCTCAGTGAATTATTACACCGTTCCACGTGGTATTATTTAGAGAAATGCGTCACTTTCTGTCGACTGACGTAGCGTCTCCAGGAATACAGGAAATTGCTATATACAAGCTTCATTTTCATGTAATATATCGGAGCAACGGCGCGAGTACAGTCTTCTTGTGGTTTTAAAGCCATTATGACTACATTGTGGTTATAGGGTTCGCGATTGAAGAGATTCTATGTCGCATCATTTTACCCCTCTTCTAATTATGAAGAAGAATGTGGAGAGAAACAGGGCATGAGCCGTAGACCTATGGATTACAAAATAGGTAGCTCTGTCTTTAAAGGGCATCTGCAATGTATATTTTAATGCAGTCCTAGAATGCACCTTTGTATCCCATTTTACCTTATTTACAATTTTTGTTTTGCCATTTTTCAAGGGTAATTTGGTACCTTTTTGGTTTTTATGCAAGAATCATCCAGGCAGAATCCTCAATGTTACTATTTCAGCACCAAAAATTGCCAAAACGTTTGATATCTTGCTGTCGGAAATGTTCTGTTCTTAGGTGATTCCTTGTTGTGTCAGTACATGGCTGTAAGCCAGTGAGCAAATTTTTCTCGAAGATCTTTTCAGTGAGCATGTTTTGGGGTACACATTTTGAACAGAAAACCCCAAACTGAACAGTGTCTTCCTGAAACGACATCACAGTACAAACGCCCTCAGTTGTCAGGAAAAGCATGGAAACCTTGAAATGTTTAGAGACGTATACTTTTCCATAAAATTAACCAAAAGGGACGTTAAATAGTTTTCATACATTTAAGAGGAAAAGAAAGTTCCACAATGTATGTTTCGAAGAAAATATTCATTTCATGAACCCTTTAAAGTCGATGAATGATTGATGCATTTTTTTGCCTGACATCAACGTCATGGTTCAGCTTGTGTTGCAAAAACTAACCCCTGATAAAGTTCTCATCCCAATATTGAATAAGTGGTCACGTCACGACAAACACGATTGGAAATTCGTCAACCTCGTACTCCAAAGGACACACTGCATACTCATACACGGACTGACATAAAATATCAGAACTTTCTGTTGAAAAAAAGTGACTCCTTACACCGAATGGCGATGCCTCACCATAGACATTCATGCACGAATGATGAATACACCCACTTCAAAAAATAGGAAAAAATACTCAAAAATCTAACAGGTAAGATTAAAGCTTTATTGACCCTGCTTCATCAATTAAGGTTGTTTTCCTCCAAAGATGATCACCCCTAAAAGCAGTCCTGAAGCCCATCCCCATTTTGAAAAAAAATGACAGCTCAGCTTCATTACAAAATGAGCGATTTTCGTGTCCAATTTCACCCCAAATTTTACAGAAATACATGTTTAAAGACTGTTATACAAAACTCTCCTTTATGAGAACAATTGACAGTATACAAACCAGGAATTTGGCTGGCGTTTACATTTTGGGCCTACTTACTGGTCTGCACCCCAAAGGGTGGAGTAAAAAAGAAAGAGACCTGGATTAATGATTTTTAGCTGCGGGTAGCAGCTCAACAAATCATCACGTCTCTCTATTAGTTAGTTAGTTAGTTAATCAGTTAGTTAGTTAGTTAGTTAGTTAGTAACAGAAATGTGGACATTGTCTATTGCCCGTACATAAAAAGTATCAGTAGCCCAGCCCCAACATGTCACATGACCAAACTGGGGTCAACGGTCATCATGGGATCACAGGTTTAAAAAAAACTGATGTTTTAAAACGAAAAATGCTACTTCCAAAATTTAATACAATCACGTGACTCATGCATGAACACGAATTCGTTGGCCCGCAGCTTCCGAGATCCGATCGAGCTTGTTTTCTTTAAAAGCAATCAAACTTGATAGACCACTGAAGTATGTCGTTAATAAAAGAGCATGATCTTCCACTCATCTGAAGAAAAGATCTACTGAAATTGATCCATGCTATCAGCAGTTATGTACCGTTTACTAAAATAACCTCTTTTTTTTTTATAGCTGTCCATGGAATGCCATTGGAAGCTATTGAGCTGATTGAGAATTACAGATTACACACATGCATTCAAACACAAATGAAATTTAAATCATTTGATTCAAGACTGAAACTTTATTTAACTGTCCGATTTTGTGTTTTGAATATGAGGAACAAGTCAACCTTTTTTATCATCTGAAATATTGATTACGATTTTTGTCTGATTTCCTTTGAAAGGTTTTCGTTCATTCGTGGAGGTGGGAAAACGTCCACGTTTCGTTGTATTTAATGGCGATTCGTCAGTTCATAGAACGGTAACTGATCAATGGTGGGCAGCAATTTTGTGATCATTTAAATTAAAACAGACATAACTTGGGAAGAGAAAATGCAAATTACGTGAATTGTTCATGGTTATAATAGTCGATAACATAAACTTAGAATATATTTTTTTGATTTGGTCACGTTCTGTTTGACTCACCCTGTAGAGACAGTTATGTAGGTTAGGTACTGGGGTTTTGTGGGGTATGTTCCCAACCTTAGGCCTTCAGCTTACAGGTTCAGTGCATTTATTTGTTTACCTTTAATAACGAACGTCGTGTCCACTTACACCCTGGGCCTATATACACGTAGCACAGGATGTCAACATCTTGTAGAAAACGTTATTGCATTACGCTCGCTGCGCCTACATTATTATTACGGTTGTGAATTAGATACAGACCGGTCCAAACTGAATTGACTTAATTGAGTTCAAGGATTTGGCCAGTTTTATTAGATTGTCTCCTATAAAGACGCTTTCAAGTTAGCATTGAAACCGATGCTGTCAGTGCTGAGCCGTTGTATGAATCGAGGACTTTTTGTATCCTCTCAACAACAGACAACAAGGAGGCCTTCGGCTTCGTTGCCAATTTCAAATTCCTCTGTTAGAGCTGTTCGGTTTGATTAAAAATATTCATAAATACCTAAGACAGTTTGCCCATTCCTATTGGTCGAGAGCCCGTCACGTGGCCGGTTTTAAACGGTTGATAAAAACCGGCTGGCACGTCTTGAACACTTTTCCAGTGTCACATGGAATTTGGACTCCTGTGAAATCCGGTGCCTTTCACCACTTTGGTTGAACGTGAGTCAATATACATGTACAAAATATAACATTGTTTTTAACAGCGAGGAACGAAATTGAACTTTTGACTGGCCTATTGCCCTGTTCGTTTGTCATAGCCAATAATATGCGAATATCATTCATTTTATTCATTTCACGGCCCTCAAATGGTCTCTCCAGCGTGTCGAATAGCACTCACCGAAACACTTAACCTGTTGTCAGAGGAATAATATTAGAGGGAGCATAGTGCGAGCGATGTGCATTTG